AACGACGTTTGTTAATGCAATTGACCAGACTAGCTTGGATAAGAGATGCAAGCCAAGAAGTAAGGCAAAAAAAAGTCCCTTCCCAAAGGACACACAACACTCTGCCTTTTTCTGCATCTGCATCAAAGCGGGGTCAGAGTGAAGGAAGATCCTTGACATTCGCTTTTCTCCCCGAAAGTACATTGCACATTGCACATCCATTTTATTTTATTCTTTCTTTTCTAATTGCTTTGCCTTACAGAATCCACACGGAAGCCTGCGGCCCGATCAAAAGCAGATACCTATCTTACCTATATTACCTATCTTAGGTATATATAAAAATATAAAAATAAACAGGGAACAACAGGTTGCTCGAAAAGCTCCGTTATTAACATGTGGTCTAGATTTACCCCCTGAAACCAAGTCTCCTATATTTCTCTCATCATCTGGTCCTTATCCCAAGGGCTACAACATACATGTACATACTCGGAAATGGGGTTATTTCGGGTTACCGCATGGTCAAGTGCACACCTCTGCACCACATGGTCATGTAGAAGAATATCTACAGCTGGATATCGATTAATTGAGCTACTTTAGGATTAGGGGGGGGATTACACATGTCAGAGCCATGCGAGTGTTGCAGCATTGTGGGGTCGACTTTCTCAACATCTTTCGCATTTGACTCCACTACGCTCTTTGTTTCACTCGAGAAAAGGATGTCATGCTATTCCCAGATAATGAATCCACGTACTCCGTACCTAAATAATTCAAAGCTTCTCAATCATATACATTTCCCTACATTAACATCCATATCGCATGGTACCCCAGTGATCGGTGTTCTGCATGCAGAGTAATATGCTCAACACAACTTGCCACCAGCCCCTCCCTTTACCATTTGTGGGTAAAGAGTGAGAATCAGACCTGTCATTTTCAACACATGGCCACATGCATATGTTGTATGTCGAAATGCCGCGTGTCTGGAGAGGCCAATTAGATAGAGCATAGAATGTCGATATCGAAGCATTTGAAAGGTAAATATATCTTCTTGAAATATATTTACCTTTCAAATGGCTATGCGAGCAAGGGGATTCAAAAGGCAGCATCACCATTACCGTAATCAGAGATACAAATACTAGCAAAGAATCAACAATTGCCTTTCTGAAGGACCAGCCAATTTTGAAACTACCTATGTTGTATGTACGGAATACTCCGTACATGGGATCCATATGCAAATCCCGATATCCACTCTTATATATGTAAACATTGGGACCTACGCAGATCATCAAATCCTAATCAAATGACCTCCACTATCTAGCTCGAGTTATACTTCTATAGAGATAGCAGTGGTATTCCGTACGTAAAACCCCGGAGTTCACCACCAGACGTACCCCGTATCGGGAACGTGCATCCAAGCAAAGAACAAGGATGACGTGATTGATCATTCTCAGGGATTGACGGGATCGGCAGATTTAAACGGAGGTCAGGGTTAGGTAGGTTTGGGACTGAAGTTTGCCAACGAGGGAGCTGGGGGGGTGCTTGCTAAGCGTTCCGATGTTTTATATGTGTATGGTTTGTGATATGTCCGATACCGGAACCCTTGGGTTCGGGGCATATGTGGGACTTAAATCCCCTAGGGCTGGCTTGATCTGTGTATCTCTTTTTTTTCTATAACATTCCGGGGACTGCTTGTGCATGGTATATAAGTTACGTTTGGTTGTTATGCCGGTTTCATTCTTGTATAAAGTATGGAAGGACTCGATATCGATTCCAGAATAATGCAGAAGAATGGACTGGAAATAATTAAGCTGTATTCCAACTACAACTCATATCATGATCTATACTGTATACATGTAGTCAGAAAGCCAAATGCTATGCTTGTCGGCGCAAATGACGCAACACAGTAAGACATGCTCGCAATATATCCAAATCGCTGACAGGTCTATTCGCGCCACCACTGGCCCAAAGCACCTCCAGAGCCAGCCATCTCAATCACCTCCTCGAAACTGATTTCCACACGGAACATCTGCCCATCAGCAGTGCCGTTCCCGCTACCCACGGGAGTCACCAGTCCCCAGCTGAGCAGCTTTTCCCAGGACTCTCGGGCCACATCTCGGCCCCAGACACGGCCTGGTGTGGCAGCAGCTCCCGACACCGAGGCAGATGTCTTTGCCGATGTTAAGAGCCGAACGTATTCTGCGTATGCGGCGGGGAAAGAAAGCGCCAGTGGTCCCATGCTCTGCGACTGGGACCCGTCGTTTCCGGGGTCGAATAGGGCTGCTAGACGCGTTGCGGCTACCAACAAAGCCAGTGGCAATGACGAGGGACTGGATGATGTGATGGATGTGGAGAAAGGGAGGGGTGCTGGGTCGGGGCAATCAAGGGATTGAGAAGCGAAGCTTTTCGGAGTCGGGACTTCGGGTATGGGTGTGTCGGGGTTCGATACACTTTGTAGCAAGTCGCTGATGGGGAGAAGCGCGCTGTTGAAAAACTCCTTTGCTGATTTGGTTTGGTTGTAGATACGCTTGAGGTGGAATTGGAATTCTTTGTCATTCCACATATGCTATTTTCAAGAGCGAGATTTAGTACGGATTCGACTGACTGGATAAAGGAAAATATGATAGATCTTACCTTCAGATATTCCTTCCATCCCCCAAGCAGGCTCTTCCATTTGCCTGACTCCACAAGGGTGCGTTCAGACCCAAGTTCATCTGCAATATCAGCCATTTCAGCATCACTGAGATCAAGGCTCCCTAGGCAAATATCTGAAAAGGTCTCGAAGGATCGAGGTAGAGGGACGTAAGTATATCGATGACTAAATCGACTCTTGACACGCTTCTCGAGCATCTCGGTTACATCAACCTTTGTCGTGAGCCCAATGACCGCGATGGGGGCTTTGCGGGCTTGGGCAATGTCAAACAGATTATACAGCAGAGTCTGCCGTGGGTGGGTAACGAATAGGTCGAACTCATCCAACAAGATCACGATGGACTTCGCAGCGGTCTTCGATCCTGGGTCTCCAGAAGCCCCGAAAAGCTCCTCCGGGTGCGACAATAAAGCTAAGAGCGTGGCCATCGTATCCGCATAAGAACTAACCTTGGCGGCATCATCCTCGGTATGCATTTCACGGCCAAGTTGGCGCCACATCTCTCGCAAAGCTAAACGATCATCTGTATGCAAAAATCCGTTGAGACGAACGACGTGGAAATCGTTGCTATGCTCCTTTCTGAGGGACGAAATGATGGATTCCACAATCGCGGTCTTGCCGCATCCTCTGGAACCAAGAAGAAGCATGGAGTTACCCTCTCCGACGGAGACGGTCTGTTCAATAAGCTGATGAACCTTTTGGTATTCAGATTCGAGCCCGCGCACTGGCATCTGTCGTTTCCCTGACAACTTTTCGAGAAGAATGGTCGAGAGAATGCGCATTTCGTCCTCAAGGCCCGTCTGGCAGAGTGCTTGGAACTTGTCAGCGTATTCTGGCAATGGCTCGGAGACGTCGGCAAGCTCATGCGTCTCTGGCTGGTCGTGATAAAGGTCTTGTTGGAGTTGCATCGTAACGAGGTCATCCAAGCCGTCCTGATACTCAGGCGAAGGCGACTTCTCTTTCGGCTCCGTGGCCAAGGCTTTCTTGGATCTGGGTTTCGCGGTGCTTCTCCTCGATCGGGTCCTTGTAATTGTACGACGGGCGGGCTCCGGGGACGGCTCGTCGAGGTCCATGTCATCATCGTCATCGTCATCCTCTTCTTCTTCCTCCTCTCCAAATTCAGGCTCATCTTCGTCTTCGATCGGAGATTGTCGCGGCTTTTGCGCGCTTCGGGTGGCACGCGCACTTCGTGAAGGAGCGGTAGCTGGTTTTCTTCTCGATGAGGGTGTTACGGCTTCTTCCTCGTATCTCTTTGGTGTTTTGCGCTGCCGTCCACTTGTCCGTGTCCCAGCCCGTGCCGGAGTCTGTTCCTCATCTTTCTCGTCCTTGCCACCTTCGCCTGTCGTTTCCGGGTCTGGGTTGTCTCCGCGGGTAGATCGACGCCGTGATACACTTTTCACCGGCGTGGGAGAAGTTCGGTGGTTGTTGGGAGATGACGGGACGGAGAATACGTCTTGATCATCATTTCCCATTTCGACGTCTCCATCAACGTCCTCGGAGACCCTCCTCCTCTTGGGTGCTCGGGCCATGGCTGTAGTTTGAAGAAACGGGATCGCTGGTATCGGGGAGTTCTCAATTCGATGAAAACCAAGCTTCGTCAGGGCGAGGTCGCAAGCAAAAATCGGTCGCAGTTTCCTTGTTGGATAAGGGTTTGCGCCTTTGTCAATTAGAATCAAATTCAATCAATGCTGTTTGTTGCCGACCAGCTTGAGCCTAGGAGCTTTCGCCCCGAATGTATGGACTTACAGTGAGAAAATCAACGGCCTATTCATTTATCAAGGCCAATGAGTGCAGCCCGTCTGAATCAATTTCGACCAGAAGACCCCTGCGTGGTTCAATTGCTGTTCAATTGCTGGTCCAATTGCTCAAAGGGTCAACAATTTGGCCGATTTTCGCCTCAGGCCGAGACGCGTGACGCGAAGTCAGGTGCTTCCCGTCTCCCTTGCGACTCCAGGACTTGGAAGATTTGTTAGTCGAATTGTTCTACTTGATATCGTCTTACTATGGACAAGAACATTTTCTTTCTTTGATATGGACTAGACCTCTCGATTGGAATTCAAACAAGACAAACTTCAAGAACTGAAGTCGAGCTGTATTATGCAGTAACTGAATAGGAAATCCACCACATAGTAGTCCTTCGCAAAAAGAATCATTTTGAAATGAAGGTTTAATGAACATATGTAGAGAGATGGACACATCTCCAATTCAAGCATATCTGATTTGGTACTCCGTATACTCCCCGTACTTAGTCGGCTTCACCACAGCCGAGGTCCAATCTGGCGATCCGAGCTGTGGGGGGGTGTACTTAGCTTTAGTTACTTCTACTTCCAGCACAACGCTTCTTCCCTAACCCATTTAATTCTGTTTTCTTTCAGATATGTCAGATAACGCAATAAGCGCTCCGTCCAGGAAACTGGATGAGTTCGAGGAGCTCGTCTACGAGTATACAGGGCGCATGGGCATGGGGATGAGGGAGTAAGTACCATGTGCAACATTCAACATATGAACTGCATCTCCCATCTACACAGCACTAGTACGCATAATTGAATTCCAGCGCTTACCCTTATCTCAACTCCAAAGCACTGGGACGTCGATGCCCGCAGCTGTAACCTCCGCTTCGAATCCGCAACCCGCGGTCCTCCGGCTACAGTCTCGTTCCTGTTGACGATCACTCCTGCGCTGAGCAATTACATGGGTAACCTCCACGGCGGTTGTGCTGCTACTTTGATTGATGTTCTGTCAACCACTATCTTGTTGGGCATTTCCGAACCGGGCAAGTTCTCTTTCGGAGGTGTCAGCCGCAACCTCAAGGTGACATATCTGCGGCCTGTACCTACCGGAACTGAGGTGCGTCTCGTTTGCGAGGTTATCCATGTTGGAAAACGGCTGGCATTGCTTCGCGCTGAGATCCAGAAGGCGGAGAGTGGTGATGTTTGTGTGATTGGTGAACATGAGAAGGCCAATACCGACCCGGAGGTGACGCAGAGGATTTGATTCGATGTTTGGTATATGCCGGGTTCTTAAGAGGCAGCTACTGGGATATAAATCTGTATAGACTTCATTTGTATCAATAAATTTGCCAAATTCTAGCCATTGTACGAGCGAAGATCCTTGTAATCGATGTGGTAGTGACCGGAAATATTGGGCTTCGTTTGTTATGATAGGGAAGGGCTGGACAAGAACAGAGACGAACAGAGACTATCGCACATGTCCAAGAGAAATATAATCAACCAATCTAAGCAGTACTAGATTATCCGATTGCCAAGGCGAGTAGGCCTTTTTACTCTGTGGCCAGCTGCTGGTCTTCCCGGAGACCCTCAACCTTCAACTCCTCGCCAGTGGCACGGCGGTACATATCACGGACATCATCTGGGAGAAAGGATTAGCCGACAAGTCATATATTCTCCAATCATGGAATAGCTTACCAGTCGTGGTCTCGAAGTGTGATGTCGCGTCATAGCTCTTAGAGATGAAGATGTTGGACTCCTCGCCATTGTCTATGGGCTCGTAGAGAGGAATGGGGGGACCCATGAACTTCTCCTCGATCTTGCCCAGTCGCTCAAAGCCAGGCTCAAGCTCAAGGTGGTGGTTGGCATCGTTCTCGGCGATGGTGGACACGATGGCGATGTAGTAGCCCTTGGGGCAGACATTATGCGCAGACGAGACCATGGCAATGTAAATGTCTGGAGAGGTTAGTGCCTTGTCAATAAATCGGGATTGATAGAACTAACCGTGCTTGCGTCCAACCTGAGACTGGGGAATGATCAGCTGCACAGAGTCGCTGCTGTCGGTCTTATCGATGGGGTGGTTCAGAATGCAGATAGCCTTGAGCAGGTATCCGGTGACCTTGGACTTGCTCGGGAAGTAAGAAGGATCAGCGATGATCTTCTTGGTCTTGGTCTCAAACTTCATGGCTTCGGATTGGTCGTCACGGTCCTTCATGGTCGCCTTGATTCCGGAGACCTTGCCGTTCTCGTAAAGCACCTCGTCGACGTCGGTGTTCAACATGTAGGTACCGCCGTAAATGGCAGACAGACGAGCGAAACCCTGGGGCAGCTCGCCGAGACCGTAGAGGGGGAGATATATGGCGATTTTCCGTAGCGTGCCATAGAGTTGACATACAGGCGGATACGATTAATTGTTTCGACGGCGGCGCCACTCTGGTTGATATATTCGTCGGAGGGGTACAAAGCCATGGAGTGACCGACGAAGTCGCGGGTATTATCCTCGAGGCCAAACTTGTCGTAAACCTCCTTCATCGTGCACGCATGTATGTTCAATCCTGGTGTCCATTAGCTATCTGCTTTGACGAAACCCCCAGAGCTGACCCAAGGTGCAAATACTCACCCTGGTGACTGGCTGGGTCATCCTCCTTGAAATCACCAACCCACTCGAGGAACTTCTTGGCACGTCGCTTTTCGAACAAGCCCATGAGCGATGAGCGGAGAGCTTCACCAGCATCCGAAGGTACCTTGGCCACGGTCGCCTTGGGACCCTTGCCTTGCTGGACATAGCTGCCAGCAATCTGCTTGAACTCGAGGTACCGGGTAACATCCGTGGACACCAAAATGTTGGTCAACTCTCCATTGGACATAAGCAGCTTGGGGACCAAGTCGATGTTCCAGTCATTGACCCTCCCGTATTTCTTCCATGGCTCCTCGCCGGGGCGGACGTTGCCGTATTTCTTGAACAGCTGCAAAAGGGTGTCAATAGGGTGACTCTGGAATTAATCGGTGTACATACTGCTTCGATGTTGACGGAAGCTGCTTCTCTATGGTAATTGTGAGCTATTTTGATCTTGGTGCCGTCATAGCGAGCTTCTCCGACTTACCCTCCATAGTGGTCATTGCGATCGATGTGAAGGACCTTGTTGCCCTTCACACTGAGCACACTGTAGTCAAAAACAATGAGAAAATTGTGGAATCACTAAGATCCAAGCTCAAAAGACCTACCCAGACAAAACACACTCGGTCAGGCCTGAAAGGAACTGGTCAGTTGTTGACTTTGGGACGGGGGTGGTGATGGCGGGGTAGCAACATACCAGTGCCGAGCACCACAACATCATACTCTGGGGCAATCTCGTCCATAATGAATATGGAAGATACTAAAGGTAGAGAAAGGTAGAAAGAAGATTCTCAAGAGAATGAGGAGAAGAGAAAGTTGACTATCTCCCCGCGGATCAACGAAGCGGTAAGAAAGGGGAACTATTTGACGGATCCGCCACTAGTGAGTTACCTCACGATATTAATGACATGGGATAATTTGGCTTCAACGAACCCCTGAATATGTACTCCGTACTCCGTATATCCCTGGGTTCTTTCATCTCAGGGGTAAATATGATCGATGCCCGATATTCTTAGGTACTGGTCTAAATTAAAGGAGGTTTGTAGCGTCGGATGATGAATCATCTCTCATATATCCAATGTATACTATGTAATTTGACATGCGGACTACTAGGATCACCTTGAAAAGCTAATGTTACATACTTAAATTTGACAATTGAGACTCGGCTTAAGTCTCCTCGACCTGGTGTGTGCCTGAACCCTTTTTCCTCATCCTTATTGGTCTTTGCCTTGGGCTTCTTCAACACCCTCCTGCTCAACCTCAACGTCCTCGAGTCCGTAAAAGTTGTCAGGGCGGTATCCGCGCTTGTACATTCGTGTGGCGTCCTCCCAAGCATACCAGCGTTCACGTAGAACGTGCTTGATGTTCCTCATGGTGCTTCGAATCTAAAATGATCAAATGGGTCAGTCGGGTTCAGGCAATTCCAACCATCAATTGACCGTTGCCTCGGAAGTAACGAAGGAAAATTCTCCCTGCAGCTTTCCAAGATATAGATGAACGAGACGGCCTATATAGCCAGGGAAAAACTCACCACCTTGTCCCGTTCCTGAGATTCAAATCCACCGTAACCAGCCTGGATTCTCTCTCTCTCAAGATCCGACGTGGCAATGCGGTTTCGTTCCCGGACGCATACATGCCACAGACCGTGGAGGTCCTCCCAACTCCTTTCGCGGAGTTCTTGGATAGCCCAAGGACGACCTAAATTGCCAACATCAGCACTGCTCGTAGCACGTCCAATCTATAGATTCAATCTATGGATTGGGGACAAACAAACTAACCATGGGCGTTGTCATAAGCTGGGGTAGGTAATGGTTGCCGGTTAGGGGGGAAGAAGGCCCAGAGTCCATGGTTGGGGTTTGTTTCCCGTGGCTGCATATCTTTCGGCGACACAGGTTTGGGCAATGGCCATCTTGACACGGTAAATGGGGTTCTGGGACCGGTTCGATTGATGGCTGATACACCACGGTTTTTGCTCTTGTCGCGTCGAGGGTTGGCGCCGACGGAGGCAGTGGAGGAAAAGCTTGAAGACTGGATGGCTGACAGGGTCACGGAGGGGTGAAGTGATGGCGCGAGGTAAGTGGGAGGCAATTCAGCCATAGCCATCCCCCTCAGGCGACTAGCAATGCGTGGAACCTGGTGCATGATTGTGATGGCTTTCCCCAGGATGGTCGGAGTCGGAGATTGATGGCCTTTCTTTTCGTGAAGGCGGCAAGACTGATCACGTGCCATAACCAACCCAAGACCAGCTTGGATGTTGCCAGCCTCGGGTTCGTCGGGTTCTTCATACCTTTTTTTCCAAGTCGTATGATTTCTTTTGATTCAATTTTTAATCCAGCAAACGAAAATCCCAAGTACCTTTCCTTCAAAGATATCTTTGGTCTTTACCTCTTAGGCCTTGTGCCGCGGTTAATTACAGACTTGGCCTGTGCATTCCTTAGCACCCGCGCGTCTAACCACCCAATCGACTACTCGGCGGAGCAGTCCCGTATCAAGCGTGACCAAGAGGCCTTGGTGGATTGCTCTCCCCTCCACAGATTCACCTCCGGTCTATTACTCGGCCAGTCCTCTTTTTGATTTTTGACATATCCCGGAATAACGGGAATTACCTTCTTGTTAAGAAATATCGACTATGAATAGGCCAGGTTCGTCATTTTCCTTCAATACCTTCGCAAACCCTTATGCCTTTCTTATCTTTCACCAACCTCCGCGGAATACTTGGTATGGTCGGACTTGTTGCTGTGCTGGGCTATACTCTCCTTGACATTGAGAGTTACCTAGCACTGTAGAAGCATCGGGGAGTCCAATCGCACGCCTTGGGGCAGGTGGTTTTGCATTTGCGACCGAGGCATTTGCAAGCACATGACATGCCCGCACATTCCTGTGGCGTTGATCTGAGCAGCTCTTGATGCGACGATCGTGCTGGCTTGTCACGCTTGTGCCAGAACCTGGTCCACAGCCGCTGAGAGGCATGTCCGGATTCCCCACGCAACAGCAAGCACAAGATCGAACTGTATCATTAGCTTCCGCGCGATTGTCAAACGGGAAACTGGGTGCGATTGCCTCGAGTCATATCTTCTGGACACTCAAGATTATTTGAATCAAGGGATGCTAACATAAGAGTATCAATAGGCGGCGGTGCGAATTGGAGTTTCAATTTACCTGTTAGCGGAACATCTGGCCTACCGGGCAATCAGCAGCGGACAATGGGAACCATGGGAAGCTTTGCGCAAAGTCTTGGAGGATCTCAATCTGCGGCACCACTTGATCTCTCGTAAGTTCTCTGTTGTCATGGTTTGCAGTGGTCTCCTGTATCTCTAGGCCTTCCAATTTGTCTCCGAACTGACGAGGTCGGTGATTCTAGGGAGTTTCCTTCGCTATCAGGAGCATCACAGCAATCACAGTCACAAACTCCCGGTCAGCTAATGTGGGCCAACGCAAGTCAACGCGCTGCTCAGCAAACACCTGTCCAAAGGCAACAGCTCCCTCCAACATCGCAAACCCCTTCGCGTTCCTCCCAACCCCAGGGCCTTCCCACACCCCAACAATCTCAACCGCCGCATGATGACATGTTTCCTTCTGGTGCGCAGTTCGCCAATCGACTCGATGACTTTAGAAATGGTGGCCAGGGTATCAGCAGCCAACTCGGTGCGGGTGGCCAGCCCCAGACAGGCAATATTGAGGAGTTTCCCCCTTTGGGTCGCAATTCTGCCGCCGACCTCCCTCTCGGTCGGACTGGTTCGTTGATGCAAGGTGCAGGTTTTGGGGGCTATGGAACTGGTCTAGGGGGACCGCGGTCACCAGTCAGCCAAGTACCCAATGGCATTTTGGGACAGGAGAAAGAGGTAGGTCCCTACAATCGGCTAACCTTTTAGGCGGCACTAACTTTACAGCAGGACTTGAACAATGGTGTACTTCCAGGGCAGCGTAACTTTAGCGATCCACAACAGCTGCAGCAAAGGCAGCCAGAAACTAGCGATGGACAAGATGTTTCTACTGCGCCCCAGAGTACGGAGCAACCGCCCCTCGCGCAGATGAGTGAACTTGACAGGTTTGGGTTGGCGGGCCTGCTACGCATGATTCACAGCGAGAGTCCTGATGTTGCAAGTCTCGCTGTTGGCCAAGATTTGATGACACTAGGATTGGATTTAAACCAGGCGGAGTATGAGTTCCTTTGTTCCCATACCATTTGACACATACTAATATGCTTCTCTGCATAGGCCTTTGCACACATCGTTTGCTTCACCATTCGTGTCATCAATGTCAGCAGTCCCTCTGGAACAAGACTTCTCTTTACCGGGTTGTTATAATGTCGCCAATATCCAACCGCTCCAGTCTCGCATTCCTGGGTTTAGTGATGAAACACTATTTTTCATCTTCTACAGCATGCCTCGGGATATAATGCAGGAACTAGTGGCTGAGGAATTGATGGGCCGCAAATGGCGGTACCACAAGCTTGAGCGGTGTTGGCTGACTCGCGATGAGACATACCCTGGACCTGTTGATGTGGAGCGTGGTGTGACGGAACGTGGCGTTTATCTTCTGTGGGATTCATCTGCCTGGAAGAAGGTCCGAGTAAGTAACTTTCATCCTTTACTGGTTAAAGAACTGGTTAAACTAACCTTGATCGCAGCGTGAATTTATTCTTCGATATGAAGACTTGGACAACCGGTTGGATCCTAACCGAGGTGCCGCCCGCCCACCTGGCGTGGTGCATCATGCCTCATGATTTGAAGTTAAAACGACCTAGGCGCACGCAGAATACAAGCAATCAACCATGGCGTTCGGTTTACTGGTCTGTGTTATATTGCTCGGGGATGGCCGATAGTACATTAACCTACGGGACAAGGCGCGTTGATTTCTCTGGTATTAAAGGGCTATGTGGGAGACCAGGATACGATCTTGAAAATCAATGTCATTACCTGGATGATCTTGTCATAATGCTGTGGAATGCTATAGATTGCTGTAGATCTCTCTATTCATAGGACCCCGTCTGAATGAGCTCTCCAGCTAGCCAGACTTGCGCGCAGTGGACAGAATAGCCACCCATTCGGTATCGATGTTCCCGTACCCGTAAGTGTCTTCCAAGTACTTCTCTATCGCCGGACGAACCTTATCCTGGTGTTCCTCCCGTTGCTTCTCAGTCCAAAAGGACTTTACCATCATGGGAATCATCAACATGGTCATGTCAACGAAGATAGGGGATGTGATGGTCAGTTTTGTCGTTGTTGGACGGACGTCGATGTCCTGAAACCCACGTTCCTCTAGCTGGGTCTCGATCCAAGCCTTCGAGTCCCATTTCCCATCAGTCAAGACGGCCAGGAGCTTTGGGGTCTCCGGAAAAGACAGGTTGCCCGGCATGCTTTCAACCGCTGCTCGGGCGACGGCGATCCAGCCGGCTGTTTCATGTCAGTATATCTGGTTATGTGAAAGAAACGTTCCGATACTCACGCTCGATCCAGGTCGAGAAAGCAATAGTTCCGCCGGGCTGCAGCATTCGGACGGTTTCTAGTGGTAGTCTTTATTAGCCTTGAATATAATAAGGAAGTAAGTAAAGACATCCTCACCATCGAGGGCCTTAAGAGAGTCAGGTAGTGCCATATAGGCTGTAGAAGATAGTAGTTAGCCACAGTCGAATGAGATTAGAGTGCGCCCAGAAACCAACTCACCGAAAGCAGTGAAGATGTGAGAGAATTGAGCGCTAGCTAGCTCGGGCTTCTGCGCATCCACGATCTTTGCCTCTGCGTTCGGCCAACCCTCTTCTTGCATACGGTGCGTAACGGACTCGATCATTGGCGACGATATGTCTCCGCAAGTCAACTTCCACATCTTCTTTACAGAGTCATCAAGCTTATCGTTGAGTGCGCTAGAGATAACACCAGTGCCGCAGGCATTGTCAAGGACTACTAGGTGCTGATCAGGGTTGGCCTTGGACTCGGCGGCAATCTTGCTCTGGTCAACCAGCATTTCAGCGAATGGGCGGGTGACCATCTCCCCGCGTTTGAATGAGCTAGCATAGTCTTTACTCTTGAAGAAAGCCTGCAATGTGGGTTCCTCAGCCATGGTTGGTAAAACTGTAAGGTGGTGGGTACCGTGGTGAATGAAGATGATAGATGAGTATGTCTGTTTAGAAGAAAACTTCAAGTGATGTTACGGAAGGTCGAGATCATGGAAAGATAATGTTATTGCTGGGCTTAAACGGTCCTTTAAATGATTTGGAGTTGCTCTAGACTTCCCATAGAAAGTGTCCGCGAAAGTGTCCGAGAATGTCTCCGTGAGTGGATTTCAGTCGAGTCATTTCTAAAATTATACCTTGAATGTGTTGATAGTAACACTGACCGTGGGTCCATGACAATGATTGGTTGAGCGCGAAACTGGCGCAGTAGGTAGCCTCCAAGGTTCCCCTTAGTATAAGGTCGTGATCATGTTGGCAAAAGAGGAGGCCTGCAGAGTCAATAAAAGCGGCGAACTCATTGGCTGGTATTCCGTATCAACTGCAAACATGAGCATCCAAATGTCAGCCAATAAATAAAGCCAATGACTGAAGAGATTTAATCTCAAGTCGCCGAGCGCCATTTTTTGTATACTCCGATATCTCGTGAGAACAAAGCCCCCGCGCTGACATCAGCAAAAACGACGCCAGTCCCAAATGGGCAAACCATCAACAGCGGATGCGGCAAAACAATCAATCCCCTCCACTTCCCACCTGGCCGACCTATGCACTCTGCTAGCGAGCAGAACGCCGTTTCGGAGTCGCAACCATGAGGATTACTGAAATTGTCATAGATGTGAGGCTCAACATTGCCTCATAGTTATTCACTGCGCTAACAAGGTCGTCAGGGCTTCAAATCGTATGCTGTGCGTACGGTGATCTCGGGATGGTATGCAATCCTCCGAATCCAAGCATGAACAAATCATGGCGTTGGGCGAGTTTGGGCGTGACGGGATTTTACTAATCGTGCGATGTAGGGACGAAGCCTTTAACTCGATCACCGGCCTGAACGGCAGTGGTAAATCCAACATCCTCGATGCTATTTGCTTCGTGCTTGGTATCACCAACATGACCACAGTCCGCGCGCAAAACCTCCAAGATCTTATCTACAAGCGTGGCCAAGCCGGTGTCACGAAAGCCAGCGTTACAATCGTTTTCGACAACCGGGATACCGCGAAGTCGCCGATCGGATTTGAGGAGTATGCGAATATTTCCGTCACTCGACAGATTGTGCTAGGTGGCACAAGCAAATACTTGATCAACGGCCACCGCGCGCAACAGCAGACTGTTCAGAACTTGTTCCAGAGTGTTCAGCTGAACATCAACAACCCCAACTTCCTCATTATGCAAGGTCGCATTACGAAAGTCCTGAACATGAAATCAGTCGAAATACTGTCGATGATCGAGGAGGCAGCTGGTACACGAATGTTTGAGGATCGAAGAGAGAAAGCGAACAGGACAATGGGAAAGAAAGAGCTGAAGCTGCGCGAGATCGAAGAGCTGCTGAAGGAAGAGATTGAACCTAAGCTTGAGAAGCTCCGGTCAGAGAAGCGAGCCTTCCTCGACTTTCAACAGACGCAGAATGACCTCGAGCGCTTGACTCGACTTGTTGTAGCCCATGACTATGTTCGTGGCGGCGAGCGGCTGAGAGTTGCAGGCGAAGAGTGCGAAAACAAACGTAACAAAGCGCAGGCACTCGAAGATAACGCGCACAAACTCAAAAGTGAGATTGCCCATTTAGAGGAGGACGTGAAACGGGTGCGCGCAGCTCGCGACAAGGAACTCCGAAAAGGCGGCAAATTCCAGGGGCTTGAAGATGAGGTCAAGAACTACTCGCACGAGTTGGTCCGACTGACTACAGTTTTTGATCTGAAGAATGCAAGCATAGACGAAGAGAAAGAGAAACGACGGACCATTCAAAATACGGTCACTGATCTTGAGAAAATCTTGAAGGAGAAGCGCAAGATCTATGAGAAGCTACAGGCCCAGTACGATACCGCCAAGGCCGAGTTGGACGCACAAAATGTGGAAGTGGAGCAAAAGGAGGAACTGCTCCAGACATTGCAGACTGGTGTCGCCTCGAAGGAGGGCCAGGAGAGTGGTTACCAAGGTCAATTGCAAGATGCCCGGAACCGTGCAAGCAATGCCGCCACAGAACAAGAGCAAGGAAAGCTCAAAATCAACCATCTTGAAAAGCGCATCAAAGAAGAGGAGCCTCGCGCAAAGAAGGCAAAGGAGCAAAACTTGGGGCTTCTGCGTGACCTCGAAGGATTGAAGTCTCAAGCCAACAAGTTGGAGTCCGAGCTGACCCGGCTTGGGTTCGAGCCTGGGAAGGAGGAGCAGATATATCAGGAGCAGACCGAGCTTCAACGCGATATTCGCGACCTCCGCCAGCGGGCTGATGGGCTCAAGCGCCAGGCAGCGAACATCGATTTCAATTACGCAGACCCTTATCCCAATTTTGACCGGTCCAAGGTCAAGGGTTTGGTTGCTCAACTTTTCACCCTCAACAAGGACCAGGTTCCAGCTGCAACTGCTCTGGAGATCTGCGCCGGTGGTCGTCTTTACAATGTGGTCGTGGACAGCGCAGAGACCGGCACCCAGCTGCTTCAGAAAGGCAAGCTGCGCAAGCGAGTGACTATCATTCCCCTTAATAAGATTTCCGCCTTTAAGGCCTCTGCGGAAAAGATCGGAGCTGCACAGAACCTTGCCCCTGGCAAGGTCGACCTCGCTCTATCCTTGGTTGGATACGACGAGGAAGTTCTAGCGGCGATGAACTATGTATTCGGCAACACCCTTATCTGCGATGATGCCGACACAGCCAAGAAGGTAACATTTAATCCGTCAGTTCGGATGAAGAGTGTCACGCTGGAGGGAGATGTGTATGATCCGTCCGGAACACTTTCCGGTGGAAGCTCCCCCCAACTCCAGCGGTGTTCTTGTTACCTTGCAAAAGCTCAACGATATCACCAAGGAGCTGCGGAGCAAAGAACGACAGCTCGCGACTTTGGAGGATCACATGAAGAGGGAAAAGAAGAAGCTCGATTCCGTTCGCTCCATCAAACAAAATCTGGATCTGAAGAACCACGAGATTAAACTTACCGAGGAGCAAATTAACAGCAACTCTTCGTCTTCGGTATGTTCTCCTAATCTGTTCCCCCAATTTGCTGTTAACCCCAGTTAGATCATCCAAGCTGTTGAGGAGATGAGATCAAACATCGAACAACTCAAGAATGACATCGCCGACGCAAAATCTCGCCAGGCCGAAGCATCCAAGGACATCAAGCGAATTGAGAAAGACATGAGTGAATTCAGCGACAACAAGGATAGCAAGTTGGAGGAACTGCAGACAACGCTCGATAAACTCAAGAAGAGCTACGCCAAAAATTCTAGCTCGGTCAAAGAGCTGCAGAAGGAATTGCAGACTTCCAGACTAGACTCTGAACAAGTTGGAAGCGACTTGTCCGCGGCTGAGGAGCAATTGATCGAGTCAGACAATACCCTTAGCGCCCAAGTACAAGAGATTGAATCACAAAAACGGGAGCAAGCGCGGCTGAAGGTTTGTGATGCCCTTGCAACACTACTGAAATATCACTGACAATTCTAGGATGCCCATGACATCGCACAGGCTCAGCTCGATGACGAGCGGGCCAAGTTGACCGGCTTTGACGAGGAGTTGCGAGAATTAGAAGAAGCTATGAAGAGCAAATCCTCTCAGATCACCGAGGATGCACTAGAGGCGCAGAAGCTTGGCCATCAGCTCGAAAAGCTCCAAAAGGACCAGTACACTGCTAGTCAGGCTGTGGCTCACATGGAACAAGAACATGAGTGGATTGCAGATGAGAAAGAAAACTTCGGACGCGCCAACACTCCCTACGATTTCCAGAACCAGAACATTGCCGAGTGCAAGTCTACCCTACGCAACTTGACTGAGCGATCCCAAGGCATGAAAAAGAAAATCAACCCGAAGGTCATGAACATGATTGACAGCGTCGAGAAGAAGGAGGCTGCTCTTAAGAACATGATGAAGACCGTCATTCGTGACAAGCGAAAGATCGAGGAGACCATCATGAACCTGAACGAATACAAAAAGGAAGCTCTCCATAAGACGTGGGTCAAGGTGAATGGCGACTTCGGACAGATCTTCAACGAGCTCCTACCGGGAAGTTTTGCCAAGCTCGACCCTCCCGAGGGCAAAGATATCACGGATGGTCTCGAGGTGAAGGTGTCCCTGGGCAAGGTCTGGAAGCAGAGTTTGACAGAACTGAGCGGTGGCCAACGTTCGCTCATTGCTCTCTCATTGATCATGGCGCTCTTGCAATTCAAGCCCGCTCCAATGTACATTCTGGACGAGGTCGACGCCGCGCTCGATCTGTCACACACGCAAAACATTGGTCGACTGATCAAGACCCGTTTCAAGGGATCTCAGTTCATCGTCGTCTCGTTGAAGGATGGCATGTTCCAAAACGCCAACCGCATTTTCCGCACGCGGTTCAGCGAGGGTACCAGTATTGTTCAGGCGTTGACTCCAGCGGATTTGAAATAAGCATGCACATGAGCTTGGTTGTCTATAGTTTCTTTCGTGGTGTGTTGGTCCGGTGGAGTGTGAGATTATTATGTCTGGCCTTTGGTGTTTGGTTGCTTTTGGATGGGAATGGATCTCTATTTTATGAATTATGCATGGTAAAGACTATTTCAATTTTCTTCATGGGTATACACTATACAAGTGTACAATCTCAGTGCACAATATAAGTTGTCGCTCAAGACAAACTTCCAAACTTGGAAACTCCGGTACCCGGCACGTGCCCAACCCTCGACCTGATCCGTGCCACCTTCCAACGCGCATTGCGATTTCATTGAAATTACCCCCATTGCGCCAATACCTAAAGTACCTCACCTGGGCATCACTTATATTAAATCATATTCAACTCGACGTCTTGCCTTTCTCAGAACCGTTACCGCCAGACACCGACACCGGGGACCCTGAACACCTGCCTCTACTTGCGCTCCGCCAACACAAGATGTCAGACGAGGAACCTTCGCTGAACATACCCTCACTTCTGACCTTAGCGGTTGTATCATACTTTGTTATCCGGTGGTTCTTTAATCGCGATGAAAGCGCCGCGGGAGGAAGCCGAGGTCGGGGGCGTGGCAATGTTGTCGATCCGGCGCAGGTGGAACAGATCGCGCAGATGTTCCCTCAACTAAGCACTCGAGGTATAATGTGGGATCTGCAGCGTAATGGGGGCAGTGTCGCCGCAACAACAGAGAGGATTCTGACTGGACGGGGTTTGGAAACGGTACGTTCTGCGCTGGGATCACATTTCCCCGCCTTATTTTTTATTCGTGACAACTTGACTTGGTTGCGGGCTGCGAATATCAACTTCAAATCTAAATAGAACATTGACTGATCTATTCTCTTAGCCTCCTCTTTCGTTCCAACCTCAGGTCGCAATCCCCCCAACCAACATTCCGCCGACCCAGACCGCTACGGCCGCATCCGCGCCCAAAGCGGACGCACAGGACTTGATATCTCGGTATAATCTGAGCGCAAAGGCTGAGAGCCCTCCCGCAGAGTCACGATCCGAGGTACCTTCCAAGTCCACCTGGTCTCAGAACAAGGAAGAGCGCCAGCGGATACTTCAGAAGCGTCGAGATGATATGATTTTAGCGGCGCGGAGGAAGATGATGCAAAAGAACCAGGGCGATGCCCAATGATATGAGAATTTCTACGCTCGCATGTCAACATTGTGACTCTGTACACTGCTTTTGACGTTGATAAGTCTGGCCAAACCCGGCACAGTGTTTCCCGGAGGCCGATATACCCTCTCCGCTCTTTGGGTTTTGTTTCGACATCATTCCTCTTCGTTTGTATTAAAGCGCTCGCATGCTGTATGGTGTTAGTTAAATTGGAACAGTTTCGATTATAACCGTTGGTCATTGGATTGCGGAGGGTTATTGGATTATATACATGAAAGTCGTTTTGGGCATTGGTCTGCGTCACATATGCACCGAATAACTCCGAATGAAAGATACCCCCAAAACAGGAAAAGAAACGTCTTAAATGCTTAGAACTCCATGTAATCTTCTTCTTCGTCATCGTCCTGAGTGCCATCGTAGCCACCGTTTGCTCTCTGCTCGGCCATCTGCTCGCGCCGGGCCTGTTCCTTGGAGGACCCAATTCTCCTATAAGCCAGTTAGCAACGAAAGTCTCCCATATACTCGGATACGGAAGTGCCCGAGAAAGATGTCAAACATACCGAAGACCATCCACCACGCCAGTAATAAACCCTCGCTCCTCTCCCAGCTCCATAGAACCGACACCCGTCAAAGCAACACCACCACCACCGGTCGCCGCAGCATCCAGCACATCAACGCCAGACCTCATTTTGGCCATGCGCACCTCACGCAGGTCCTTCAGCAGCCTCCGTATCTGATCCGGGTCCACGAGATCATCACTCGCGGCGTCAAGCAGCAGATTCCCAACCTCAACCCAGTGAAACGGCAGGGAAGGGGGATCTCGAGAAGAGATTACGGTCTGGGCTGTGTTCTGATGTAGGAAAGGCGGCGCGGCATAATACCGATTCCCATCTGGTGTATACTGTGGCCGAGCAGACGGCAGGGCATCGCGGTCCAAAATGCTAGGTTGACCGGGCAGGGGAGGAGGTGGGGAGAAAGCGTTTTTGTAATCTTGGTGCTGGGACTCGACTTCGAGGATGAGAGCTAACGGCTCTGGGTGTAACCATGTTGGTGGGATGATGTTTGCGCGGCGTTGGCGTTTAAGGAGGAGCGCGAGCCAGAGGGGGAGGGAAGCACGTCGGGGCGGAACAAGAGGTTCAATGGGTCCCTGGGAATAGTTAGCTCTGGGAAGTTCAGATGAAGCAGTTCGGAGGCGCATTCACTCCTAGTAGTTCGAGGCCTTCTAGACGCTGGCGAGGCACAATTGTCACTGTTTCCATCTCCGCCAGGAAGGCGATCTCTGACGCCGTAACGCCCCGAGGAAGAGGGAAAGCCATTGAGGGTGTGAATAGGAAGGCGGAAGCGATTTCAATTAATCACGAGAGTCGCGATCTCATCGTTTTTCTGAGGATGATATAGGTCGTCTTGATCGCGGCCTGGACCTGGACCGTTTGCTTTGCCTTCCTTTCTTTTCCTGTCTTTTCTTCTTATTTGTTAACCGCGTATTTGCTCTTGAAATGATCAATTGACTATTATTGAACGTCTTCTTTCATGTCGCGTCGAGATGGCGACCTCGAAACGGTCGAAACGTTTGAAACGTTTGCATCGGTCGTGCTCCGCAGCCGATGACTGGGACCCGGTGGCCGATGGATTGAAGATCACTTGGCAACTGTATCTGCTTGCTGCGAACGATTATTTGCGCAGCATGGCCAATCCTCCAGAATCAGATCTCAGCCGGAGTGCTCGATGGTTGGTTCCGTTTTGCTTGGTCTTGGTTCCTCTCTGGGTGAGTCTCGTCAACAAGGTTGTCCCAGAGCCCTACCTTGACGAAGTCTTCCATGTCCCGCAAGCACAAGCATACTGGTCGCATAAGTGGACACAATGGGATCCGAAGCTCACAACACCACCGGGTCTATATCTGTGCTCATACATCATCTTCGCTATTGTGTTGCTGCTACGCGGGTCCCCGACAAAGCTTACTCCGGATGTCCTGCGCATGACGAACGTTGGTGCGACAACTGTTGTTTTTCCCTGGAGACTGCAAAAGTTGCTTGATACCCTACAGAGGACGACAAATACTCGACCGCTGGGAGCGAACGTGTCTCATACAGTGCTGAACATCTGCTTGTTTCCCCCGCTGTTCTTCTTCTCTGGTCTGTACTACACAGATGTTCTTGCTTTGCTGGTTGTTGTGGAGGCGTACAATTGGGACCTGAAGAGAGACACAGAGAGACACCAGCAAGGTGGCTCCGGAAAAGACAAAAAACAAGGGCCTAGCAATGGCATTCTGGAGACATTGGGATTCTTGGCCTTCGCGCTGGCTGCACTGGTCTTTCGACAGACCAATATCTTCTGGGTCTCGGTTTTCTTAGGTGGACTTCAGGTGGTCCGCAAGATTCGAAAGTCTGCCACGCCCTGCATGTCATCCAAAGTGTCTACTATTGTGAAGCAAGGCCTGCAGAATGAAGTGTATGATCCTCTCGTTTCGGAGGCTTCCTTGGAAGGTAAATTGATCTGTTGAACATACAATATAAAGCAAGCCGGGGACCATTCTAACCTAGTATATAGATTACCTGAAGACCGCCATCTCACTTGCAACTGTCGGCCTGAAGCAGCCTTTCCCTCTCCTTGTTTCTCTCATTCCCCACATCATCGTCCTTGCGGCCTTTGGTGCGTTTGTGCTTTGGAACAATGGAGTCGTCCTAGGTACGGGTGGCTTGTTTATTTACATTAAATACGATTTTGACTAACCCCTGCTATTCAATAGGTCACAAGGAGTTCCATACCGCGGGTATCCATCTGGCTCAGATGCTCTACATCTGGCCGTATTTCACCTTCTTCTCATGGCCTCTCTTCATCCTTCCCTTGATCAACATTCTCGCCCTTAAGCCACTCCCTAAATATTTGAACCTCGGCTTCCCGCCGAAACAGATGAAATATCCCAAACTCAAAGCAGCCCTGATTGTGATCCCGCTTATGCTTGCCGTGGTCCACTTCAACACCATTGTGCACCCCTTCACCCTTGCTGATAACCGACACTATGTGTTCTACGTGTTCCGCATTCTTCTGCTTCACCCAGCAGTCAAGTATGCTGCAGTGCCAGTCTATTTCCTCTGCGGATGGGTCGTGATCTCCGCCTTCGGATTTACCACCATTCAACGTCCGCCCAAAGCCCTGCGAGTTCAGCAATCTGCTCCAACTGCGCCTCAAGCTCCAGCTCCGGCTCCGGCTCCGGCTCCAGTAGCTCAAGAGCCCAAATCCACTTCGTCTTCTGTGCGCAAGCCTTTACAAGCGCACCAACAGCCACCAAAGGGGACGAAGAAGCCCAACCGGCCCAGTAACAAGAAGTCCAAGAAGGCCGATCCACCAACAGAGACCAAGAACACTGACACAAGCGAGCTACCAGCAGAGATTACGGATCCAAAAGATCCCGCGGTCCTGGCTAGGGTCCAGCAACACATATTCACGCGGCAGAGAGAATTGCTTGAGGCACCGCGCGTTAGCTTCGTCCTTGTTTGGCTGGCCGCTACTTCCCTGTCTCTCATCACAGCACCCCTTGTCGAACCCCGCTACCTCATCATCCCTTGGGTTATGTGGCGTGTGCATCTTCCTCCTCTGCCATGTCTGTTCAGGGACCGAGAAACTCGCCCCCGCACAGAGGAAGCTAAGCGTCGCTCGGACCTCATTGTCAACTCGCCAAAGTTTGTGGAGACGGTCTGGTTCTTGGTCATTAATCTGATCACTGGGTATGTCTTCCTGTACAAGGGCTTTGAGTGGCCGCAGGAGCCTGGCAAGACTCAGCGCTTCATGTGGTGATCTTTCTGCTCTTTTACTCTTTAATACTCCCTTTTGGCCTACCTTGGTTTGGTCATTTGTACAATAGAAAATGTAAACTTGCTTGACTACTCATTCAATGATCTTTTTCTGTAGCGCCTGCGTATAGAAATGATCGTAATTTATATGGTCTAGAAGGATAAGTAAACAGGAATAGTCGGCCGCTCATGCGGCCATAGCGGTGTGCTCAACTAGTCCTTTTAGATGCCGAGAACAGTCACTAGTTGTTCTAAGTCTTGTTCATATAAAGTCCATCGAGCGTCCGGGCTATATTGTAGATCTGTAGATCCTATCTTCACGAAGAAAAGGAGTGATATCTACATATTCCGTATTCCAATAAACCATTTACCAGAAAAGAGACCCCCTTCGCTACCCTCGTCAATTATGCCTACTGCTGACCCTTCCACGCGCTATATTTGCGGTAAATATCATGGCGGAAGGTTTGCTTCAGATCGGCCATCAAGTCTCCATCGACCGGCAGCGCAGCTTGGATAGCACCAACGCCACAGAGGTTGTTCTTTCGATCAATGAACCAAGTGAGCGTCAAGCCACCACCCCAAGTCAACGTCCGCTCGCCATACCAGCCATCAACATCCTCAAGCGTCAGCAAACCGCCCAACCCATAGCCAACTTTCGTTTCCAGATCCGTTCCAACGCGGAAGAAGGGCCCTAGAGGACTAGCAAGCGCAGCTCGGTGGCTTGCCGCCGCTTCGGGGCCAAGGTGTTGCTGGAACATATTGTCGACGGCAGCGGGCTTAAGCAACACGCCATCATTAGCCAGCAGCGAGCGAAGAATCTTAACAAAATCCAAGCCAGTTAAGAACAACCCATGACCACCAAAGGCACCACGGCCTCGCAAGTTCATCTCGCCGCCACCGCCGAGCACGGCATTACCAAGAGCACCGGGGTCACTGGGGTTAAGGTCGACGAGACGGGCTCGCAGATCCTCACGGGTAACAGGGTAGAACTGAGCATCTGCAATACCGAGCGGATCAAAGATGCGCTTTTGCATGAACTCTATCAAAGTGCCACCAGTGACGCGCTCCACCACACGGCCAGCCCAGTCAAGACCGGGCCCGTACATCCAGCCGGCACCGGGCTGGAAGCTGAGCGGGTAGGAGAACATCTCCTCAACGAGACGAGGTTCTTCATTCTCAGGGTTGGCATACTGCGCACGCCACTTGGCGATGGGCGGGTTCAGGAAGTGGTAGGAGGTGCCAGAGCTGTGTGTAAGCAGCATCTTGAGGGTGATGGGGCGGGCTGGTGGATCGAGCCGAGGGCTTTCATCGTCGGCAAAGCCAGTGAGAACATACTTTGCTGCGAGCTCTGGGGCGATGGACGACAGATCGCCATCTAGACTTAGTAGGCCGTCTTCGACGCACTGGAGGGCGGCGATGGTTGTGATCAATTTTGTGGCTGAGGCTAGGTACAGCACATCATCGAGCTGCTGTGGTTGCTTCTCGCCTGAGAGTAGAGTGCGCTCTCCGATTGCCTTGTTGTAGACGAAGTGGCCTTCGGCATCAGTGGCACAGACTACAGCGCCGTTGATCTTGCCGGTGTCGATAGCGGCTTGGAAACTAGCGTCCATGTTTTCTTTTTGGAGAGAATGAGAGAATGATACTAAGACAGAGGGTCTACATATAAGGGGTAGCTGGGGGGTTTAAATAATAATCAGCTATGTACAATACGTCGAGAGGATCAGTCTGGGGTCTCTTTTTGGCCAAGTACAGTGGTTGCCTTAGGGCTCCGCCAACCCCACCTGCCCAGGTTGGTTCCCGGGCGGTTCCCGGGCGGGTCCAGGACTGGCCAATCACCATGCATAATTCAAGGCGGTGTGATTCTGCCACCGAGTGAGGTTAAATTCAACTTCAAGGCCATACATTTCGCCCTTCGGGGCATATGGTCAACTGAAAATATACAGAGAAGATTAGCATGGCCCCTGCACTAAGGATGACACGCATAATCAAAGAGAAGCTACCTATTTTTTTTTCTGTCACGCAAGCTCAATTGAGGTGTTAGAGTATGGGGCTTTTTGTGATAGTATTGTACTTCACGTGTCCAGATGTTGCCATCGCCGTTCGACTCTCCGCGTTGTCGGTATTATGCAGTCACCCACTTTGGAAGGTTGGAAGGTTTGAGAGATCACGTGACATAGTTTGCTCCTACACACTTGTAGTAGGTAGTTTCCCTTTATTTATTTTTTTCCAGTATCATCTATTTATTCATAAGTAGGTTCTCCGTTACCTCTCAATTTTCTACTGACATTTGTTCAATGTTGTATGTATGGCCAAACCTGCTCAGTCCAATGCTCGACCCAAATCCCGTGGAATGAGTATGAGTATAGCCCTAAGTGCAGGTTCCGGAATCAGTCCCCACGCTACGATCCCGCGATCCCAGCCGCAGTATTTAAATCCGTATGTCATTCTACATGTAAACAAAGAAGTTGAACTTCAAATTGAACTTCTATTCGCCGGTCCGTTCGTTCTCCGTTCGTTCGCTGTTTCCAAGATTAGTCTAGTCCCTGGTGTGAGTCGCACCTACCCAGACCGTTCGCTACTTGACAGGCTGTGAATTCATTGTTCTGACAATCGTATTTATATTTTATTATTTTGATTTTTTAAAGAATATTTCGGTATATCCATGTTAGAAATATAAAAGCCAAGCCCTGGACTATTTCATCTTTTCTTTCTTCTCTGTATCAAATGCAATCATGGTTAACAAAATAGGTCTACGGGGAGCTCTCTCCAAACTACGCAAGTCGCCTGCCCAACCTACACGTGAGCCAGAGATTGTCCATCCTCAAGAAATTATCTATCCTCATTTCAAGCGTCCTGTCTCAAAGGATTCCCCCATTTATTCTGAATTGATGTTCCCTCCTACTCCTCTCCCAACTGTCCCCATGGCGTCCGATTCCAACCTTGATCCTCTAGTCATGGCTTCTACCATTTCCCAGGCCCGCCTGAATGCTCTGCAATCAGGAGACGACCTGGATTTGTTTTTCCAAAAGGGTAAGGACTGTATTGATGCTTACGCCCAGGCCATCAAGGCCATGATGGAAGATGCCTCTGTCCGCGTCAAGGCTGGAGAGGATCCTCCATTTGAAGAGATCGAACAGATGAAGGAGCGCTTCTTCAAATACTGCCAGTCAATCGTGGAGGAAGCATTGACCCTGGTCGCACGAGCTCGAGCTGCCAGACACCCCCAGCACACCGAAGTTTCCACCAGCTCGACCGTGCCTTCGCTGGTCTCCTCAACTTCAACTTCAACTTCAACCCCGGCTTGGTATGAGCCAGACGTGCCCTGGGACCTTGACCGACCTGATGACAGAACAGGATTCTCTGGCGCATTGGTGAGTGATTTGTCTCCACGCATTGATCTCACTTTTGAGAGAGTTGGCATTGACCCTGACCTCTGATAGCTCGCGTCTAGTGGCCAGGACCGCCTTCGTCTCTACACTGTGAGCAGTGACGACTGGGTCATGGTCCCATCGATCCCATCTCCCACATCTCCAACCAAAATTGTGGCCCCCAACCACATGGATCCTGTTGAGGAATCGATTCATCTCGGTGTCATCGTGCGCATCTTCGGCAAGGTGTACACAATGGCGAAGATGATGGAGACAATCACCATGTATTACGGCGCTGACGTAGGCCTTGCCCCAATCCTTCTACCTATTGCTTGGAAATGTAACTGCTAACGCCGACTTTCTACTCTTAGCCCGACGATTCCAAGACTGGCCTGACATACTGGATCACACGCAGCGAGCAAAACGTGCGCACTCCAAAGATAGCTGTGCTCATTGACATTGTCGAAAACCTGTATTACGCCCTCTATTCCCGCCTTACCATTGAGCTGGCCAGCATTGAGCTCTGCGGTTCCTTCCCAATCGACGCTCGTGCAGTACGAATGGAGATTCCGCACCTTATGCCAGAGGCTGATCATCTCTATCGCATCGCACTAGCGTTCAAGGAAGTGCTGGACTCTCCCCAAATCTGTGCAATCCTTCGGAAAGACGTCCTCGCCTACTTCCAGCAAGCATATATCGACCAGCCCAGAGAAGAGGAACGCCGCCAGTGGACCATTGATTACCTGGGGTATCGTGAGTTTGCGATGCGAACCGTCTCTTACCGACGCGGATCCTACTGTGAGAAATGGCGACAACTGATTCCCTTCTTCAACTCCATCTCAGCGGAAACCATGACAGCACTGTCAGAGAAGTATCTGTTCCTGACTCCATGGCGTATTCCGCCTGACGACATCCCATTCGACCACCTTCCATGGCTCAGCCAAGACGCTGTGGGAATGGAGGTCTGGGACACGGATGTTGTGAACGAGAGACACTTGTCACAAAGGGCCCAAATTAACGGTACAGGCATGGGAGACGAGCGCAAGAAAGAGCCCATCCCTGATCTTTACTACCATGTCAGACAAGGAAAGTGCATTTGCGACTCTATCTGCCAATGTTCCTTGCACTGCATCTACGATGTGGAGCGCTACTGCCGTTGTTCGGAACGACATGTACGCATCATGGCGGCCAAGCGTGGACTTGCACACAGACGGAATAGCGGACCTACTTTCGCCGCTACTGCTTCCACAATTGCTCGCAAGTTCTTCGATGGCTTAGCTGAGCTCAAGCGTGACGTCAAGGACAACGTTATCGCCATTGAATTGGAGAATGCTTTCGAATTCTTCGCTCTGTTAATCTCCAACGAACGCGCTATGACACCCAGTGAACGCTCCGGGAAGAGCTCCTAAGAGCCGTCTCTCATTTCACGATTTACGATCACGATCACGACTACACCTACGATTCACGATTCACGATTCCCGATTCGCAGTCCCGTCACTCCAACCACGACTTACGATCACGATCACGACTACGATTCACGATTCGCAGTTTCCAATGCCAATCCAAGTTTCACGAGAAGCACCCAACCGAAACCAATGTGCAAAACAAAAACGAAAACGAAAAAAAAAAAGAGTGAAAAAGAACACCCTCAAAAATGACAACAAAGGTGACAACAAAAGGAGGAAAAGGTAATGGATCCCACCAGGAATGTGTTCGATGAGGAGAAACCATCGAAAGGAAGTAATGAGAGGAAGCAAAAGGGCAATCAACATCATTTGACAGATATCGGAAACTGATCATGAGCCATGTCATTTATTTGATGAAGCCACGACGAGAGGTCTACATATCCTGTCTTGAAATGAATTAATTCAGCCCAAGCTGCTACCTAATGTTCCGTACAGACCCATCCCATATACGACGAGGCGACCTCATCAACAGCAGAGCACGCGGCTACACCTTCAGGAGCCCATCATAAGTGATACACTTTGGACCACCCGGCTTCGCGAGACACCCTACCTTGGTAATACTACCTCTGCCTCGTATCTAACCTCCACAGCATTGACATGGAAATCATCTCCACCGATGTCTTGGGGCATTTTGAAGTATTCCCCAGCTCCAGTTAGTTCAGCGATTGGTGCGAGACTGGCTATGGTCTTCAACGCTAATCTTCAACCGGTGGACATATTCAGATCCTTCTTTTTGGACTCGCTAACTTGTCCTGTAGTTCAGTTTGAATCATTTTGCATCTCTTGCTGACTCGGCTGATATAGCCTTTACTGGAACATATGTGTGAACAGAGCGAAATCAACTGTAACTTAGATAATGTCATCTTTGGGGATATACATGTACCTACAACATATAGACAAGTCCTGGAAGTCCTGGGAGGATTAGTGAACCGGCATATAGTTAAGTAAATGTAAGTAAATGTAGCCCTAAGATTCCCGGGTTTTTGTATTACTGCTCTAGAAAAAATAGATTTTGGACAAATCCAACAGAAGCAAAAATAAGGAAACATTTGAAAGAACAATAAATACCAAAATATCAAAATATCAAAATACCAGAAATGCCGACATCTGGAGATTTTGACGATTTTCATATTCTCAGAGATACTCCGTAGTGTAAGGTACAGAAGGTAACAGTCGGCGGCGCAGACCAGTGATATCTTCGATTCTCTCGGCCCTCGCCCGGTGAGTCGCATTTTTTTTCTTTTCTTTGCCTTACCTAGGTACCTAGGTAAAGCCAGGTCTGAGTCAACCCTTATTTTCTGTCTTATATTCTGTCTCTTCATCTTTCTACCTTTTCATGCCTTAATGCCCCAGAACCCCTTCACCGAGCCCATCTTGGTGCACAGAGAGCCAAGTTAGGGATGGTGACCAAGGCAGCGGCTGTGTCACATTCATTATCATCATCATGGACGTCCATTAGCAAGTGGATCGCGAACATAAGCATAAATCAAGCCCCGGTCCAGAGTGCCCGCCTCCGACAACCGAGCACAGCACGGCCATACCACGCGGCAGTGTGGCCCTCCTACGGCATCACCACTCCCGTCCCCGACCAGCCCTTCGTTCCCCCCCAAGTCGCCCTTTCGATTCGAGACTGGCTACGCTCTGTGTGCCAAACGACCCTCACGACCTTTTCCTCCGCCTTTCCTTTCCCCACCCTCGTCATCATTCTCCGATCCTTTAACCACTCACGGGCTAAGCCAGGATAAGAGATTATCCGTCAAGGGCGAGCTAGTCCGCGGCCTGAACAACGGAGATGATGCCATCATTGTCGCGGAGAACTTCATAGGCGTCGACGATGGCGTAGGCGCCTGGGCTACGAAACCTCGTGGTCATGCTGCGTGAGTGGTCTCAATCTCAATTGGTACCAATTGTCACGATCGCTGACCTTTTCATTTCCCCGATACAGACTCTGGTCTAGACTCCTATTACACTTCTGGGCCCTCGAGGTCGAAAAGAATGTCGACCACCACACGCCTACCCTCGACCCGGTCGGATACCTGCAGTATGCATACGAGGAGACATTGCGGGCAACCACATCTCCTACCGAGTGGCTCGGCACAACAACTTCGGCCACTGCCATACTGCACTGTACCAAGGAACAAGATGGGACACAGAAGCCACTGCTGTACGTTACAAACCTGGGCGACTGTAAGATCCTCGTGATTCGGCCAAGCGAGAAGAAAGTACTTTTCCGCACTGCCGAGCAGTGGCATTGGTTCGATTGTCCCATGCAGCTTGGCACCAACAGTATGGACACACCTCGGAAAGATGCAGTCTTATCCAAAATTGCGGTGCAGGAAGACGACGTCGTGCTGGCGCTGTCGGATGGCGTTATGGATAACCTTTGGGAACATGAGGTTCTAAAAGTCGTTATTGACAGTATTGATAAATGGGAGGAAGGGCGCGCGGCAACAAAGAATGCTGCGCAGCATCCTCATCTGTCTGATGACCGCAATGTCTATGTCGCTCGGGAACTGCTTAATGCTGCTCTGACGATTGCCCAGGATCCCTTTGCAGAGAGTCCCTTCATGGAGAAGGCAGTGGAAGAGGGTCTGGCTATTGAAGGAGGCAAAATGGACGATATCTCCGTCGTGATCGCATCCTGCAAAAAAAGTGATGGGTGAGAGACAGCTACTGGTTTTACGATCAGACTTTCTTTCACAAATATCCACCGATCTTGAATTCGGCGTGTCTCGGACTTGCGCCAGTTTTCATTGATACCGAATAACCGAATCTCGGCAGGCATTTATTCCCGGTCTAGCATCAATGTGAGATGCTCATATCTATCGCAAAAAGCTCGTCCAACTACATCGCTATTGCGCAGCTACGATGCCTTGCAAGTGTGGAATCAGGTCCCAACCATGCATTGCAGTCAAAATCCCAACCCGTCAACCCCTTGGGAATGACTTGCACATATCTCCGGGTGCTCCAGCGCGAGGCATGATTGCTTCCTCGCTGGTCATCATCATACTCCCATCCGTTGTATCGTCCATCAGGTCAGGGACTCTATGTCCAGCGGGGAATTTACATTGGAACTCCGTGAGTTCCTGCTGACCGGCCAAGCTGGTGATTTCTGCCTACACCAAGCATCTTTGCTATCATATTGGAGACTCCTTACACATATGGGCTCACCTATGAGGGATTCCATTACTGGCGCGATGTGGCCTGTATGTCAATCATATAATAGTTATTTTCGGTCTAAGCAGAACTAATAATAATATCTCGTCAACAAATATATAGTATGCTGTGTTAGTTTCTCATCTTTAAGTCTGTTGACATCAGTAAATGCGAAGTATAAGGTACTTAATTTCAAGGCTAGATGCCCCCACTTTGACAAAGTACTGGGTACCTCATTCCCAGCACGGACCAGACCACCGCCGCTCCCGCCCGGCAGAATGAAAAAAAGTTTCGGTCGACGCAGAAGCTCTTGGCTTTTGCTGCATTCAATCCTCAAATACTTGACACACACCATTCACAATGAGGGCCAAGCGTTCAAAGAAGTATCGCAAGCTTATGCACCAGTATGAGCTCACTTTCGGTTTCCGAGAGGCCTATCAGGTCCTGGGTATGTTCCATTCAATGCATTGTTCTGATGTACATACTGACTTGCGCTCGAACAGTTGACTCAAATTTCCTTCGCGCCACCGACTCCTTCAAGATGGAGCTAATTCCTGCACTTGAACGAACAGTCCAAGGCAAGGTCAAGCCTTGTAAGTCGCACCGAATCTCACGGTCCCCATCCGCCAAGACGTATTCCAACTAACCACCTCACAGTATTGACAAAGTGCTCGCTCGCCGCTATCATGGCCGCACAACCCATCAACCCCAAAACCGAAAAGCCATACCGACCTCTCTTCCTTCCCCCTCCCACAGAACTCCCGCTCCGCCATTGCTCGCACAATGCGGACTCCACGCCCATCGACGAAGTCGAGTGCCTCCTTTCGCTGCTTTCACCCAACCCAGACTCAAAGAAGAATAAGGAGCACTACATTCTGGCTTGCGCCGATCCAATCGTGAGAAAAACGAACAACAGCGAGAATCAGCCCCGCAGACGGAAAACCGAGGAGGATCGTAAAGAAGAGGAAGCTATGCGCCGTTCTCACGCATTGCGCACTGGTGCCCGCTCCATTCCCGGAGTGCCTATCATCTACGTCAAGCGCTCGGTGATGGTCCTGGAGCCGATGAGTGGGCCGTCCGAGATGGTGCGGGATGGTCATGAGCGTGGAAAGTTCCGCGCTGGATTGGATGTGGATCCTATGCTGGGCAAGCGCAAGAGGGATGGTGAAGCTGATGGCGAGAGTGCTGATGAGGCGGAACCGAAGAAGAAGCGCGGTCCTAAGGTTAAAGCGCCTAATCCTCTCAGCGTGAAGAAGCCTAAGAAGAAGACTGAGGCGCCGGCACCCAAGAAGGATAAGGCTGTCCGGAAGGAGGTCGCGGATGCTACTGAGCAACATGATGGCGGTGAAGCTGCCGCGGCCAAGCCCAAGAGGAAACGTCGTCATGCTAAGAGTGGTCCTCGTGAAGATCTCGAGGCCGCCGAGCCTAATGAGGCCATGGAGGTTGACGCTTGATTGAATCTTTACGGCATAGGCGACTCATGATGCTGGTTATCATTGCATGCATTCTCAACCTTATTTCACTCCTAGGGCGCGGCGTTCAGATCGGATGGGTTATATCTAAAAGTTCAACTGGTGTACATAATAGTAATGTACATCCGATATCATTCTAGAGATCGTACCCAGTACATCGTAGATTAAGTGTCCGACACTGGTGCCAGATAAATCATGAGAAAGAAGACAGAGCGAAGTCCAGTCGATCGTATATATATTTACATGTTCAGATATTGTACAAGTATTCTTCCCCAGATGAAATGAGAGGAGATAATTTTGCCTGTCGCCATGCATTCTCACAAGATATCCCAGTCGAACAGCAATCTCGAGGCCATGCGGAAGGCCACCACTAATACCAAGCAGCGGTGCTGTCTTTCAGGTATGAGTCAAATCAAAGAATAGCCATAAAGAGCACACTCCAAACTCCAGTCCCGAACATGATGGCATATGCGCATCTCACAGTAGTCTATTGCTTCGCAGTACTGGCATTAGCCGCCGCAGCAACATTCGCCGCCGCCGCCGGTACAGCAGGCCCTTGATCAAGCTCGCGCTCTTTGGCCCGGATCTCCTCAATACGCCGGCGGTTGCTGCGCGCCTCGTCTCGGTTGCGCTTTGCGCGCTGGTATCGCTCTGCGGATAGGCATTTGTTCACGTCGACCTTGATATCGTTACAATTGCCCAAAGCTTTGTGGAGGAATCCTTTGGCGTGACACTCGTCGAGAGCAGTCATGATCTCTTCGCAATCTGTATCATATCAGTCAGTATCGGCACTTATGAAACGGGATGTGGTGGCTAGATGGATCTTCTGGGCGTGGTGGACATGACGTACTGGCATTGTAAGAGGTGTGTAGGTGAGAATGCATAATTGCGGTGGTACTAGGTTGAAAAGAAAAACGACCTGAAGGACAATTGCAGGTTCAATCGTACGATCAACGCAAAGCAAGAACATCACGGTTCCGCAAAACCCCCGGGCGGTAAGGAGATCGGGCAGATTCTGCCGGGCGGACAGCCCCTCACACCGATAAAAAAAAATATCGCCGATAAAAAAAAGTGGACGAGTGTGATCAGTTTTGTCACAACACTTTCACAATGTCTTCCATGATTACAACTACGACTTGGGTGAGGCGCGGTGTAGCTGCCCAGTTCCCTACCAAATATGAGATCGACGAGGCCGAGATGGGCCGTATATCTAAGCTTGCCCGCATGCAGCTCGAGGATGCCAAGGACGATATGAATGCTGCCCAGGATGGTTCTGGAGATGAGGGCGATGATGTTATGGAGGAAGATACTGAGGAGAAGGCCTCAGCAACCAATGGCGCCGATTCAAAGGAGTGAGTAGTGTTTAGCGCAGCGAGAATTCAACTCGAGCTAATCGGTTTTACAGCGATGATGATGTGTTGAAGGAATTCGACATGGATAACTACGACAAGGAGGAGGTCGATGAGGAAGGCGAGAAGGTCACCATGTTCGGCAATGTCCAATCCCTGGCCTACCACCAGCCCAACGAGGAAGACCCGTACCTTGTGATCCCCGAGGACGAGGATGATGAGGAGCGCGAGGAGCTCCAGATTATGCCCCACGACAACCTTTTATTGGCCGGAAAGGTGGAGGACGAAGTTGCGCACTTGGAGGTCTACGTTTACGAAGACAAGGCCGATAACCTCTATGTGCACCACGACATCATGCTGCCCGGCATCCCGCTTTGCACAGAGTGGCTCGATATCCCCGTTGGCAAGAACCCCGAAGGCCGGACACAAGGAAACTTTGTGGCTATCGGAACCATGGAGCCTGATATTGAGATCTGGGATTTGGATGTCGTGGACTGCATGTACCCCAACGCCATTCTCGGACAGGGCGGCCAGGACGCCGAGAAGACGAAGAAGAAGCAAAAGAAGAAGGCCAAGGCCAACGACGAGTACCACATCGATGCCGTCCTAGCGCTGGCCGCCAACCGTCAGCACCGCAACCTGCTTGCGTCAGCCTCAGCCGATAAGACCGTCAAGCTCTGGGATCTGACCACCGCCACCTGCGCCAAGTCCTACACCAACCACAAGGACAAGGTTTGCTCACTAGACTGGCACCCAACTGAGTCCACCATCCTGCTGAGCGGCAGTTACGACCGCACGGTAGTGGCAGCAGACATGCGTGCGCCGGACGCCCAGGCGCGCTGGGGCGTCGACGCAGACGTCGAGTGTGTGCGCTGGGACTCGCACGACCCGAACTTCTTCTACGTGACCACCGACGGCGGCATGGTTTACCGCTACGACATGCGTAATATCCCCACCACCCCGCCGAGTCCAAGCCCGTCTGGTCTTTGCAAGCACACGACTCCTCCGTTTCATCCTTCGACATCAACCGCTCCATCCCCGGCTTCCTTGTGACCGGTTCAACAGACAAGACCGTCAAGCTGTGGAGCGTCGAGAACGACAAGCCCACTCTGGTTGTCACGCGCAAGCTCGAGGTCGGCAAGGTGTTCTCTACTAACTTTGCTCCCGACCAGGAGGTCAGCTTCCGGTTGGCGGTTGCTGGTAGCAAGGGTAATGTGCAGATCTGGGATGCTTCGACTAACGGCGCTGTCCGTCGTGCGTTTGTCTCTCGCATGCCTGACCTTGCTGGTGATGTTCAGGAGCGCACTGTTGGTATCAATCCTGATAATGACGATTCTGATGACGATGAGGAGGTGGAGGGTGACGAGGGGGAGCCTCGTGGTGGTGATGGCTGGGAGTCGATGGATGAGGACTAGATGGACACAGATACCCGTGGATCCTTCCGTTTCGTATGCGCCAAAAAATAGATTTGCTGTTGGGTTTTGCGTGTTAATGACCAGTCTGTTATGAAGTTTTGGAAATATGAGAACAATTCCAATCATATTCAAGCGTTGACATACATATGTATGTTGTAAGATAACTACACGTCCACGGGTGGTCAACTAGGTAGCTGTTCGAGGTAGTGCACTCTACCGTGACGCCGTACCTTATGATGCCCTACAGCCTGAATTATTGTTTGGGCAATAGCTGAACGTGCCCAGGTGTAAATCTCCTTATCCACGTGGTACTACGCTTGGTTCGATTGGACCCACGTAACACAACCTTATCCTTACTCTAAATCACCTAATTGAGGTGTCATGAAACAATATCTCCTTCACTACTTGGGCACATCTGACTAGACAGACCGAGTCCAACACAAATGCAGTTTTTGTGCAGTTTTGGCATGAGTGCGGGCCGGGCTATCGGCTGCGATCAAGTCATCATCCTATGTATGTGAGTGCTGGCTCCGAATTCGACATTCGACATTGACTGACTCACCCCATAAACAATACTGGCAAAGTTTGACGAATTGCACCTTCCAATCAAAGATTGCCTAGGAGTAAGCGTGTTGCTAGATAGCAAGGAACAAAAAAAAAAGTGTATAAACAATGACGACTTGTAGACTTGAATTGGCTGGTACAAACAAAGAAATTCAAAGCTCTAACCCTGCACTCGGAACGTGCGACCACTAGCAGTCTTGCGCTCACGTTCTTCATTCTCCGGCCGAGCTCGGTTGAGCACTGTTGTGGGTTAGCAGTGAACATACTTTCCTTGCTTGGATGACACATACCCTGAAGGAAATCCGCTGTTCTCTTCCTCATTCGAGTGTGGATGTAAGCCTGTAATAAAGGGTTAGTCATCGATACCTTGAAACCTTGGAAATATCTAAACAAGACCGAGAAAAACTGCGTACCTTTGAGGCTTTGATGTGGTAGTGGAAATAATCACGGAAGGTCTGAATGTGGGAAATGTTTTCATAGCGACGCTGCGGGGTCAGGTGTCGAGGGAACAGAACTGAAAGCCGAGTCAGTACTAAGATGGAAATTGATGGCACACTTTGCATTCATACCAAAGGTGACATAGCTAACTTCGCCTCCAGCAGCACTCAAACCAGGCACATTTGCAAGCTCAAGGGGAGGGTCGTTACGGAACAGGACTTGAGGAGCATTCTGAAGCGTCAAGACACGTCGCCGGGCGTCGACAAATTCCTATAGGCTGTTAATAAGGGTTCCTCATGGATCCACAGACCAATTGAGGCAAAGTACGAACCTGTAGGAAGACCTTGCCAAAGATGCGGTCTGTCTCTTCGCGGAACACGGTGCTGAAGATCACTGTGACTCGGTCCCAATTGGCTTTGATATAGATGGCCTCCTCCTCACGGTAGTGGATCGCCATAACTTCACCACCCTCCTGGATACCCTGTGGTGCTGACTCTGAAGTGTATCTGGAAGCCTCCTCCGCGAGTTTGTTGAATTCATCGAATGCTCTCTCAAAGGGAGCAGCCATTGCGTTCCGTTTCAGGAGGGCAAGCTTCATAATCAGGTCATTCCGGGCCTCCTCCTCTGCGGGCAGGTTCTCGAGATCGACTTGTACTGAGAAATCATATCCCGGCTCCGGAGACACAATGTAGGGACCGTATTCTCTCTCCAACACCTCCTGGGCCCCGTACTGAACCAGTTCCTTGTAGCACTTCACATTGATCGAGATGAGGATCTTCGTCTTAGACTCGGGAGTAGAGAGGTGGAATGTCACACCGTCGAAGTCGGAAACCACTTGGTCAATGGAGGCGGGGGGTGCTCTGAGTTCAGCTTGTTAGCCGGGTGCCTGCTTCGGGGTGATGTGTATACAATGCGCGGGGTCGCAGTGCTAAGGGGGAGGAACAAAGCATACCCAGAAAAACGCTCCGTTAGGAGCGACTGGATCAAAGCATTCTGATAATCTAAGAGAAGCATGACGGGCAGGACAATGAATGGTATACAGTGCAAATGGGTGGCTGTTGTGAGGTTGCCCGTGATCGTCATGGGCGGTGGGGGGAGCCGGAGAGGTCGCTGTCACCGCCCGTATTAATTTTGTCCTATCGATAGCAATCGGAGATTCCAAAAATTTTCCCATCCGCCTTCAACGATGGTGAAATCATACTTGTACGTGCGATTTTTTGTGGCTTGGAATTATCTGATCTGGGCGCTAACCATTATGCAGTAAATTCGAGCATTCGAATACATTCGGGCTCGTCGCTTCGGCGTCTTCGAATGCGGTTTGGGCCAAAGACGACCAGACTGGCATTGCACGTCAGACGGGCGCTGGACGAGCCATTGTCGGCGCAAGTGAGGAAGTCTTGTGCTGGGATGTAAAGAAGGGAGAACTCCTTGGAAGATGGCGCGATTCTGCCTGCAGAGCGCAGGTTACTGTGGTCACTCAGAGCATGACAGATGAAGATATATTCGCAGTTGGGTGGGTGTCCTCCAATGTGGCCCAGTCGGGTGATTTTGGCTAACTGTTATGTCTCTTCTTAGCTACGAGGACGGAAGTATTCGTCTTTGGGATTCACGCACCGCCACGGTCATTATTTCTTTCAACGGCCATAAATCCGCCGTCACCAAGTTGGCCTTCGACAACGCAGGCGTGCGCCTCGCTAGTGGCTCGAAAGATACCGACATCATCCTCTGGGATTTGATCACTGAGACCGGTCTTTTTAGACTTCGCGGACACACCGATCAGATCACATCGCTACATTTCCTATTCCCATCCCCGAATTGCTCACTGCTTCCGGATTGAGTGAACACTCAGGTTTCCTATTAACTACCGGAAAAGATGCATTGATCAAAGTCTGGGATCTCGCCTCTCAGCACTGCATTGAAACACATGTGGCACAATCAAATGGCGAGTGCTGGAGCTTGGGTCTTTCGCCTGACCAGGGCGGATGTATCACAGCTGGCAATGACGGTGAACTTAGGGTCTGGTCGATTGACGAAGCGGCTATGATGGAGATTTCAAGGGAGAAGGTGGGCGCAGATGGTCGCCGAATTCTTACGGAACGAGGAACTTTCTACCGACATGGCAAGGACCGCACAATTGGCATCCGATTCCACCCCCGTGCAGACTACGTTGGATTCCACGGTTCCGACAAGTCGGTCGAGGTTTGGCGCATTCGCTCTCAGTCGGAGGTCCAAAAGAGTATGGCCCGGAAGAAGAAGAGAAGAAAGGAGAAGGAGGCTCGCACCGAGGAGAACGGACCAGAACAGGATAACGATAAGCCTGAGGATGTTTCCGCCGCTCCCGTGTCTGAAGTCTTTGTCCAACATGTTATCGTGCGAACTGGCGGAAAGGTTCGTTCCTTTGACTGGATGACCAACAAATCAAGTGGCTTGAACCTCCTTGCCGCAACAACAAACAACCAGCTTGAGGCCTACAATGTTGTGCCAGCGAACAAGAAGAACACCGACAGCGAGGATCCGGACTACACTCGGAGCTTGGCAGTGGACATTCCTGGCCACCGAACAGATATCCGGTCGATTGCATTGAGCTCCGACGACCGAATGCTTGCCTCTGCTTCAAATGGCACTCTCAAGATCTGGAACGTTCGCACCGAAAGTTGTCTACGAACACTGGAGTGTGGATATTCCCTGTGTTCAGCATTCCTTCCGGGAGATAAGATTGTGGTTGTTGGTAACAAGAACGGAGAACTCGAGGTGTTTGACATCGCATCCTCAACATTGCTCGACACTATCAAAGCCCACGACGGACCCGTGTGGTCACTTCATGTGCACCCAGATGGCAAGTCTATGGTCAGTGGAAGTGCAGACAAGACAGCCAAGTTTTGGAATTTCCAGGTTGTCCAGGAGGAGATCCCGGGAACCAAACGTACCACCCCCCCGCCTCAAGCTGGCACACACAAGAACGCTGAAGGTCAACGACGATATCCTCAACCTTCGCTTCTCTCCGGATGCACGACTTCTGGCGGTTTCTCTCTTAGACAACACCGTGAAGGTTTTCTTCGTCGACTCGCTGAAGCTATTCCTCAACCTTTACGGACACAAGCTTCCGGTTTTGAACATGGATATTTCCTATGACAGCAAACTAATTGTTACTTGCTCGGCTGATAAGACCGTTCGACTCTGGGGGTTGGACTTTGGTGATTGTCACAAGGCTCTCTTGGCCCACGAGGACAGTATTATGGCAGTGGCATTCGTTCCTCACAACAAGGATGGAAACGGGCACAACTTCTTCAGTGCAAGCAAGGACCGTAACATCAAATACTGGGACGGTGACAAGTTCGAGCAAATCCAGCGCCTTGTTGGTCACCACGGCGAGATCTGGGCACTTGCCATGAGTCACACTGGTGATTTCATCGTCAGTGCCAGTCACGACAAGAGCATTCGCATCTGGCAGCAAACAGACGAGCCGTTGTTCCTGGAGGAAGAACGTGAGAAGGAGATGGAAGAGGCTTACGACAGCACACTTACCGCATCCCTCGAGCAGGAGGAGGACGGTGAAGACGGCGAGAAGGCCGAGGCCGTCGATGCTGGCAAACAGACGACCGGCACTCTCATGGCCGGAGAAAAGATCATGGAAGCTCTGGAACTAGGCCTCGAGGATCTCGAAGTCGTCCGCGACTGGCGCAAGGTCAAAGCCGTCAATCCCAACGCTGCCCCGCCCGATCGTAACCCGGTCTACCTGGCTCTCAACAACGTCTCTGCCGAGCAGCACGTTCTGAACACCGTCCAGAAGATCCCCGCCGCTGCCCTCCAGGACGCTCTCTTGGTTCTGCCATTCTCCAAACTCTCCGCTCTCTTCACCTTCCTCAACATCTGGGCCGATCGCGAATGGAACGTGCCCCTCACCTGCCGCGTGTTATTCTTCATCCTGAAGACGCACCACCGCCAGATTGTTGCCAGCAAGATGATGCGTCCTATGCTCGACAGCATTCGGGCATCGCTTCGTCGGGTCCTTGCCCGTCAGAAGGACGAGATGGGCTTCAACCTTTCCGCGCTGCAGTTCATTGGCAACCAGATCCGCGAGCAGAGTACCACGGACTACGTTGATGAGGAGACTTGGGAGGAGCAGCAGACCTCCAAGGGCACGGGCAAGAAGCGCCAGTTTGTCAGCGTTGCCTAAGTTTACCTAGGATTAGGTTTGTGTACAAGCATGTCTATTGGCGTTATGATCATTTTCGACCTTGTTACCTTGGAGGTCTTCTCTATCTTGGTTTCCATATAAAAGTTTTATATCCTTGGGAGTTGAAGAAAATATAAGGAATGTATGATAGTTCAATTTCGAAGTAAAATATAATCTTTTCCCTGGGATGTCTACTGAATTTTCATAAATATAAGTGTATCAAAGTATACTTCATTCAATTGGTCTAGCTATTATATTCTCCCACGGGCAATCATCCAAGCAGTCGACGATATCAAAAAAGAATCAGAAATCTGCATTGCAAAAGAGAAATCATTAGCGATTTATTCCAAGCAACGACACGTCGACCTTTCCAAGACCACGACCAAGAAAAGAAACAACAAGCATCCAAAGACTCTACTCAGGAGAACCATTATAAGCATCGACGACAGGGCTTTCAGCCTCTGCCATACCTCTTCCGGCTCTTCCTATTAAAAATTCCGGTTCTAATGCGAATCTCATCATGATAGAGTCTGTTTGGTGCGATGTTTGTTGTTTCTTCACTGGTCCTGTCAGGGGAGTTTAGTACCACATACCTATTAGTGGGTTCTTCCAGCATGCACCGAAGATCAATCTCATTTCTTGGTCTCGGTCCACACTGGACTTTTGGTGTTGGTTGGAACTGGAGAAGAGGAAAGAGTTCAGTTGGGAGTTTTGTGAGAAAATTTGGCCCGGTGGAGCTCTCTTAGTCATGGTGGTCACGTGCTACTTTTGTAGGGGGGGCTCTACTCTACTGGGTAACCGATTTCGGGATTTGTATAAAATTTGTATGAAAATTTAATATTCAATCAAGATTCATTGTCATACTGGTATGTATTTCATAACGGTCATGATTCCCTGTTTCAAGGCATATAGGCATATGGTGGTGAACCATCTCGAGATATGATCAAGAGGACGGCTTCATTGTCCCACAACAAGAACAAGTCCACCACTGGGTCTCCATAAAGCTACTACACGAGATGCAGACCCATCCAAGAGGCTTCTTGTCTACACCCCGGTCCAAGGATTTCAGGGTATCAAGTGCACGGGTTCGGTTCTTGAAAACAAATGGATTCCCGGGATTCGTTTGCTTCTCTTCCTTTCGATCAAAAGATAAAGGCCTTTTCTTTGAGTTTCGTGACTCCGAACGCACTGGTTGGGTAGGATTTTGGTCGGGGTGGATGTAGATAGCGTATTGGTCGGAGGCGGTCGTTCTGCTGCACAAACATCACAACACAGGAAGGTAGACGGGTTCTCGAGCGTGCACATTGGGCATATCCAGGGTGTTTCGTATGAGCTGTTATCCGCTGTAAGATTAACTGTTTCATTGTGACTCGATGACGGGGCTTCTTTTGGAAGCACGGGCAGAGATTCAGAGATAGCAGTTGGGGTGTCGGAAGCAGTAGGTGGCGGCGATGATTTTGCTCGAGGTCCCGCCGGGTTCTCTTGACTTGGCGGGACATATGATGACTCGTATTTCTCCCTTTCTTCTTCCTGTATCAGCTCTATAAAGGCCTCCATGATAGCCCGCTCGTTTGCATCGTCTTCCTCAGCCTGGGTCCTGAAACCATGCGAGGCTTCTTCCGCAAGCTCGGTGCTTCGATCGGTACCGGATGCACAACCCTGAGTTACTTCGATTCGCCGCTGCGCAGCGTCAGCCCGGAGCTTGCGTATATCTGTTCCTCGGAGCACGCGAGTGCCGCCAAGCTTTTTGCCAGAATTTTTAGCAAGAACCCTTCGCTGTTCAGCAGCTGCACGAGCCTGACGTCGGGCTTCATCCAGCGGGATTCTTTGGCCACCCAGGCGCTTTCCTTGAGACAAAAATCCCTCTCCAGTGTAGCCTTTTCGGGCTAGTTCCTCATGCTCATCACGAAGTTGATTCCACAGAGCATGAAACTGCTGGTTGTGAGGACCAATCATGTTGTGGGATAGTCTAGACTTTTTCATCAGAAATTCCGCATATTTTTGGGTATTGAGATATGAAACCACTCACTCATGAAGCATAGTATCTACAACCTCCTCGATGGGGAGAAATTGCCGTTGATCGGAGGGATACCGTAATCTCAAACAAATCTTTTGGCCCGAGTTGACATTCAGCCCCAGCAGATTTCGCTGCTGGGGATAGAACTCACAGAGTGCGCCCACTCTCCAGGCGCGCTGCCGCATGATTGGTTTGACCAACGATGCGACCTTGCGCAGGATCAAGAGGGCCTCTGCTTCTCGAGGGCGTTTCTTTTCGTGGCGGTATTCCGAGATCAGAGGGTCTAGCTCCCGCATTTTCGTGATTTTAGATCAAAAACTTGGATGGTACGTTAAAAAAGGATGCCGCAAGTATGAAAGTGTTACTGCCTTCTTTGGGATGGCCTCCTCCGAGGCGAGGGTCTAAGCAGGCAGATTTCACATCAGAACATGACCAAATGGTAGCACTACTCAGATGGCGGTGCAGGTAGCCAGGAACAGTCAAAGGAACATGGCCAGTGATGGAAATTCGAGAATTTATATAACCCAAGTTTGGGACATCCATGGATGGCCTTCTGGGATAAGCAAGGCACCCGTTCAACGCCTGATATTTCCGGCTACATTTCAGATCACGTGTTTTCCATATAGTCGAGGTGAAATGATGCTTTTCCAATCATGTACAATGGGTTAGATATGATTTCAATAGAATTTAGAACTGCTCTGCAGGAATATTCCCGGGTAATACTAGGAGCTGTCAAAGCGATGATTATTCTTCAATCTTGTCTATGCTGTTGCATCATCTTGGCCCAGATATATATCCACAGCATCCCAAAAAAAATACAGCAGCTGAGTTGTTGAAAACCGCATCTTGCTGCTTTTCCACCAATTTTGATTAAGAAGGGGATCTAAAAACCAAAAGAAAAAGCGCAAAGAACATAATTAGTCCAGTATACTCACGCTTAACAGTTTTATACAAAGCGCTGCTCATGTGACCTTTCCGATAACACCCAGAGTGTTATCAGCATCCATCTTATCGAACTTTCGCTCTTCTTTTTCTTTCCAGCTTGTTCTTAAAATAAACAAGATGACGAGCGATGACCAGTTCTTTTTTGACTACGTGAGTATTATGGAAGGAGACAAAGAAATACGTTCGGTGCTGATACTTCCTCACCCAGCTCGCGGCTATACCCCATGACGTAAGGCGGTATTCCCTCGAAGTCGCAGACTCGATCGACCGACAAGTTGATCATGCCGCGCACGCGATCAAGGATATGTTGGCCCAGCAGTCTTGGCTACCACCAACTGTTCGTCCGGCCCGTGTTTCTCCAAGAAACCGGCCATCTCAAGGCCTGACAGACCGGATTCAAAGCTGGATGGGTCGGAATCGCGCATTCACGGCAGCCATCCTCGCATTTATCGGAACCGGTGTTGTCTTATACTATGGAAACAAGAAGTTACACGGAAAACGGAGAAAGGCCCGAAGGGCGAGCAACGGCGCAAGGAAAGAGATTGTTGGTATGTGTCATAATGTCCGCATTCGATCTGCGCTAGGATCTGGGTGCTAATTTTGTGATTATAGTTGTTGCCGGTTCGCCGCATGAGCCGATGACAAGGGCTATTGCCATGGATTTGGAACGTCGAGGGTATATTGTATATGTGACTGTATCTTCCGCGGATGAAGAGCATATCGTCAAGTCTGAGAACCGTGTTGACATCAAGGCTCTCTGGTTGGACCTTACAACTGTAAGTGCTGTTCGTGTATCTCTTATACGGACCAAACTAACATTGTGCACCAGACATCCTCCTCGCCGTCCGAAATCCATCCTTCGTTGCAAGAGCTTCGCTCCTTGATCACTCAACCACAGTCGCCTATCGCCGGAGTGCCTCCGCATACCTGCCAACTGAGCGGCCTTATCGTGGTCCCATCCCCGAACTATAGCTCAGGCCCCGTCGCGACCATCCCGCCATCTTCGTGGGCCGACACGGTCAACACCCGTCTCCTCTCGCCTATCCTCACAGTGCAGGCATTCCTCCCCCTGCTGACCCTCCGCAGCAATAATAGCACTATTGTCTTTGCCTATCCCTCCATATCATCCTCCCTTTCCGCGCCATTTGCTGGACCCGAAGTCGCCACAGCCCGAGCAATCTCAGGCTTCGCAGCCTCGCTTCGCCAGGAGCTTCGTCTTCTCGAACAAGGCAATGTTGACGTCGTCGAGTTGCAGCTGGGAAACATTGACTTGGGGCCCACATATAGAAGTGGCCAGAACCAGATCGCAGGCACGGAAGTCCTTGCATGGAGTACCCAGCAGCGAGCCCTCTATGCCTCACAGTATCTGTCGAGCGTTGAACAGCGACCAGTTGCCTCTGCTGGTCCTAGCACAGTACGCGGATCCCCGGCGCGGAACCTCCACTACGCTATTTTGGATGCTTTGGAGCCCACCTCGCGCGATATCTTCGGTCGGAAAGTGTCCAAGAAATCTGTGCTATACGTGGGCGGGGAGCCCGGTCGTACAGCCTGATCGGGGCCTGGGTTCCCAGTGGACTCGTGGCGCTGATGATGGGGTACCGCAGTGGGAATGGGATGAACTCGGAGACCCCGAGTGGCAGCGGGAGCGAAACCGGCTGGGAGAGAGTTTAAGCTCTGACACATCTCCATGGCACTTCCATATTTAATATATCAAAAGCACTCGCTTGAATAATGCTCTTCTGTACATAATATCATTGGAAATACTCTTCGCTCTTAATGTACTGTTCTGCTTGATTTGATTTTATCAATTCAACGTATCGTTAAACCTCATAGAGGCAATTGTTAGATTAGGAGTTACTTACTAGGGTATCATCGGTATCATGAAGGGTCATTCCATCCCTATCCGCCTAGGCAATTTCCGCCAGAAGAAGTAAACCGACCCATCACCTCCCCATAGACCGGCATACTCTTCATCTCATTCAATTGCTCACCACCGCACGTCCCAACAAAAGCATCGTGCGCGCGTAGCGGATCCCGCCTCGCCCGCTTAATCTTACCGTGTGTCAGACGGCGGCGCAGATGGACCAGGGCCCAGGAAACGAGGAAGAGAACCAGAACGGCAGCCAAGATGCCAAAACAGTATCCCATCACAAGAATGCTCTTCTGTCCATGGTCGACGTCGAGGAACGAGTACGGATACCAGCCCTCGGTTGCATGGGTTATGTATGCAACGCAGAGATAAAGGAGGAGCATGAGGATTAGGAACGGGATTGCAATAAATGGGTGCGGCGCCGTGGCTGGGAGTACGATTTCCAGCAGGGCATAGACGGAGTTCAGGCAGTGTAGGGAGATCTGGTGAACCGGTGAGTTAGCTTGAACTGTGGCTTTCATTAATTGTCTTTTGCCTCTACACCTGCGGATCAGAGGATTGCTGCCGGGAAATTGTAAGGGAGGGCTTGTGATATGTCGATGGATCGAGCGTACTGGCTGAGCCCTGTTTCTTTGGCGGGATATCGAAAAGAAAGAAATAGGAAGATCATACGTACATTTTGCCAGCCGGTGAATATCTTCTCGAACCAGGGGGGAGCGAAGAGCAGAGCCCAGTAGACAATCGTAACGAGAAACGGGTACGTCGTGACTGTCACATACAACAGGCTGTGTAGTACGCGGAAGGCTCGCGGCCAACGGTCGAGGAGAAGCGAGCGGCCCGTTCGTGCATAGCAGGCCGTATGGATAGCGGCGAAGAGCATGTAGAAGCCAATACCCCAGTAAGTCAGCCAGGTGAAGTAGCTGAAGGAGTGACCAATCGAAGCGCGGTCATCGTGGGTGCCATACCAGCCCCAGAAGATGAAGATGGAGACGAAAATGTACAGTGAGATTAGACCGCGAAGACAGGCGAGGATGGCAGGAGGTAAGATCCAAGACGTCTCGAAGTGGTGGTCGTCATCGGTAGTCGGGTCGACTCCGGAGAGAGTCGTTAGTGAGAGTTGAGGCATGCTGATGCGTGGCTTGCGATTCGTTGTTCTCGAGGATTATTGAAGCTAAAGAAGGAAATAAACAAGAAAAGAAGATAGAGATGTATATGTACTAGCTCAGACAGGCAGCAACCCGGCATCAAGGTGATGACATTGAAGCTGGAGGTACTCAATGTCTGTTCTCCCCGCGAAATAGACTGACCTCGCAAGCCGTTCTGCGCCTCTAGGGTTCATATTACGAGGACCAGAGCCAGTCGTGCAGGAAGTATTGCTCGATCCATTCTGTCCCCACCAGCACTGAGTATTCACACCCAAAGAGTTTGAAGGCTCGTGATTGAACCTGACATGGATCAGAATCAGGAGTGAGTCTTACTGATAGAGAGCATGGCCGAAATCTAAGACTGTCTCGATGATCAGCGTTTGGATCACAACATTCGAAACATCGTAACTCGGACGCGTAGAAATATTTGAGACAGGTTAGATGCAGGAGCTATTTTCCCACAGATGCATGCCTTACCGTTGTTGATAGTCATACGGCGGGTACAGTCGTCCAGTGGACTGGCAAACTGCTTTAAAGATGCCGGCCTGACAGCACTCCCTCATATCAATATGTACGTATTTAGAGCGAGCTACGCCGGAAAAACTCATCATCATCAACAACGCCATGTTTAGGAAGGACAAGCTGCAGCTCCACAAGATATTATCAGAGCCAGATCATCTTGCATGTGTCCTACATATCGGTTCCAGGGGATCAACATCTTCTGAATTGATAATACAAAAGCACGATTCTCTATGTGATGGACTCAGTCCTACAGATCTACAAAGAGGGTGTATGATCAACACAAGGCCATGATCTTGGATGCTGATGCTGATCTCTACTTGTTGCCATGAAGACCATTTATATATCCTCATGGGGACAAGCGATCAGGCTACAAAACCAGAGAGGGCGAGAGAAGAAGGATTGATTCTCTATCAGCAAAGAGAAACTAGCTAATATAGCTAGCTGGAAAAGCCAAGCTTGACAAACTAGGCATCGGCCTGTCTCAACACAAATAAGCAAAGGCACAAAACACTCAAAGTCTAGAAAGATCTAGCAAAAAGGGGGCGGAGTCAATGAGCAATGGAAGAGCTGCTATACTGCACGAAAGCAGTACCTGCATCGAGATGCATCACCATGTCCTTTATTTGAGGTCCTTGAAAGTCTCGTTCTTCTTTAAGAAATCCACCCACATGGTCGGGTTGTCCTCTAGAAGCGCAAGGCTCTCTTCCAACGGTTCAGAACCAAAGTATCCGTCTTCATAAACAAGGCGCATCATCTCCAAGATACCTTCCGCTGCCCAATCCGGTAATCCCATTGAGTCTTTAACCCCCTGCAGGAACATTTCATGTGGCAGGCTGAAGAAGCCGGCTGCCTTACCAGCCTCTGGGAAGGCCTGCTTGAACCCGTCGACTACTTCCTTGGGAGTCGTATACTTCGTAGCACCCAGTACACGCTTCCCCAGCAGCTGGTCTCGTTTTCGTACAATTGCCTTGACCCAGATTCCGGTGTTGCGAACGTCGAACAAGGGAATAGGTGCGGTTTCAGGCATCGGTAGGGCGAACGTCCAGGCATTCTCAGGTGGGTTCTGTCTAAAAGCCCCACTAAGAGATTGCATATACATCCCAGGCAGGAAGAAGGTGGCCGGAATACCGACTTGTTTAGCATATTCCTCAATCTCAGCCTTGCCGTCGAATTGATAGACGTGGGCAAGTTTTCCATGCGTCACTGGAGGTTCTTGTGTTAGCCAACCTTTTTGCAACCAAAATGGGGACCGGCTAATGCTTACGCTTCTTGACATTGAGCAGAGAGCTCCAGATGAAATGAGAGACAGCAGATTCCTACCGAGGTATTAGAGTGCATTCATACAGGACAGCAAGAGTAAGGAAACAACCTTCGCAGCGTCAACAAGGTTTCGTCCCTGCTGGATTTCGGCTTCAATGCTCATAGTCTCCCAGTAGTTGGTGACGCCAAATGCTGCAGTAGCTCCAGTGAAGGCCTTCACAAGTGAGGCCTTGTCATTCAAGTCGGCCTTTCCAGTCGATCAGTAAGTGAGATGTCCATAAACCCACCAACAAGAATGCTTACAGCAACGATGTCCGCGCCCAGTTCCTTTAGCTTCTTTGCCTTGTCTTTGGATGGATCTCGAGTAACTGCGCGAACCGTCCACTCCTGGTTCAGGATCGGGTCGTTGAGAAAGACATCAACAACGGCACCTCCTTGAGCGCCAGTGGCTCCGATAACAGCGATGATTTTCTTGCCTGCCATTTCCGAGAGGTGAATACCACTTAGGAGGTAATAGCACGAGTGAGCTAGTGATAAAATAGTTATTCCGAAAGACTTGTTAGAAGACTGAAGATTTAATCGTATCTATATGCTGAATGGTCTGCTACTTATACTATCGAACGGTGAGTTCGGGGGTCCTTTGCAATGCTCCCCGAAATGGTCCCCACCGAAGACTTTGCAAATTAAGCCGGCCCCGAAATCAGGGTGACAAACCTGATATCTGTTAATAGTATACTAGTAAGTAAGAATGGGGAACTAAATGTGCTCGCATATTTCTGACCCCAAACCCCGAACTGCACCCGTGGACGCGGGCCCGGAGGAATTCAATATCCGCTTCGGAGTCCGAACCCTACTAGTTAATGATGTCAATGGTATTATAAGCTATGAAAGACCCTTGGGGATACCTGTGACTGGGAAATTACATTTTGGAACAGATGTACCATTTGAGTCAATACTGTGCCAATCTTCATTTCTCTGACAGGATATGTCTAAGGTCCGTTATATGAATAGGACATAACACCTAGAATCCAAGTAATAGAGATCACTTTCCTCATCCAGAACCTGCTCCAAGTTTCAAAGGTAGTCCTCCCGGTTATTTTTACATAGTGAGTAGTCGTAGAGTTCTGGGACTACTGGTAATACGTGTGATGTATACTTACTTCTTTCGCTTTTAAGGGCTGTTCTAAATCCATAGATACATACGACTATGTACATAAAGAATCTCATTTTAAGTTGCTTAGCAGCTGCCACCGTCAGATAGCTTAAGCATCATTTGGCTGCAAAGGGAAGCTGCTGCGTCCCGACTCCCAGCTATTACCACGCTCAGATGGCCAGATATCAGAAATAACCTGTGCTAGCCTCTCTGGGATGCATATTTCTGAACCCTGGTAGCGAGACTGCCTAAGTATCTCCCTTTCCCTTTTCCCGATTTCCCTAATAGCCGGTACCCCCACGTTCTGGAAGTTGTAGCGTGTGATCAAAAACGAACGAGCCAACCAGTCAACGAGGCGATACTCATCATTCGGGAGGTGCTCAAGACCAAAAGGAATGACGCGCAGGTTCCGTAGGCGGCTGGAGGCTTGGTTAGATGAGATCAAGTGCCAAATATGAACAGCAAGTATCTCATCCATTGCCGCATTCACAAATATCTCCTGAAGAACGGATGCCTCAACTTCATGCGTTGGGTCTACCGGCCGCGGTCTGGGATCGAAATGAAGATCCAGTACAAGACTATGGAGGTTTGAAAAGGCCCCCACTGCCTTGTACATTTCGCACTCTTCTTGACTGCCCATGGATCTTTTGATTGGAAGACGGAGTTCCTCTAGCTGGGGACAGGATTTGGCTAGCTGGCTTATGCCAAAGGCATCAAGTTCTGGATATTTATACCCGGAGTCGTCTTCCGTCCTACCCTTGTCCCGAATGCACGGCACAATTATAAGACCTTTTAGAGAAGGACCATGTCGCTGTACGATTTGGTTCAGAGAGAAGGTGCTGCGAAAGCCGCGAAGATGGAGATAAACAAGGGGATTGAACGCCCTTATTGCAGAGATTCCAATATCATCGTCACTATTGAGATCTGGACAGCGCCAACCGCGTCCATTTGTCGAGATAAACAGTCGCTCGAGGTTGGGCAAAAGCCCAGCCAACCGTGCAAGCATGGATGAGTCAGATAACTCATCAAGTCTAAGGGACCGAAGTTGGGAAATACCCGCGATACTGGCCAGCCTTAGTAGGATATTTTCGGGTGGCCCGGCTTCACCGATCGAAATCGAATGCAGGGAAGATACCGGCACGGGTTTCGTGGAAACCGCAAGGTTGTGCCATTCTTGCTTCAGCATAGCGACTGGGAGTCGATGGGCTGTGGAACTTTTCCGTAAGAGAAGGTGCTTCAAATTGGGAGCCAAAAGAAGGAAAGGCAGCATTTCCTCAATCTCTATCCAGCGGCCTTTGCTATCAGATCTGCTCGGAATCTGGACGGACAATGTATGCAACCCCTCGAGACGTAGAAGATTGATATCGATGCCGGCGAAGTCGTCATTGCTCATTATCTTCCTCACTCGAGGGCATGTTTGCTTTTTTAGACCTGGGACGCTGGATGTCATGTTCTGCGGCCAGAAAATCTTCAGCTGACATTTCGGGTGGTGCTGTGATATGGCTTCCTGTAGAGAGATCGGAAAATCGTTCCGAACGAGAAATTCGATCTCTGCTAGATGGCACAAGCCGGCAACGAGGGCAGCAAGTGGCTGCCAGTCTCTTTCCCATTGCCGATAGTTCGACCAACCTCTGAGGAGGAGGATTCCTGAGGCATAAGATAAAGTAGGATCTGTCAAATGATCCTCTAGAAAGGTGTCTTTCGTTGCCGGATCATCTTGGCCGACACGAGTATTTCCCAACTTGCAGCTTTCCAACTGCCAGAGAAGATCCTGTGGTGTATTGCCTAAACTTGGATTGAGACATATAACAGATAATTTCCTAGCGTATTTCACGAACTGACGCCCCTGGCCACCCTCTGTCAACTCAGAGACGGTTTTTCGGAGACTTTGGACATCCCAGAACTTGATAGAAAGGTGCTGATAAAAAAGCGGGGCGGCTATTCTATAACACGTGTGATTGAGCTGACTGAAAGCTGAGAGCGTTGTACGTGAATCCAACCCATCAGCATGAAGCTAAAGGATTTAGTTTCTCACCAGAAAAGAGTGCCCGAGGTGACATACACTGAGACATATTTGATGTAAGAGCTCTGATGGAAGATAATCCATCCTTTTTAGGGCCTGCAGAGCTGAAGGGATGTGTCAAGGAATAAAATTAAGAATAAATCACGTCCTGAAAACTATTGAAGAAGAAAACATTTGAAGAGATTCACGTACTTTTGCAAAGTGCCAAGTATTGCCAAGATACGATCTCCACAATACCCTTACTAGCTCAGATACTATACGGTATTGGTATTGTATTTTAATGGGAGGTCCATCCCAAGGTCGATGCCCAGGTGCAGGTGTAGACTTACCAAATTACATTAGGTACATACCTAGCTATGGATGTATAGCAGAATCTATAACATCCATGGATATCACAATTACCTACATACTATATGTAGGTATATACAATCACTCTCTCCACTCCCTTCTCTGTCTAGCCTCGCCTTTATCCCACAATACTCCTCCTGTGCCTTTGCCTAGGTCTCCGCTCAGGAACAGTTTCCAAAAATAGCAGGGTCAAACTCGTCCAGGATTTCGCTTGCCTTCTTTTCCAATTCTGCCAAAGCATCTAGGACCGTTGTTTTCCACGGATGTGTGTTTGGCTCAGCGTTCCAGACCGTTCTCATTCCTGCAATCCCATCGGCGATCCATTTCTCTGAGCGGTCGAATTGATAGTTAACCCAGTCGCACCACCATTCCTCCCACGCGGGGACAAGAAGGTCCGATCCATTATTGTATACTCCATCCATCTTTTCAAAGATATCGCGCAGGTTGCCAACAATTAGTTTCCATGAGTTCTCGACCTCCTGGTCGGTAAGATAATGCCAGACAGCAATTGCTGCTTTGATGGATTTCAGAGGTATCCCAGGCAGGGTGGTGTCTCTCATGAAGTTCTGCCACTTTCTCGGTTCGACAAGATTAACATTTCCAAAGATCTAAAAAGGGGGTTAGAACGAGCATTCGACAAAATGTATAACAAGCAGGAATGGGATACTTACCCGAGCTTTCATGCCGTTAACCACATCCTCAAGGAGGTAAAAGTTGTCCTTATATGTTTTGCTCCCTAGAGCTCCCATCAGTCTGACAACTGCCCTGGAGCTAATATCTTTCCCTGGATCATGGTGGAACAAAGCTGTGTTGCGAACAAAGAATCCATCCGACCAGAATCCATCCTTTGCCAACCCACCCATTTCCACAGTAAGAAAGAACGAAGCATCAATGGCCTCAAAGTTTGGCGTATTCCCAGACACCAGCTTCCCGTTCGTCGAATACTCTATGAAGTGGGCAATGTTTTGAAGTTCGAAGATGTGTTCCGTAGCAAAGGCGTCGCCGGTCTGTTTGAGTCGTGGAAAGATGTGGGGATTCGCGCAATCATTAGGGTTTTGATAGCTGCGTGCCCTCTTATAGGGTGTATCTTGTGCAGTCCAATCTCCAGCCGCGGGATAATGGAAAGGGTAGTACTTCAAATTCGAGATCCAATCTTCATCAGCAGCGGACCAAACTTTATATGTTTTGCCATTGCTTTGGTCCAGCACGCCTTGTTCGTTTGAGTCAAGACTGTAGAAGTTGCGGCGTGCGAGCGAGGACCCCCCCAGATTCATTGTCACCAGAGCATAACTCAGGGTCGGCATCAGCATCACAGGGATCCCCGGCGCATATGCTAAGCTGTTTGCCTTGTGCAAGCTCATTCCAAGCACTAAGCCTACACATGATGCTTTCAGAAACAGCATCGATGCCAAGCTCGAATACCTCGCTCAAGCCTTGAAAATACGGCTTCAGGGTTGTCATGACAAGTCCCGACCAGCCTTTGGATTTCACCCAGTCATCCCATGAGTTGACATAACTTTCTTGAACTGCGGAGTACGTCTTTGCAGTCAGGACCATTCCCAAGAGCGGAAGGACGAAAGCCTTTGCCTGAAGAGCGAGCTCATTATCCGACTTAGCACGCTGCTCGAGCTTACTATCCGGACCATCGCCATCCCAATATGTACCCAGAATGTCTCGCGTGACGACGAGGCCTGTTCCGGGGGCGACCGGACATGATCCGGCGACGAGATACGACTTCAGCGCATCTTGAAACTTCTTTGGTGCGGGGTTCGTGTACGTCTTTTGAGTCACATAATTGTCGTCGCAGCATAACGATTGCCAACCGCCGTTTTTGCAATCGTGATGACTGAGTCCATCCATCGCCACTCTAACCATACCGGATGGGCAGGTAGAGGTGCAATAACTGTCGTCCGAGCCTTTTGGTCGCGGCCCGAGATTGTTGTACCATTGACAATTCTCCCACTTCTTTCCAGAGACACTATCATCATAACAAAGCTTGCGTTGGGTGTAGACCATTTCATAGAGATGCGTAACTTCGCGAGCAATGCAAACAACGTCGCCACTTCCAGTTGAAGAACTTCCCAGAATTTTGTTTTTCTTGCCGTAGCCGCTCCAAGCAGGGCACTCTCCATCGTCACACTCGGGGGCGGTAGACCATTCAAGCTGATTGTATAGAGTGACGGCGTCTTTTCCTTTGGTGCAACAAGCGGGCTGGTATCCATCGGTGTTACATAGACCTTCTCTAATCGACCCGATCTCGAACATGTCATCAAGGCACTTCGAATCGCATTTGCCATTGTTGTGTCCGTACCATCCACACACGACACCATGGTCCCGAGGGCAACACAAGGTATGTCCTTGCCCTTTTGGGCAAGTGATAGATTCAAACATTATCTCGCCATGTCGAGCACCGGCATCGTTTCGATTGACAATGACGTAGGAACTTGGGCAGGTCTCCCCACAGCCCGTCCATTTGCATTGCCTGTTTCTCTCATTTTTAACGAGGTTGAGCCCGCTGTCGGTGATCACGGCACCGGTTTCTAATAGAATATGCGGCTGGTAGTTGATCGGAGCCATCCCCGAAAGCATATCGGTGTAGGTTCCATTAGTAGTGTCATGGCTCACAGCCCAAACCATGACACCACCTAGACATGTCTCCTTGACAAAGTCAGTTTTGATCTTGAATGTCTCCGCGTCATCATAGGCAACCCATTGGTCATCCCATGTAAGGATCTGAACGGCGGCCTCTTTGTCCAATGTTGGTTTGATCCCGCGCTCCGCTCGAATATCATCAATTTCTCCGTTGAGAAGCACACCCGTCTGTCCACTACATGGGCCTTCATTTGAGCCAGATAGAAATAGGCAACCTGGTGTCCTAAAATTAGGTGATGTTAATATCTCAAACTTCTTAATAGGTAAAAATGAAATTCGACAGCAGAGATAGGAACTTACTTGCAATTGGTATCCCGCACTGTGAAGCCGCGTGCGTAGAATGCCAGTCCCAGAACGACTTGATCGGGGCTGATATCATTTCGCCAGAGCAGATCCATTACATCTCGTATTTCTGTCAAGTTCGTGTGGCCATCCAGGAAAGCACCGGTCCATTTGTTGCCTGTCACTTGATCGTCAACTAACATATTCCAAGCGTTCGCGGAAGAAAAAGCAAAGATATATTGGCTTACCCTTGTCCCACTCCCCATGCAAGTCATAAGACATGTAGTTGAAATAGTCGACATGCTTTGCAAGAGACTTAATGTCGAAGTGCTGGAGATACCAATAGGAAGTTGGCAAGGTGAGACTCAATCCATCCCGACCACCGGTTGATTGTAGTGCCTTTTTAAGATTTGCCATGAACTTAGGGAAGTTATGAAAGTCTTCCGGGCGGCCATTGCGATCATCTGCTGCTGGATACTCCCAATCAATGTCGACGCCATCAAAGTTATAGGTGGACATGAAAGAGATGAGAGATTTGAAGAATTTCTTCTGCTTCTTATCTGAAGCAGACAAGTCGGAGAAAATGCTTGCTGTCGGGCCCGGATCGTTAAAGCTCCATCCACCAATCGCGATATTGACCTTCAGGGTGTTATCGTTGTCTTTCAGGCCAGTCAAGCGCTTCATGAGGTCCGCTTCATCCAAGTTCGGCGATAGGACTTCGAAGGTTTCTGGGTCAATTGTAGCAAAGGCATAGTTGAGGTGAGTATACACATTTGGTGGAATCATTTCCGGCCAAAAGGCCTTGCAGGGCCTTGTGGGTGCCCACCCTTCATAATAGCCCACGACTCGTTGTGGGGATCGACTGGAATTGCAGCTGGGTCTCTTCACTGTTTTGGTGCCGCAGAACTCTTCTGTCGTACCACAGAAACCGTACTTACTGCAACACACATTCAAAGGGCAGGTTGTTGCATTGACGTAGTCAGACCCCCAGTCACCAGGATCGCATTCTCCCTTTTGGTCACAAGAAGAGACACAGTTGTCCTCGCCACAGTCTAATGCAGCAAAATGATAAGCGGAAGTTATGGGTAGGTAGATATCGCACATCACGGAAATCCTTACAATCAGGGCCCATGCCACAGACTCCGAACTTGGAACAGCACCCCAAGGCACAAGGTTTGTTTTCATCACATTCCGTCGAGGCGACATAGTCACAGTTCGCAACACAGGTTTTGTCTCCCTATAGAAAATAGTTATCAGAGGGTGAATCTTGAGAAATGGCTCAATCATGATGAAAGGAATATATCACTCACGCAGTAGTCGTCACCGGTACCGCAGTAACCATGACTGTTTGCATTAGTTAGGGAATATTTTTCATCAGTCAAGGAGCAAGATGCAGTCGGACTTACATTGAGCAGCAACCGGTTGCACATGGGTTAGAAGCACTACAGCCTTGTCCTGCAGACTGAGTGATGAAGGTCAACAGCACTATGAGCAGACAGACAGGCAGCAATGGCCTTCTGAGAAGGCGTTGCCCTATCATACTACCACAATTCCAGTGAATATCGACACAACCGAAATAGGATTGCTCGGAAAGGTAGAACGGAACAAGACCGACTTTAGCTCGTTTATTATCATCGTGTCTGGAAATGTACTAATCTCTTCTTTTTTGAAAAGGAAATTGCACCTCTTCCCTTTTTAGTCTACCATACTTTTTTTTACCGCGCTAGATGTTACATTTAGGATACCATTGAGCGAACAGGAGAAAAAAACAACGAGACTAAATGTAAGATACGACCTCAAATGTTCGAAGAGTCAAGCTAAGGGTTTAGCGTAAAGCCACAGACTGTATAGGGCTTGGCAACGCTCATCTCCGTGACGGCCCGCAAGCGATCTATGAGCTTTGCTAGTCTTGGCTTTCCGTCTTATTGGCCAGGACCACAGAATGCCTTATTGTAACTTCGAGGGCGATGGAGCTAAGAAATAGCCGACCAGCACTAAGACTGGGCTATTGAAAAAAATAAAACATAATAACCTCGCGAATGAATCCGGAGTAAAGTTTCGAATCAAATACCATCAGGATACACCTCTTGACGCCAAAATATCACCTGTTGGCCTTTATCTGATCAAAATATGCCGCAACATCCGAGACATTTGAAATGAGATTTTGTCACAAATGGAGCAAATTTGTCTGTTTCGAGGCATGAAGCGGAGACAATGGTGGAAAAGCCTGCGTTATATCGGTCTGGAGGCTGACCGGATGGTTCTTGGCCCGGAAACTCTTTTCTTCCGATTTATGTATTCATTTCTTATTTTACTTGCTATATGTCTACAGATCTCTGAAATTGATTAGGCGTCCTCTCTCATCACCAAGACTGGATTTCAGTTCGAACGTCGCCGGCATGGTTCAATCTCGACATAGGTCGAGAGAGCAGCCTTTGAGCTGGCTTTTCACATTGTTTCTACTTGCCTCCATTTTCGGAGTAGGGTATACTGAGCATCATGCACACCGTGCATACCATGCGCATGGGGGCCACCACCTTCCTCGTAAAGTTGGAGACGGGGGAGCAAAAATCCCGACCTCCACAAATGTTGCCTACTACGGAGCGTCACCCAGCCCATTAAGTCTCAGGGAAGCTCAAAAAATGGTGAAAGAAGCCCATAAAGCTCTAGGTGCCATGAACAAAGGTCGGCTTGCCTACCCACAACGGAACAATTATCAGCTGAAGACTGCCTCAACGGATAATGAGGGCCAATTTGTCCCAGAGCTAGGTTCCGAGAAACTGGCTGCAGCCGAAATGGCCACAAGGGGTGTTTCATCCAATGAATCCGCGGTGCAACAAAAAAACTCGCAGAGCTTCGCATATACAGTCTCGCCTCAGCTTTCTGAAGCTGCCCGAATTGTTGCAGAAGCTTCTCAACCTCCCCTTCCAGGTGACCACGGCATAAACATCGCGAATGTCCTCGAGCGTCGACCGAAAACATACAATGATACCAACAGGCCACAGCAAAAACATCGCCGGCCAAATGGTCTAGATGGATATGTCTACGACGACCCTGCCACGCTTGTTGACCATAACAAGCCTGAACTGAAGAAACGAGGTTCATCCGATTTCTGGCTCACAACGATGGCTCAGAGAGGATCAAGTCCATATGCACCAGCGGGATACAAGGTAGGATTCCTTATGTCTTAACATTAGCTTTGGCCTTTGGCTAACATGGTGTAGATTTGGAGAAATGTCAAGGATTATGGGGCAAAAGGTATAGTTCCATATTGAAATTTCGTATATTTACAGACCTATTTTAACAAACGATGTTATAGGCGATGGTATAACTGATGACACTGCGGCTATTAATCTTGCGATCTCCGAGGGAGGAAGGTGTGGTGCCAACTGCGGCTCGAGCACCACTCATCCGGCGTTCATTTATTTTCCCTCGGGCACGTATCTCGTCAGCTCTTCAATTATCCAGTACTATAATACCGAGTTCTTTGGAAATGTAAGTGATCAATGTGCTGATGCCGACGCAAATTGTGCTAATTCTCTGAAAGCCATTTGATTATCCAACAATACTGGCCGCCTCTAGCTTTGTTGGACTTGGAGTCATCACCTCTGACGTCTACACTGGCGACACAGAGGAGTGGTAAGTTTTATCCATGGATATCGTTTCATATTTCATATGACTGATTCTCCTTACTAACCTTTTCACCTCATTCTTGGAAAGGTACTTGAACACTAACAACTTCCTCCGATCTGTGCGAAATTTCAAAATCGATGTCACCCGCACCAATTCAGATGCCTATGTTTGTGGTATTCACTGGCAGGTGGCCCAAGGAACTTCACTCGAAAATATTGTCTTTTACATGGTGCAGGACGATGTTACTACTCAGCAGGTGAGAACCTTGGAATGCTCATTGCAGCAACTCCTATTACGTACATTCTGTCTAACTGAGCTCCAGGGAATCTACATGGAGAATGGCAGTGGCGGATTTCTCACCAATCTCACATTTGTTGGTGGCAATTTTGGGTATGATATCTACATCAGAAGTCCTGTTCATATCTGACGAACCTTTTAGTGCATACTTTGGTAACCAGCAGTTCACCACCTCCCAGCTTACCTTCTTAAATTGCAAAAACGCCTTGCAAGTTCACTGGGACTGGGCGTGGACCATGCAAGATGTGATAATCGAAGACTGCATCAATGGTCTTGTGATTGTTGGCGGGTATGAAAACATATATAACTACATCTGGGTACGAGCCATCCAACTAACGACGAATAGGCTGGTGGTCCCGCAAGCACTGGTCAATCAGTTGGCTCGCTGATATTAATGGACGTTCTGATCTACAACACCAAAATAGGCATTATGACGTCTCTATTCTCGGAGAATTCCACGTCCTTCCTACTTCAAAATGCAAATTTCATCAATGTCGACATCGCAGTTATGGATAGTTCCCAGGGTCGTATCCTTTTGGCTGGCGGCTCCCAAGTGATCACCGAATCATGGGGCTTTTGGAGTGTTGCCACATCTAGCACCAACAGCACCTTCTACAATGGACAGAACATCCCAACAATGGACAGGCCTGTCGATTTGACTAGCCCGGGTTACTTCAAGTGGAACTTTTTCCAGCGCCGTCGACCAGCGTACACCGATATCGGGACAGCGCAAATTATTGATGTGAAAGAATTCGGAGCTGTTGGAGATGGCGTTACTGACGACGGGCCTATTCTGAACAGTATCTTGGATCGAGCAGCCAACATTTCCGCTATTGTCTTCATCCCATACGGAGTTTATGTGATCAAAGATACCCTGCATGTCCCTGTTGGATCTCGCATCATGGGCCAGACATGGTCACAGATTATGGCCACAGGATCGAAGTTCCAGGACGAGCTGCAACCTCGAGTCGCAGTTCAGGTCGGTAAACCCGGTGATGTGGGGATAGTCGAGATGCAGAGTCTCATGTTTACTGTCTCCGGTCCGACGGCGGGCGCTGTGTTAGTGGAATGGAATGTGCACCAATCTACACAAGGTTCTGCCGCCATATGGGGTGAGTCTTGCCGTTTCCCACTGATATCCTGATACATCCTTTATGATCCATTACTCATTCAATCGGCATATAGATTCGCACTTCCGAGTTGGTGGAGCCACAGGATCCAATTTACAAGCTACACAGTGCCCTAAACTCAGCGGTACGATCAATACCAAATGTCAAGCTGCATCATTGATGCTACATCTCACACCCCAATCGTCTGCGTATATGGAGAACATTTGGGCCTGGACTGCTGATCATGATCTTGACCTCCTGACCCAGGATCAGATTACTGTCTACTCCGGACGTGGTATTCTGATAGAAAGCCAAGGGCCTACATGGATGTATGGAACATCATCAGAGCATAACGTTCTGTATCAATATCAAATCTCTACAGCCAAGCAGCTGTACATGAGCATGATCCAAACAGAGTCGCCGTACTTCCAACCGGTCCCGGAGGCTCCTCAGCCATTCAGCACTGGCCTCTTCCCAAACGACCCATCTTTCAGCAATTGCGATGCAAACCCCAGTACTTGTGCTATTTCCTGGGCACTTCGAATCCTTGATTCCTCGTCTGTCTACATCATGGGCGCAGGTATGTTTTATTTTTCTTTCTGCGTTGGACTTGTCCTTGTTTTTTCTTTGGCTTTTTATTTCCTGTTTTCATTATTCCTTGCATTCATCAGCTAATAAGCTGCTTAAAGGTCTCTACAGTTTCTTTTACGACTACTCCCAGAAATGTCTTGATACAGGGAACTGTCAACAACGCGCAGTCGAGATTTCCGAGAGCACGGATACTTGGATTTACAACCTAGTCACCAAAGAAATGATAGAAATGGTGTCTCCGGTCAACGAGACCCCGACGCTCGGGGCCAACAACGTGAACGGGTTTATGTCTTCTATTTTGGCCTGGATTCGGGAAAAAAACAACACCATTGGTGAGAGAAAGTTTCCTGGCTTCCAGCTGTATAAATCTGAGTGGTTGGATGACCTACCTTTGACCGGTACATGCAAAACGGCGTTGACTCAGAATGTTCTCTGCCATCCGTGGCTGAAAACTAAGCAAAGTCCCGGAATTGGTCAGTACTTCGAGAACACCACTTATGCCAATGAGATTTGCGACTCGGGGTGTGGCGACAGTCTCCACAGCTGGTATGACAACGTTTCCAAGTATTGCGGAAATCAAACAGTTGGCGATTCAAGAGCTACTCGAAAGGGCGGCATTATCTATGCCAGTTACAATTTGACATGCCTCAAAGACCAAGACGACGATCAATACTGCAACCAGGTAATCAACGGATTTACCACCGTACCAAGGATGGAGGAAATGACTTTGACTGAGATGTGTTCCTACTGCTTCACAACCCTTTTCAAAATGAGACAGGCCAGCGACTATGCCGCTTACTCCACTTTGGATCAGGAAAATCTCCAGATTGTCAACCAAAATTGCGGTTTGGACACGCCAATCGATCTCCACGATTCCCTCTGGATTGAGGACCCGACTCCAAAGCCTGTGTGTGCCTCCGACACAACCTATACCACAATGGAGGGAGACACATGTGACAAAATCGCCAACGAGTATCAAGTCGCCTCTGCCGCCATCATCTTCGGAAATTCAGGCCTCATTGCCAATTGTTCCGCGCTGTATCCTGGCAAAGAACTGTGCATACCCTTGAGTTGTGACGTCCAATACACAGTCAAGGACAATGATGATTGCGTCAATATTGAGTATGATCTCAGTCTGCGGCCTGGCACAATCCGCAAATACAATCCCTGGCTCGAAACAGATTGTACTGATCTACAATCTTCCCGCGAGATTGTGGGCAGTGTCCTTTGCCTATCGCCTCAGGGAGGCGTCCACAACTCCACCGGTGCAAGCTTGACGAAGAGTCCCGGGGGCAGTGGATACAGCAAGGGTGTTAGTACATCCCCCGGAAACTCTACAATTGCAGTAGGCACGACGCAGTACTGTGGCCTGTGGTACACTGCGACTGCGGGGGATTCGTGTGTGTCCATCTGCCTAAAACAGAGTATCCCTTCCAATCTGTTCCTGTCGGTGAACCCGTCGCTGTCTCGCGAGGACTGCGATGCGGATCTGGCCGACGGAATAACTTATTGTGTTGCGCCGGATGTTCACTGGGATGACCCATCTTTCTGGGCCACCAGCAGTGTCACTACAAGCAGTATAGCCGTGTCTTCAACTCCAGTTGCTTAGATCTGGGGTGGTTCCCTTATTCCTGTTTCTTAGGGATTTCCAAATTGTGGCTGTATAGCTAGTGAGAGAAGGCTCCATAGACTCAATATGACATCCATCAATGTGGGGTGGTTGATCAATACGTGTTATTCTAAGCTCGATCCGTCCACGGGTGTAATGCAAAGTGGTCCTTTGTTCTCGTTTTGTTAACGTCACTTGTGACTTCCATACAACATACATAAACCCTCTTTGATTTGGACCAAGACCCTGGGTACCTAGGTACCGACCATGGAAATAGCACTATTCCCAACTAGGGATAGTGGCACCCACGGACCACGGTTCAGTCGACTCAAAAGGCCGCGTAGCCCATTCCAAGGTTTCATCTCAGACACTTATAACATGGATGGTACTATTAATACTATTAAGATCCAAAAACAAATCAGTATACAGTCAGTAAACGACAGTTTCGCGCTGGGATTTCATTGGTATTATATCTATCCCACTTGAACCCATTTAAACCCGTTTAGGAGTGTGGTACCCTCCTGGCTTGTTCCAATATAAGTAGGGGATGGTTTCACTTCCCTCATTGTTAACCTGAAAGGTTTGACTGTCCTGACTTTTGTATCTCGCTAGGCACCAGTTATGTTCCAGATTATAATCCTATGGAATAACACAAATATTTCATGTTCTTCAACGGGAAATGATGAAACCACCCGTGTGGGGAGAGACGGCAGAGGAACTCGGATTCTAGAAGATAGCGGGTCAAACAAAACTTTCAGTTTCCCGGAGTGCAGAGTACATTTATCATATGATATACGGAGTATACAATATAGTAAAATTAGAGAAATCAATAGTAGACCTTTTCCAAGGTGATATCTAATAGAATATAGTCCAATAACAATAATATGCGACTCAATTGTTATTCTTGGCGACCCCCTGAACAGTTTCCCCCTGAGACGATCCCCTTGTCAAACGTCGAGACCCAGTCTGTTTTTAGTGCACGGGACGCTTCTATTTACTACTTGTCACTGGGTGTGTTCCAAGGTTGGGATCGTCAGTTGTCCTCCGTTTTTTCTCCTTCTTCTTCTTGAGACTCGAGAGACTTCTCAATGCACTGAACTCAGTGAACTCACTGAACTCACTGAACTCACTGAACTTCCTTCCTTGCTTCAATTTTTGTCCGTAGGGCTGTCATTCCTTTGGCTCTATAATATCGCCCCCGCCCTGAGACCCCCCTTTGTGTGTTATCCGCAACTCCGGCCTCGTTTCGGAAACACCAACTCCACGACTACTCCGATGCTTCCTGCGCAAATCTTGAAAGATCCAACCGACTTGGGATAAATGATTCAATAGCCGACAATCTGATATTCGCATACTCATCATGGACATGCGAGGGAAACTGGGCGAATGTCGCTCCATATCCCACGATACCCTGCGGAGTGGCTCCCCACGGGTCGCGCATTTTGACGGCGAAGTCCCTCCCGCACTTTCTCCTCTCGACGCATTCGCTGCTCAGAGCCGATTTCTTGCCCGACAACTCGATGAGTCTCGACGAGGAGATCGCCGCATGAGTCGGCTGCCGCCGTCGAGTGTAGCTCGATCGCTTTCGCAAGGCCGCCCGGGCTTCTACCGTTCCAAGTCGTCAACTGAATCCCGCACCGAACTAACCCGGCAACCCACCCAGAAGGGACTCCCGGAATATGAAGAGCCCAAGTACCGTCCTATCTCCGAACATCCTCGGTTGAGCTCAATTTCCCATGCTAGCACAGAGGCTAGCTATTACGAGGATGATGATAATGCGACACCTCGGACAACGATGCTTAATACTGGTTCGGAGGCGTATGGGATGCCGCGCGCCGAGTCACCAGAGGATCTCGCGCCACGCGCGAGTGAAGCGGAGGGTGCCCCTGTAGGCGTGGCGGTTGCTGAGCCGCAAGGTTCATCGATGGACTCGTCAACCTCGCGACTGGACATCCCACGCACCTTGGCACCACCAGTGTCACCGCGGTCGCGCCCGTCCAGCAGTGCCAAGGTGGCACACCCGGAGAGTTCTGATGATGACTATAGCAGCTCCAATGCTGGGTCGACGTTCTCCAACGCTCGCAAACTGTCCTCTGGAAGTGCCGTGTCATTGCCATATTCTCCGATGTCGACATTCCCTGCCCGACCACACCCTCGATCGCCATCCTTGAGCTCGGAGACATCAGGCACGGGAGCGAACCAGCTACCTCGCCCTTCTTTTAATTTCTCTCGGCCGCTGAGCCGGTCAAGTACAAGCTTGTCTGCTCCTGGAGCCACGACGCCTACCGAACCGATCCTTCCCTCTGGATCGAACCATATGTACCGCCGCAGCAAGCCGACTCCGCTCCTCTTGCAAACCGAAGATGCCGCTGAAACGCCAGCCAACGATGGCGAGCCGTCGTCCGCTGTCTCATCTTACGTTTACGCCAAGTATGCGCTCCCACGCGGGCGCTTCCTTTCACGGGATTCTGTGGTCTTTGCAGGCTTGCAGACGCCTCATTTCGAGTGGGAGGAGCCCTTGTTTGAGAAAACGCCTCCCAGAAATACAGAGGAGCCGCGGATGGCACGGACGCCATCTCCTACGCCAAATCGCCAATTTGAGCACTCGCCGAAGCCTCACTCAATGTACGAGGTTCCAGCTCCCAAGCCTCGGTCACCAACCCCGACATTCCAGCCTCAATCTCCGCCTCAATCCCCACCTCAGCCTCAATCCCAACCTCGGCTTCAACCTCAGACCCCCCAAGTCTCACCAAGTCCCACAACCACTACCTGTACCTCACTCGCCGGCGGAACCGGCACGGCGCCCCTCTGCCGAAAGCCCTCGGCAGACGACTAATGAAAAGGATGAAACTGTCTCTTCCGCGGGTTCGGCCAGCACCATGCGGCCCCAAACCGCCAATCCTCAGGTGACGGCTTCTGGTCTCACGGCCGATGACCATGTCGCTAAGGGCATTGAATGTCACGAGCGAGGATCCCTGAGTGAGTCGACGTATCACCTGCGGGTTGCCGCGAAGCAGGACCATCCGACGGGAATGCTGCTTTATGCACTGGCCTGTCGACATGGCTGGGGCATGCGATCTAATGAGAAGGAGGGTGTACGATGGTTGCGCAAAGCTGTGGATTCCGTCGGATTGGAAATGTTGGCCGATCCGGATGCTCCCGGTGCCTCGAAGGCGAAGGAACTGCAAAAGGCATACCGGGTTCAATTTGCTCTGAGCATCTATGAACTGGGGGTCAGCTACTTGAATGGCTGGGGTATTGAGCAGGACAAGTCTCTTGCTCTGCGGTGCTTCGAGATCGCCGGGCAATGGGGCGATGTTGACGCCATGGCCGAAGCCGGATTCTGCTACGCGGAGGGTGTTGGCTGTAAAAAGGATATGAAGAAGGCGGCACGGTTTTATCGCCAGGCTGAGTCCAAGGGTATGAGCATGGTTGGAAACAGCTGGTACGTTTCTTCTGAGTAGTTATATCCCAATCGACCTTACTAACAAGTGTACAGGATCTACAAGGACAAATACAACGAGGTCGAGTCCACTGGACGCTCCCGTGGCCGAAATGCCGGAGAGAAGGACAAGAAGCCGCGTAGCAAGTCCCGCACTCGCAGTATCTTCCAACGCAAGAAGTCCAACGTATCAGAGGCATAGACTGTCTGTTCCATTCACTTTGTCTCGACGCGTTCTCCTGGGAGAACCATCCATTTTGCATTTTGCATCATGTTTGGAGCGTTCTGAGCCGATTGATTTTTTCGATTTTTTCGATTTTTTCGTCTTACATTCCTTCACTTTCTCATGTCTATTTTTTTCTATTTTTTTCTATTTTTCTTTTTCACATTTGCATCTTTCGAGCCTGGGCAGTTATCGAGCATGGACTCTGTCCACGTGCCTCGCAGGCTTAATACTTCAATTCTCCGTGTATACCCTTTTCTTCCTTTTTCATCTTCTCTTCTTCCCATCATTTGCCATTTCTTTTCTTTTTTTTCTTTGGCATCTTTCACCATTTTCTCTTCTTGGTCATATTTTCTCGGGTATGATCCCTTGGACACTTTTTCTTTTTCTCTATTTTTCTACCTTTTTCCATTTTTCTCATTTTTCTCGTATCTCTCATATTTCGATGCCTGCAACTCATGAACTCATGACAGAATCAAGACAGCGTTGATCTGTATCTTTACTAGCATTTGATATTCTCCATTTCAATATATCAGAGTAATAAGTTCTAGACCCCCGCATTGTTCCCCGGCTTTCTCGGAGCATTGACCTAAATTTGTTTAGATTGGCCTCTTCCAAGATTTGTCCGGGGATGCCCTAAAACATATTGGCGTCCTTTGGGGTCTTTTGTCTTAGCGGGGATTTAGCGGGGATTAGCGGGGTTTGATTTGACCAGTTCGGTTCTTCCCTCCGTCCAAAACCTCTAAATACGGGGGGCACACTCCTTGCATCCAGGGTCGCCCCCCTTGGCAGCACGCTATCTTGCTGCTAGTCTCACTGCCCACCAATGAGGACCCTGCTCATGCAATAATATAGTGCAACGGTACTCCATATGAGTATCTTGTAGAAGGTCCCCCAAATCTCGCATAGCAATTAGGAAACGCTCTGGTAGGACAGATGCATCCGTCCCGACGCATCCCGCTTATTAGAATCCTGTTCGTATCTTAGTCCACCTCGGCTTTCCTTTTCTTTCATGTGGTGATGCTTAGACTCCCTTAATTTGAAACATTATACACATGTTAATCGTATCTCCCCGGAAATCTGGAGTACCCCAGACGCTAAAGTCATACCTGGGCTTATATTCTCCATATCAAATGAGATACCAAACATAACCAAAATAACGGGAAATGAGAAGAAGAGTCTCCTCTTACCTAGGTACTTTGCACTACATTTTCCCCTTTCATTTTCGGATGGCGTTTGGTGGCTTTTCCTGTATAACATGTGATGCTGGAATATACCACCTGGGTAGGCTCTGTTCATCTTAGTTATGGTGGATCTTTAATATAAAAGTACGGACTACTACCCTCTTTTAGTGCTTTTAGTGCTTGTACCACTTTCGTTTCCCTTTCTTTCTCTTCGAAGCTCGTCTCTTGTAGGTGTTCGACTCGGTATGTACTTTGGCCCTAGAACCCTCTTTTACAGTCCCTAACTCAAATCACAGTGACAAGATGTCAACCACAAAGCCCTCATTCGTCGAGGAGGAATCCAGCGTAACCCCGACACCAACCAAGAAGAGCTTCGGTGCACGTCTCGCCGCCCATTTCAAGAAATGGTGGTGGGTGCACTTGATTATATTCATCGCCTGTTTCCTAATTATCCTACTGCCGGTGTAAGTCCATCCCAATAATTTAAATATGGACCATGCGGGCGCCACACGGTCCAGAAAGAAATATCCCACTCACGCCACACTGCGTCTAGTGTCTACGTCGCATATCCCAAGATCGCACAAGATGCCGTCAACGACTCGACCCTCGATATCACGGAGATGATCATCAGCGACCCAACGCCTGAATCCTTCCACCTCGAGCAGAGACAAGTCCTCGGCTCGGATAGCCCTTATCATCCCAAGATCTACAAGTTCAATTCTGCGGTCTCGTTGGCCGGAGCGGACCCTTTCGCTTATGTCGAAGTCCCAGAAGTGAAGTCGAAGGATGGGGCGGAGATTCACTTCGAACAGAAGGTTGATCTCACGGATGCGTCTGCGTTCGGAGATTATACTACTGCGGTTATGATGAATGAGGAGGTTTCGTTGAATATCTATGGAAGACCTGATTTGAAGCAGGGTGGTCTACCTAAGATTACCGTTGATTATAACAAGACCGTTGTTATGAAGGGTATGTTTCCTCTTCTTGGTTTCTTCATTCCATCAGTCTATTAGAGGGTCACGGTTTACTAACTGAACGAAACAGGCCTGAACAGACTCAAGGGCTTCACAGTGGCTGAATTCTTCATCATGTTCCCACCCGTGAATGGATACGGGATGAACGGCACGGTCGTTATTCCCAATGCCTCGGTCATGACCATTCCAATGGTAAATACCCCTGCGTATCTCTCTCTCTCATTCCATATCCACAATACTAACCCAAGAAATAGGGCAATGTGACTCTGAAACTCGAGCTAGACGGTAAACCAGTGGGAACAACCTACCTGACCAACCTCGTCCTGAAACCAGGCAACAACACTGTCCCAATGATGGGCAAGGTCGACCAAGGCGCCATCATCACCCTCCTCATGTCAGATTCCAACCCCTACAAAGACGGCGTCCTGCCCTTCGACATCACCGGGACCGCGACCTCGTACAACGGAAAGGAACTGCCGTACTTTACCAAGGCGCTGGCTGCGAATACACTGCATGTCGAGTTGGATGTCGGGGCTGCGTTGGCAAAGGCCGGGGTTAAACTTCCCTTGTAATTGGTTGTTATGTGGCTGTATACCATTTCAGTTTATGTTTACGGTTTATGTTCGACATTCTACTTTTCTATATTTTATTACCGTACCCGGTAGTTGAATTCGGTGGTTGGTATGTGCTATTTGGAGGTTTGGTGACTTTGTGTATATTTAATACCCTTCTTTTTGATTATCAGCATGCGCCATTAATATAATTTCCAGTATCTATGGGCTGTTTCTAATGAGAAAACTAGAACTGAGGATGTCGAGCGAGGTTGTACTGCTGGACCTAGAGGGCTTCAGCGAAGGCAGCCTCGTCAGGGTTGTTACCCTGCAACGCTACCCTGCACCTGGGAGGCTAGAAGCTCAAAATCCGCGCGAGTAAGACGCTCCCCGTGGAGTCGTTCAATCATCTCCCGAAACCGGACGCTTGCATCATGTGAATGCTGTCGCATCACAGTGTCCAGCTCAATCGTCTGACCAAAGGTCGTACAAAGGCCTTTGCCTGTATGTAGCGGGTCTTCCGCGGGATGTTGTAAAGAGCGGTTCCCGCAGGATGAGCTGGAAGAAGTCCCCAACAAGGAGACACATAGCCCTCCAAAGTAATGTTCCCAGGATCGGGGGAAGATCTCACGACATCGCTGCTCGATCCAAAACAGCAATAGGTGACTAGGACATTGTGCATCGACATGGAATCGCGTGCATTGGCGAATTTGAACTCCTTGCGAAAGCGCTTTTGCGGGAGTGCCGGGTCATTGTCGTGCCCCAGCGGGTATTGCCTGCATGTTCGAGGAGTTCTCGATTGTGCGTCGCGTATCGACGAAAGGCGGAGGCGACCATGAGGCCGGCTGTGAATGCGCTGCTGGCAGCTTGATGTTTATGTCATTCTTGTCTAGCCATGCTGCGCAAAGCAGAGCGTGTCGCTGGCCGCTTAGTGCCGCGGCGTCTCTGGTAGTCCATGCGCCCGGACCGGGCGCTACGACATTGTATAACGGGAAATGACGCTGGCTCAATCGCATATGGAGCTGCGGGACCCCAACTTCAAATAAGCTTTCCTCCATTTCGGCTTCAGGCTCGGACGATTGCTCCAGGGAGTCTTGTGTAACCCTCGTAGAACTGCCATAGTCGGGTCGTTAAGAGGCTTCACTTAGGTCGGTGCGAACTGACAGCAGGGATGGACCCGCGGGTGAGGGCCTTAATCCGCTCTGCAATGGACTTCAGGAGTGTCCTCTGGTACATTTTGGTTCCAGAATCCATGAGTTCTCGGTAGGCGCTTGGGACCCAAAAATAGAATGCAGTTTTGGCACATCTGTTGCAGTGTCGACAAGAGCACAGAAACACGCAGCCTTTCTTCGTGAATGGAATAATGTGGAAGTCCTGTCAATATCGAACACAGGTCTGGATAATCTTTGGAGTACAACAGCTTTGAAATGGGACAGACGGAGTCCCAGCCTTGTCGGAGTTCACACGAAGACTCGATTAACCGCTAGAAGGATAGCGATTATCATCATTTCTCTCCTTCGGCGGTCGTTATAGAGGGCGACAGCGTTGTGCATACACCCGTTCTATAATTATATATAGAACCCAGGTCCCCAAAGCCATTGGTACTGCGTCTATGACTCGAATGGTCGAAAGGACCGACAATATGGTGCTCAAGTCGCAGGCACTGGCAATGTTCGCCGGGACTGGGGTAGTACGGAGAAGTATAGCACGAGTAGTGAACTGGTTTCAAGGGGAAGGCGAAGATCATTTTCACAGTCAAGTAGTGTGTTATAGGTTGTCTATCAATTAGCATCCATTCATTGACCGGTGTAGTTTTAGTGATAGCTTACCAAGTCGGTGGTAGGGTGGATGGTTGTTACCATCCTTGAACTCCAGCAGGGATGGGGAGCTCGAGATTCCCGCCTGGGATTTCCTTTTCACAAATTCAGAAAATCGCTTGGCTTTAGGCGATACTGGAAAGCCAAAGTTGGGTGTGGAATATATAATTAAGTATGCCAGAGTGGAAAGGATGTGAGAGATGGAGAAAAAACTAGGGAGATGGTATTTAAAAATGGCATGGAGAAACTACGCAAAAGAATCAACTTGCCATTCTCTTTCATATATAAAACCTGCAGGTAAGCCACCTGGATTGTGTAGAAATTCAAGAATGTATTCTATGGTAGCCTGCATATTCAGGGGCCTAATAAATTTAGTCCCAGGAAGACGGTAAGCTGCAGTACTTCTCTACTCAACACTACACGCCGTACCTGCAGCACTAGTATGAATTGACCTGGTTAATGAAGTCAAAAAAGGCAAATAGCCTTGCATGTCTGAGATTGTTTAGCTCTTGGCGTACATTGACTTCCTAGCGGGGTAGAACGTCTTGTCTTCCCCTTCACCTTGTGTTCCCCTCATGGACCCCTTCGCTCAACTGCCCTCGGAACTGAACCAACAGATCCTCATACATATCGACTTTACTACAGCAGAAAACCTCATATCCGCATCGTCTCATATCCGCGCCGTCTTCAGAGCTCACCCCGCCGTTATAAACAACCTCATACTGGCAAACCCTATTACTAGCTTCCCCGAGATACGAAGACTGTGCTACGCCATTATTCATACTCACAGTCGACAAGCACGCGAGGGCACGCCAAATCTTGATGTATCAATTGGCATCATCCACCTGGTTGCCGGAATACAACGCCTTGCCTGTGCATGTCTGTCGCTTATGCAGCAGAGCTTCGACTCTACCCTCAGCGAGATATCAGCCGGCTCACTGAGCGGACCCGAACGAGCAGAAAAAGCGCGTAAGCCCTTTTCATGGACCGAAGAATACCGCACGTACTGGTCCCTCTTTCATCTCCAATACTATTCGGCCCTTCGCAAAGCTGAGCCAACCGAAGCCTTAGACGCATACAACGTCTGGAATGAAATAGGTAGCAAAAGAGCCGAACAGATCTGGACGATTGCCGCCATCCTGTCAGACCTAGGTCTCACTCCATCCTACTCAGAGGGAGCTGAGCCCTTACGCGCTGCCTGGGATTTGCCCGAGGAAACAGCACTTCCTTTCTTCCACTCATTCAATTTGCCTCCTAGTAGTGAGCCCGTGTTTATCTGGTCTCCGCCGCCTATCCCCCCCGAAAATGAAACACCAACATCAAAATGCTGGCAGCTTTCATCGCAATGTCGTTCACGGGTGCCACTTCACATTGGAAGCTTCCATCGTAGAAGTCGATGGGCGTCTCAAAGGCGTTATTCTGTATTAGGCTTGAGTCTCTTCAGACCCTGGCGCCGCCTAGGAATTGTTATCTGGGACTCATGGCGAATGTGCACGGTTGGACTATTTAATTTCCATTTTACAAATCCTTGGCTTTACCCGCCTAATCCCGACGGTAGCGTTCGGGAGGGGGAGCATGTGGAGCCAGATCTTACGGCGAGCTTGTTGGCGTTGGTCGGGGAGGAGTTCAGGGCTTGACTAACCTCCAGGTGAATGAGAACATTTGACATTGGCAAATGATCCAAGCATGAATCTTTCTGGTAAAGAGATAGAGTAAATAAAGTATAAATCATAGTCCACTGCATTATTTCCGTTGAACCCGAGAGTTTGCTCAAAGACTTCTTCGGCAGACAAGGTTGGACTCCACTTGAGGAAAGTCTTGCAGTTGATATAGAAGGGTGGGGGAGATGTGTGATGAAGATCTGTTATGTGTCGGAGATGATCAGCCAGCATATTGTAGGGTATTTGTCCTGAATGCTGCATGACCTTGCATGAGAAGTCACACACAGAAGTACAGATTAGATCGGTCTGCGCTTCATGATACCTTGCCAGATTTTCATAGTTCAATTGAATCGATGAGATGTACAAATTTCTGGTTAGCATACATAAAACTAAGAGGCCAAGACATCCAGTAAACACCGATATTCCTGACTGCCGAGGTGATGTTGAGTCTCGGCTGATATCAACAACACATACCCAAGGGAAGAAGAGCAGGGAAGCCAAGATTCCGAGTGAGATAATGTCATGTACAGCACCTGAAGTTGCCAAGAACAGCTGACAATAACTATGTCTAGCCGATCATCCTCGCTTCTCGGAGCTTTCTCACAACATACTCCTCATTAGCTGAATTCACAAGGATTCTATCCGCAGCCGCCAGAAATCCACCTTCTGCCTTGTTAACCTCGCGATATTCCCCCTCCCAGCTGTATATAACATCCCCATGACGCTGCTGGTCGCTAAAAAGAAGCGCCACGCTCCGAGCGACAACCTCCGGCTCCTGCACACCGACACCAAGCCCCTCAATAAAAGCAGCATCAATCATCTTAGTGGCTGTCCAAGAAGGCGCAACAGCATTAAGTCGAACCTTCCCTTCAAGTTGATGCCCTATCCCATGGATAAGCCCCAGAACACCATGTTTCGTGACCGTGTAATCACCGGCACTGAAGTTCTGAAACGAAGCCGTAGAAGCATTGACCACGATACTGCCCAGTTCGCCGGATACACGATGTGTCGAGTTCTTCTGGATGTGATACGCGGCAAGACGGACTGTGGAGATAACACCCAGAAGATTGACATTGATCGTCCGTAGATCAGGCGGGGTAAGGTGGCCGTTTTCGTCAAGGCTGTCGTTCAGGAAATCGGTCGTTGGCCCAACGCCTGCATTGGCGAAGACATGGTCTATACGACCGAACCAGTCTTCAACCTGGATAAATGCGTCACGTTGGCTTTCCCATGAACAGACGTCCAGTTGTATAAACTTGAGGTTCTCTGAGGTCTCGAGGTCGGATGGTAAAGAGTTCAGGTCGCCGATGATTACATTCGCGCCGTGCTTGAGACATAACTCTGCTGTTGCTTTTCCGATTCCTGATGCGCCGCCTGGTTTTATTAACATTTGATTCATGGTTTATGATGATCGAAGAGAGATATGCGTACCAGTAATGAGAACTACCTTATCCTTCATTCCCTCAAAGATAGCATCACAAACTTGTATAGCCGCCATGGTTTGAGATGTTGGATAGGGCAAATGGGAAGCACTGGAGTTTGCGGGGTTTATATATTTCTGGATATTTTGACAAGCCGAGGTTGAAGTAGTACAGATGAGACTAGACTGCATGCAATTATGCCAAGCGCCCAACACGTTGGGCGACAGGAAAAGTCATAGTATGAGATAAATTCACAAGATGATCCTGGGAGGCGTTAAAAGTAAATCGTAAGGCTGTCTAGCCTTCTCGAACTTGGAAAGAGTTTAGAGCCTTATGCCTAACATGACTCTCAACAGATAACTCCATCACGCTCTCTCCATAGCCCAAAGAACAAACCCTTTATTGTAACCCCAGGTAAAAGGAGGACAATATTGTTCTCCCACGACGCGGAACCCCCTTTTCAGCCAATACGAACCCTGGACCTCGCGAACGCATTTGAGCATAATGCACGAGCGAGCAGGAAACATTCTCCTGTTCAGTTCGTCATGACACGCCTGGACCAAGCTCGCCGCAATGCCCTTCCCCCTATATTGAGGATCCGGCGTGATCGCGACAGCTGCAATTTCGAAACTTCCCTCGCAGGCCGTATTTGAAGATTCATCATCAAGGCTATCCAGCACCGTAGAGCTCGCGGAGAAGATCTCATCTGGACTGAATTGTTCAAAATAGCCCGGTACTTTCCACGCGGTGCCTTCGGCATCTGTCGGCCAGACTTTCAAGCTTGCAGTCCCGATGATCGTATTCTGAGCGAATGCAATCGCAGTGAAGCCAGTTTGCTGAAGTTCATTGGTAAGTTGGGTGTCGCTTTGGAGCCGGGCGCCGGTCTTTACGAAAGGACCGGCACCGGTATCATAGTAGCTGGTATTGATGACGTCCCGGAGCTCACGTAGGAAGGGCTGCTTGAGAAGATCGCTTTGTGTGAATACTTCTATTCTGTAGGAGGGGGTGGTGAGGATTGGATGGCTTTTATAAACCGGCGCGTTGTTCATTATTTCCCCTGAATCAAGTAGGAAGAGTATGGAGGTAACTTATCTGATTTCGAAAAGTAACTACTGTATAGTGCCTTGTTGGCGTTGTGTCGGCCGCAATAAATTTGGCTGTAAACTTTGCTTCGGCCTCATGCGGGGTTCATGCATAACCCGTGTTCGGTGAAACATTTCGACTCCAAAGGCCCGGTTTACTTCCTTCGTTTACCACTACGTTTAGACACACAGAACTGGACGTTCGGTAACTCAGAACTCAGGATAATGGGACACTCCGTTACTCCGCTTTCTTCGGCTCTGGGCGGCGAAGCGAGCAGGGTCGATCACCCCAATGTCGACCCCGAGGCCGAGGCCAAGGCCAACAAGCAGCGGAGGAAGGTTCAAAACCGGAAGAACCAAAGAGCACACCGTGAGTTTTCCCCTCTATGCCTCAGCCCCTGCTGGGCTCATAAGCTTTGAAGGATTGCGGAATAGGGAGCAGGGGTCTGTTCAGACCTCGCGCCCGTTCCAGATCAGGCGCTGGCGCCTCGACGAACCCGATGAAGGTCCCTCCCAAGACGCCTCGTCAGCATCGAAAGGCGCAATACCCCCTCGACCACCTCACACTCACCTCAGTACATCAAAGTTCACACCCGAGCGCGCCAGAGTCCTTCAGGGGCCACCGCCCACCGCCCAGACGTCCCTAACCCCCCCCCGTCCATCATCTTCCCCCTCTCAACCGATCACCTCCTCCATCTTGTCCAGTATAATGTCTTCCGCGCCTTCGTCTCCAACAAGCGCACTCTTAATACCCTCTTAACGGGCTGGACCGATAAACCTCCCTCCCCAACTACCTGTCCCATCAGCGGTCCTTACCGTGACGACACAAGCGTCTACCCCTTGAACCCCAATATTCCCCTCTCCCTCGCCCCGACCCGCCTGCAGCAAACACGCCTGCACTCCTTCTGGATCAACCTCTTTCCCTTCCCCTGCGTTCGTGACAATCTTATAAGGCGCGAAGGAAGCTTTGACCACTGGGAGCTGCTACAAGACCTCATCGGTGAGCTCATGAGTGCCACGCCGGCTCAAAAGCGACAAGGTACGCCCCTCACTATCACCGTCTCCGACCCCAAAACCATGTGGACCCCGCCCTTCACAGCAGGACGTGACGAGGATGAGACCACTGCGGGGCGTAAGGGACTTATTGTTTGGGGCGAACCGTACGACATGCGGAGCTGGGAGGCCACCCCCGGCTTTCTTGCTAAGTGGTCGTGGGCTGTGGAGAGATGTGACGATTTGGTTGAATCTACTAACCGCTGGAGGCTGATGAGAGGAGAGGAACCTATACGCCTTTTTGAATCGAAAACGTAGCCGCTATGCCGAATAAGTCTTAAAGCAAGTGATGGAATGCCGGCTAACAGGCAATACGAACTATCCTTAACAGTACTGTCGGCCATAGATTTACACCTTAATTTTGGATAACAGGCGGACAGTTATGAAACCACATACAAACGTCATAGCTGAGAACAAATATTAAACAGCAAAAATATTCCTGAACCTGCATCAGGGTTGGGAATTCCTAGGATTCTATTGGGGGCCGAATCAATCTGAAGATATTGCTTTGCGAATTAGTTTCATATGCGCCTCGTCTGGATTCTGGATTCTGGATTTAGACGTAGTCCTGGCTCATCAAGTCCGGCACGTCTCCAATCTGGAACGTCCAGTCTTCTGTTTCTGCCTCGACAACGCCCAGGGACTATATGTAGTCTATTGACCCAGACGTGAAATGATCGCGCTACAAATAAATCATAAAGAGTATTACGAATTGTATGGCTCCGTGATTCATAGGGATTTATCTTGACAGGAAGCTATGGAAGAAGAATCAAATACCTCTATATTGATGCTATATGACTGTCTGACACTAGGAGGGGGAAAAGAGGAAAGAATGGAGCTATCTGCACTATAGAAGGTCCTAAATAGTTGGCATCACATGACCACCCGTTCCAACAATGTATGCGAGGGGCCCTTCTTGGTTCCCTACTCCTCCGGCAATCCTACAATATTGAGCGAGTCGCCCCACAGCCTCTTTGCCTTCTCCACTTCGTAGGCGTGCGGGGCATACCCGGGCGCAGAAAACTTGTCATCCCCTTCCGCATACGGCTCTGCCACGGTGCAGTTGGCGAGGTATTTGCCGCCATCATGTTCCCATGCCTTGCCAACGGCCGCCCACACAGATGTTGCGGCACCCTGCTCAACGCTCTTCATGGTGGGGTACAAGAACTCCATCCCCTTGAAGGCATCCGGGGGCATGTGCTGGGTCAGCCCCGTCTGGACAAGGCCGGGATGGACGCTCGTGGAGTGTAGATGGCGCGATCCATAGCGACGCTCGATCTCGTTGGCCATGTAAATGTTGGCTGTCTTGGATTGGCCGTAGGCCAGACTGGGGTCATAGCCACCTTTCTGGAAGTTGTAGTTGTCGGGGTTATTGATCCCGTGGACGTTGTGGGCCGAGGAAGCGAGACTGACCACACGGGACGGGAGCTCGGGGGAGGCGGCAGCGAGGAGAGCAGGTTCCAAGAGCTTGTAGAAGAGGAAATGCGAGAGGTGGTTCGTGCCGAACTGGAGTTCGTGGCCGTCGGTGGTTAGGCGGAGGTCGGGGATGGCCATGATGCCGGCATTGTTCACGAGAAGGTGAATCTTGGAGGTCTTGGCGAGAATGGCGGCGGCGGCAGCACGGACGGAAGAGAGGTCTGCCTGGTCCATCTCGATAATCTCCATGCGGGAAGGTTCAAAGATACCAGCGAGGGCGGATTGGGCCTTGGCGACGTCTCGGGCCGTGAGAAAGAGGGTGGCGCCAGTGGTGGCCAGGGCGCGAGTGGTTTCGATGCCGATGCCAGAAGAAGTACCGGTGATAACAATGACCTCGCCCTTGAGCTTGCCTTCAACGCACTCGTCCTTGATGATTTGCAGGGCCGTCGGGCGCGCGTCGCCAGGGCCGTTTGGCTTAGCGTGGGCTTCAGCGTAGCAAGACATGATTGCGTTGGCGAGGGATTCTGAGAGATGGTGATGAGGAACAAGACTTGCTAAGGTATCACAAGGAGAGCCGATGTGATATTGAGGAGAGTTGGATTCGGAAGTCAAGTGGAAGCAGGGGAAAGTGGCTCATTCATATAGTCAACTCACCCTGGACGTCTACAGGGCGTGGGTCCATTGTAGGAGAGCATTACTTGGGAAGACCATGACTTGCAAATCACCATACAGCACATCGTGATGACCTTTTTCCCCCTTTCGGGCTAGTCGCTTTCTCCACAAATAGTACCTACCTAGGTAAGTCCCAACCCTGGAGCTCTGGTAGTTCCAAGATTCCTGATTATCAATGTTTCAGGGTTTGGAAAACCTTCCAACCTTGCAAGGTTGGAAGGTTATGGGGCTAATGTCATCGAGTGGAGCTCCGGACCTACGCAGGTGAGGTTGTTTAACTTTGATATGAGAGACACACTAGGCCGAAAGAGGGAAAAAGGTCATCAGGGTGGGTCATAGATCTGCGATGGGAATCATATTGTATCATTCAAAGGACGGCGTTAACTTATAGATTTATTCCTATCGCCGGGAAGGACTCCCTAGGTACGGTTGGTGAGAGACACACTAGACCGAAGATGGGGAAATTGTCATCACGATGGGTCATAGATCTATAACGGGAATGGATCATATTGATCGTATCATTCAAAGGACGGCGTTAACCTACAAATTTATTTCCTATCACCGGGAAGGACTATCGAAGTAAGACGGGGACCGAAGTTGATGTGGGATGGTAATGTCGTTCTGCGTGGAACATAAATAGGCGGCAATGAACGTGATATGCAACCACTTCTTTCTCTATTACACCACTGTCTTCAACTCCTGCCTGGCTTTCTAAAGAACCCCAACAACTCCCTTCATCATGACCTCAATTCCTTCCTCGACGAGCCTTAGAGAGCGCATTGAGACTACAGCCCGAGCCTTCTTGTCAGCGTACGAAGAGGGCGGAGCCCAGAACGACGCCTCCATCATCAACCGCGACGTTACAGCGGACTGCAGCCGGTACCTGCTTCCTGCATCCGTGCCCCAGGCCTTTGGCCTGCCGGCAGACTTCTTTTTCGATACGACGAAGTATCAGGAGACGTTTGCGAAGGATATCAAGGTGTTGAAATTCAGGAACAACATCATTGCCAACTTAGTCATCGATACTGAGGCCCGCCGGGCCGCTTTCACGTCTATCGCAGACGTGCACGCTATCAGCGGAGAGTCGTACCAGGCCGAGTTGGCTTGGTTCTTGTACTTCAACGAGGATGGGTCCAAAGTCAAGAAGGTGGTTGAGTTCTGCGACAAGGACGTAATCTTGAGAATGGCAAACACGGCTGCCTAGTTCTGGTCTGCAGCGTGCAGAGTTCGAGGGAAATCTGGACGGATCTTTGTTCGATATAAGCCCAAGATATACGTTGTGATTTGTCTTCGTACGTGAATCATAGAACCTGGTGATGGCAAGCACTTAGTCTTATAGACAGGTTTCTTTTCCCTTCGTATGAAGTAGCAGTGCTATACAGATGGATATAAGTCTGTATCGTATAAGCTAATCACTAACATAGACATAGTTGAGGCGTAACTGAACCTAAGTGTCCCGATAGCAGTGGCCCACATCTTCACAGAATAAGCAAAGCCAAGAGAAACAGCCAAAATGGGAAATTCTCGTATTCTGAAACTTCATGAGTCAGAAGAATAACCGATCATTCGCCAGTACCAAGAAAGCAAATAGTCCCTAGATTCCCAGTGCATAGGTGCCCACCACTTTTCATGAGGAACAGCATACCCCATTATAATATCCTCCGGCCATGGCCACTGAATATTCCACGAGAAGTCCACCGTAGTCCACGGGGTAGGGCCCCCACGAGAAAGAGCAACATTCAAGACGCTCTGGTCAGCTACGCTGGTATCGAAGCTATCCTCGACTGCCAGCAACGCCTCAAAGTAGTGGAAACGGAGTGACGGCTGCAAGATCATGAATCCAGCATTCAAGTTACCCCAGGCCCAGAAGTCCTCTGGGACACGCGACGGGTGCGATGAGTGATTTATTCTGAGCTGTGGCAATCCAGCAGCAACATAAGTCTCTGGCAGGGTTATTTCAGTCCCATTTAAGGATACTGAGCGTTGTCTGGTTGTTGCCAGCCAGCTCACTGCGGAGCTGAGAAGCCCGTCGATACATCTCGTCAGAACGGAATCGCCATCCAAAAACACAATCAGATCGTACTGGACCATCTCCCACAGCCGCAGTTTCGTCAAGATATCGGCCCATCGGGAATCCTTCGGTCGAACCCAATCGACTCGGAAATCGGACCACTCGATTACTTGCGCACCGTCGGATTGCAGCCGGTCTCTCTTTTCACGATCGACATTCTCATGAACAAAGACCACGAAGGAGATATCCAGTCTGGTCCGTGTTTCCGGTGCGTGAAGGAGCTGGTATGTGAGGATTCGAGCGGCGTCGAAATATGGATCGCTGGTATTGTGAAATTCGGAGATGAAATGGGTTTTGTTTTCGGTGGGCGCGCTCAAATACGTCGCGTAGATTACTTGGTTTCTGATTGCTTCAGATTTTTCGCTTTGAGGAAAGTAGATAGTCGATAACCAAGGTAGGAATAATAGAAAGCCACCGAAAAGCCCGAGGGAGCTCACTAAGCGCTTCATTCTAATCAAGATCAGGAATACTAAATGGTGATATCCATGGCTGGTCACGGGCACACCTTTATATAAATCGAACTGGGGGTAGTTTTCTTGCCGCGCTAGCTACCGCACCTTAGACTAGATGGTTTAAATATAGACGACCTGATTGCATATTCAAGGTGAATAACACTTCCTGCATATCTAAAAGAACAGTGGTAGGAGAGAAGCGTGTGAGCTCCTCTCATTGTTTCCCCTGCATATCCCAGTATAGCTCGTTGTCTCAGTTCCCTTGTGGACTTTTCTGGACGGATAGCCAATAATGCCCACTGAGTTGTATGTTGGTCAATTGACAATTCTAGCTTATTCCCTGGATTCTCCGTCAATCCGGGGCTGACACTGTTCGTTAGCAAGGCCAATCCTGGTAACATAAGGGTCACCGGTTCGTCGCTGAATGCAAGATATCAATAACGACCAATATATCTAGTTCTGCTAATAAACCGTAAACCAAAGAATTGAATATATATCGAGCACCTAGTATTTGGGATGCCTCTGAAGCTCTTTCTCACGTCTCCAGGTCTCCAACATGGCGATGGATAATCATGGCCAGAATAATAGATACCATGTCAATTTAAGAGATACGCACTCTTCGCAGAAGCATACCAAAAGGTTCTATGAGTGTCTAAGTTATAATTGGGCAATATTTCCTCTAACAGCTACTATCTGTTTCATTGGTACGTTTCTCACCATGAGCGCATTATACCAAATATGTACCTAAGCAGTATAGTTCTATACCGCATAAGTACTTGGACTGGCTTCTACAACATGATCGTTGAACCAGGAGTACTCTGGACACCCGACTGCACCATTCTAGCGCTTGTATATGCTCCGTTTCTACTAGGACAACTTCCACCATACTCGATACTATGGGGTCTGTGTCTACCGATGCAGCCTTTCGCATATAAAAAGTCGCCCAAGGGGCGTTATTTCCGCGAACTCAAAGTCTGCTTGGTTACAAAGGGGACAAATATGCAGGTAAGCTACCACTCTACTCTTAAAACAATTTCTTACCATAGAAAAGCTCATACTCCACTCCTAGACTGTGCTTAATTCCATCAAACCGTGGCACAATTGCAAACACTATCAGAACATCACTTTCCACGTGGTGCTAGATTCCGCCGATGGTTCCCAAGTCGCACTTCCTGGGTTTGTCAACGTGGTGAATGTGCCAGCCTCATTTCAACCAGCCCATGCCAAATATAAAGGACGAGCGTTGGAATGGTGTCGACTGCATTGGAAGCTATCCGAGCTCGACTGGGTACTCCATCTGGACGAAGAAACCGAGATCGATGAGTACCTGGTGAAAGCGTGTTTCGACTTCATTGAGCGAGGAACGGAGGATATCGGGATGGTAGGTATCCCCGTTGAAGCATTGCTTTGCATAGTACTAAAGCACGTACAGGGAACAATCTACTACACAGCACATAATTATTGGAAAAATCCATTCCTGACCACTGCTGAAGTATTCAGAGTCGCAGATGACTTTGGCCGTTTCCAACTTCCAGTCCGACTTTTCAAACGCCCGTTGCTTGGCTGGATGCATGGCTCTTTTATATTGATCAACGGTTCTGTGGAGAACAAAGTCACCTGGGACACTGGGTGTCTTGCCGAGGACTTTTGGTTTGCGCTCCATGTATGTGATCTGAACTACATAAACAAGGGACTTTCTAAATCCGAAAACATTCGAGCAGGCCGCACGGCAAGGATTCAAATTCGGCTGGATCCACGCAATCGCACGAGAACAGCCTCCCATCAGAGTTTCAGACTTGGTCAACCAACGTAGGAGGTGGTACACCGGGATCATGTCAATAGATAGCTGGTTGGCTAAATTGGTTCTCGCTGTTCCTATGATGGGTCCGTTGGCTTATGGAAGTCTGTAAGTGGGTTGGAGAGTCTTGCAGGTTCAATAGTGACACTAATATCATATCTAGAAACCTGTATACATTCATTATAGGGTGGCATATCTCGGTTTCGCATTGGTCCTTTGTGTGGAATCTGTGCAACTTCGCTGTGGACACGCATGGACTTATTGTGGGGAGTGTGCTCCAGGACTTATACCTTGGTGACACCTCTCTGGGTGTTTTGTTTCTGCATATCATTTTAACATTGCTTTGCGCACCATTTGTACAGTTCGCGCATTCGATCATATTCTTGTCGGCATTGATTTGGCCCGCAAGCAGTTTTGTGGTGATCAAAAAGGTATAGCATGTGGCCTCGGACCGGTCTCATTGTCTGGCTACTAGTCTGTATCGATGTCATTTCTTGACGGCGATGTCGCATGCAAAAAGACAATCCATATGATAGTGTCTGAATAAGCTACAAATCAACTCAAGTTGAATATAATAAGTCCGGACGCCGCTCCTAAATCGATTTATCATGCGCTGACCCCATAGGGCTGATGCGAATGAGACATGCCAAGATTATAGCATGTTACCAGACCACGTTCAGAATATTTCCTATTGCGCTATAATAATCTCTTGACCGTTACCCTATCTCCAAATACTCGACCATTTTCTTCCTCGCGCGCTCAACCTGATCCTGTACATCCAGATCCCAAAGCCACTTCAAGCGTTGATCAAGTGTTTCCCTCAGCTTTACCGGATCATCGCGAACTCCATCAAAACACAGACAAAAGATATCTGCATTCTCCTTGCTGCTAGTAACCACCCTCTGGCTCCTGGGTCGACGAATCTCATCATACGCCTTGAAAGCCGCAACAACATCGTCGACAGAACCGACCCGAGAATCACTCAGTAGTTCCGCGAGAACATGCGCATCCTCAATAGCCTGACCAGCGCCCGCACCCTGATGTGGCGTCGAAGCATGCGCGGCATCACCGAGAATCGCAATCCTGGAGCGAGAATAGGTTGAGATATGCGGATGCTCGAAGATAGCCCATTGAGATGGATCAGGCATATTCTAAAGAAACAAGGTAAGCAATCCAGCACCTAGAAAAAGTACCAATCGCAAACAAAAACAAAACCCACCTCAACAATAGCCTTCACATGTGGCCCCATATCCCTCGTATCCCGTTCAATATCCTCCCTCCTCGCAGGCCTCACCCAGGAATAATATTCCCACGGCTGGGAACTCAAAACATAAATACCAATATTAACCAAACGGCCCTGCATAATAGGATACGAAAGCGCATAGACACCTCGACCGAGATAAATCGTCGCAACATGCGCCCTCTTCTCCCCGACCGCCTTAACCATATCCCCCATCTCAAGTACAGCCCGATACCCATACATGCCACTATAGACGGGTTTCGTGCGCAACGATTCAACGGGCATCATGCACTCCTTAACTCTTGAGCGAATACCATCACAACCAACGACGACATCCGCATCGACGACGTCTCCATCCTCGAAGCCCAGTACGACGCGGTCATCATGTTCAACGAGGGTGTTTAATCTCTTTCCGAAATGCACGATATCAGATGGGATCAGGTCAACAAGGGCATTTAGGAAATCCGCTCTCCGGAGCGCGGTCTGGCCGGAGGGTAAGGCTTTTAGGTTCATTAGGACATTTCCTTCCTGTGGACCTGTTGCCCAGACGAGCTCGAACCAAGTTTGGAGGTATTCTTCGTAGCCGGGGCTGTCTGCGTGTGTTGTTATGAGGGTGTTGTAGATTTGTTGGATTGCCGGGTGGATTAGGGGCATTGCGCGGTATGCTGCTGGACCTAGGGAGATTCCTGAGACCTATTCCTTTGAAGGACTGGGCTGCTTCGTAGATTTGGACGGGGATTTTGCGGAGGTGTAGGCCTGCTGCTAGGGTTAGGCCGCCTATTCCGCCGCCGATTATTGTTATTGTGGGTTTGGGGGACATCTTTTCGTTGATGGAGTCGGTTGGGATGGGGATTGGCCATTGGAGGCGTTAAATAGTTTTCCTTTGGGTTCAATTCTATTTGTTAGTACTTTCGCGAAATTGCACATTGTCGATAAGGTTGGGAATCTTAGTATGCCATGCAGCCACATGGGCCTGTGGAGTTACGTGACACCGGTGATTAGTACGACAATGACTGTATGTCTGACGTCGGGGAGTCAGATAGAGGGGGATAACCTTTTTGAATACAGGACTTTTGCAACGGAAGATGGCGGATTGGGAAGGCGACAGTGAAGTGGGCTATCGGGCATCCCGTGGTGGCACTCGATCTGTATTGTTAGCGCGGGGCGTGTAGTTTGCCGAGAAGTGCACAGCATGGATGGCGGGATCTACATCATAGGGAATGTATTGATATGGATGCTGTTTACAGGGATGGTCTTGAAGGGGAGAAGTATATGTTGACATTAAACCTGGAAGGGTACAAGATAGTGCCAATCGTCAGGAATCGTGCGTTTGCATGTGCAACTCTAATTTGTCGTATCTGTCCCAATCCATGAGACGAGAGCAGCGCGGTGACCTTGGTCGAAGTCGCGATCCTGTCGCGGGGATGCCCCTGGGGGTTCGAAGTGGCGCATTGACATATGCAGAAGAACCGACAAGCCTGAAGTACATCGTACCGTTCGGGCAGTCTAGAATATAGAAGGGGAAAAAGTCGAACGCTAGAAAGAAAGGGGAAAAGTTGCATGTTTCGCAACACGAAAAAAAAAAGAAATCAAATCAAATCAAATCAAATCATGGGAGCGGTCACAACCCGCTGACGCTCCCACTTTGGAGGACCGAACGGATCATCACGGGAGTAGATATCCGACCGATCCCAATCGGAGTCACTGTCCGCAATACCCGCGTGCTTATCATCCGACCTCAGCGCCGGTGAAATGTCAGAGTCATCTAGCGCGCGACGGAAGCGCAGGAACTGGCGCGACTCCGCGGTATGGCCGGGCTGCATCATGCCCATGCCCATGCCCGACTGCATGGACTCGAGTGCTGCGCGCTGCAGATCGCGAATATCATCGCGCAGACCACCGACTTGCGTCTCCAGGTTTCTGCGCGCTGTTTGTTCGCGACGCAGGAGCGTCACTAGCGTGCTGTATTGCTCGATTGAGACACCGTGGTAGTCGGACAGGGAGGTGGCTGATGGGGCGGGGCGGAGGGTGCGCGGTGTCATTGTGTCTGCGCGGATTGTGCTTGTGCTGGAGGGGCGGGCGGATATGGCTGGGAGGGGGCTAGGGGATTCATCGCGGTCGCTCGTGGATAGGAATGCGGAGGGTTTGTTGCGCATGTGAGGGGGGAAGGAGTCTGATGAAGGGGGGTGTCGCGGGCGGGATAGTTTTTCGGTGGGGTTTTCGGGGCTGTTAGTTTGTAGTCGGGCAATGGCAAATTCCAGGTCGATTAGTTTCACTTCTAGCGTGGTCAACCGCTGTTCCAGAGTGACGCTGTCATCTTGCTGCATTGTGTTGACTAGACTTGCGACGTTCGACGGGAGGCTGGGTTGATCTGCGTGCTCTTCGACCTCCATTAAAGATGGTGCGGCGGACATTCGGGTCACACTGGTCACTGTTGTTCCCGATGAGGGCCTCCCCGACTGCCCACTATTAGAGCTCTCATCTAATGGCGGGGCCCGCGAATCAGGAACCGATGCGGGCCTCGGAGGGGCGGATGATGTGCGTTGTGGCCAAGAGACTAGGGTCTCTGGTAGGTTATCTGTCATTTCGCGCAAAGCATCTGTGCTTCTTGATAGGCGGTGGGAGAGCAAGCTGTGTCTTCGCTCGGGCACATGGCTCCTATCCTCTTGGGGGTCAGATATTGCCGACGCGACGGCAAACCGAGATTCATCGTCTGAAAAGACCACGCTGGGAAGAGTTGCCCGTCTACGGCGTGGCATGCTTCCGGGCATTGAATCACGCAGGGTTGCAGAGGATAGAGGAGATAACGGAGACAGGTGTGTTTCTGCGATCTGGAGGTTCTCCGCCGAGAGTGGACTACTCCGGTGTGAATTCAAATTCAGAGGGGGCGGAGCAGCCAACAATGATCTCCCTTTCGTCGGTACTGATTTCCGCATCGGTGTCGCCGCAAAAGTAGATTCGTACGGGGTCTCTTCCAGTTCGTCGGCCTGACTCTGTCTTTTGCGGTTGAAGATCTTGCGCATCACTGTTTTCAAGGTGCTCCCGGTGCGGCGATGGGCAATAGACGGCTGGGGGTGATGAGAGTGAAATTCCATTGACGGCAGCGCCGTGTCATCGTTGTCTCCCATGTAAAGTGCAGGGTTCGAAGCGGAGCGCTCTTCACGAGCGGCAGAGGTTCGTGGTAGACTCCCAACAGACTCGCTACCGGCACTCGCTATAGATTGTGGGGGGTTTCTCGACATGGCGATGGGGTAGGGTCGCAATCAACAAATGGGCATGGAAGGTATAAGATATCGACTTCATTAAAAGCAATATGGGTATATGGCGCAAAAGAGTTGAAAAGGAAAAAAGATTTCAAGCGAGTGTCTGGAAATAAATGAAAAACGGTATGAGGGTATAAGGGTATCAATTCGAATAAAGGCTGGAATTCAGTTGAGACTATTGAAAGCTATCAAACGCAAGTTAGCAAGTTAGCTGAAGAAAGGTGTTACAAACGGAACGAACGTTATAATCAACATAGTGAAGACCTTCTCGTTTGCCCTGGAAACAAAGAGAGAGAAAAAGAATGAAAGTGAGAACAAAGGAGGGGGTAGGAAGGAAGGGAAGTTGGGAAGTTGGGAAGTTGGAGATTAGGGGAGAAGAGAAGAGGAGAGACAGCTATTATCCCCACACCGGTTCTTCCACGAACAGGTTTGGAAAAAAAAGAAATGTGGGCATACCTAGAACTCTTCAATAAAAAGGCTTATAGGTTTATAGATGTTTATAGATGTTTATATAATGATAATACTCTACTCTACTCTCTACTCTGCTTCTACTTGCCCCTCACGGGAAAATAGGTGAAGTCTGAAACACATGAAGATACCGTCTTTCAGCCGTGGACAGTTTCAACTTCAACTTGAATTAGCCCAATTAGTCCAATTAGTCCAATTAGTCCGTTCCGCCTCTTGTTTTTATCAGAAGAACACGGAATAACCTCTCAGTCATCTCTCTCAGTGTATTGGCCAAAGGGGGCAAGAATTCACCCTATTCTCTTTTGGGAAATGCATCTCCGACTCTCGTGGAAATGATCAACTAGCCGTTTCAAAATACCTTTTCACGCCGTGTCCTGAGCAGTTTCGGTCTGAATCCAGAGAGTATACAACATAACATAGTATTTGAGTTGTTTAAGTTCTTTTACCCCCTGTTCTCCCTTGCATAGGCCGTGCATCCGGTATTAGATTTAGTCTATTTCTACTAGTACGGAGTAGGGAAGAGTATGTTGTACATCCTTGAAAGATCGGCATTGTTCTGGAACTTGTTGGGACTTCTCGATCTGCATGGGAAAGTCCCATGTGTATGTATTATAGCAAATCTCCAGCATCAGGATATCGTAGGTCAGCATTTTCTTCAAGGAAATCCATCCAGTGCTTGAGGAAGCTACTCCCACTGTAAAAAAAAAAAGGAATGTCGATCAGTATTAAACCCTCAAACCTCAAACTCAATGGCTCATCCCGCACTTACTGGCTGATCGTCTCCGAATCTCCGCAAATACACAAATGTCGCTTGGGCCGCGTCATGGCAACTACGTGCAGCTTCGTCAATATATTGAATTCGCTGCAGGTACAATACCTGCACAGTTGCAACAGTCCGCAGAAAAAAAAAGGGGGGGAAAAGACATACCATTCAATCTACGCTTCTCACCCAGGAAACCCACTTCGTGCTCCGCATTGCTGCGCACCAGGCTTACCACAACGGCTTCTTTCTCCCGGCCCTGGAATCCATCCACACTGCCAAGTTCAAGGCCGGGATATTTCTTCTCGTAGCATTCGTGACAGTAGAGCCAATTGCCCGTTGTAAGGGGTGATCACGGCAATGCTCTCGGGCCTGATACCCGCGTCAATCAGATTGTCCACGTGTCTGGCGACCACCATGGCTTCCATCTCGTTGCTTTTGCTGTCTCCAAGCAAGGCTCCCTTTTTGCTGATCTCATCCTCTGCCTTCTCGGGGAAATCTCCACCTTGCGTGTCCCAGAATACCAGAGGTTCCTGTGTGTCGTCTGTGCCCTCTACTTCGTAGGGTAAGTCGATCAGCAGACGGGCTTTCACCGCGTCGCTGGCCATCAACTTTCCCTCGTAGAGTTCGTCGGAGGGGAAGCGCATGATCTTCTCATGCATGCGATATTGGGTGGTCAACATGCGTTTGATCCCCGGTCCGTGCAGGGCTAGTAGACGATCGAATAATGTGCGTTCAAGAGAGACACCTTTCAATGTCTCAGTGTCGGTGTTGTTACCAGTCTTTTCCTCGCTTCCCTTGGAAGTTTGATCTTTGGAGTTCTGGCCGGTGGACTTGACGGTCGGTGGTAATTGCAGGTGGTCACCGGCCAGGACAACCTTCTCTGCACCCAGAAGAGGAATCCAACATTGTGCTTCGAGAGCTTGACTCGCCTCGTCGATAATCACAACATCGAACTTCTGGTTCTTGAGTTGGTGACCACCAGCACCGTGAAGAGTAGCCAACACCACACTACTCTCGCGCACCAGATTATCCACGCATCTAGACTCGCGCTCTCGGAACTCCTTCCGGAGCAGCTTCAAATCGTCATAGATACCCCGTCTTTCACGACCAGACCTGGTCTTGCGAATACTAGCCTGTTTCTCGTCAATTTCCTTGCGAATATCCTTCACAATACCCCCGGCATCAGAGGTCTGCGTAAGAACTTCAAGAGAATGCTCAAGAACAGAAGGAAGCAGACGAGCCGGATGCCCGATGCGCACAACAGGTACTTTTTTGGGAGCAAGGCGTTCCACGATATTATCAACAGAAACATTGGACGGTCCACAGACAAGCACGCGCTTTCTCCGCTGAACCAACTGCAAGATCAATTCAATAAGCGTATGTGTCTTGCCCGTCCCAGGCGGACCATGAATCAAAGCAATATCCCGGGAAGCCAGCGCGAACTGAATAGCCTCCTTCTGCGAATCATTGAGGGAGGGATCGGTAAACTCCACAGGTCCACACGCCTCTGTATCCAGCTGTAGGGGCGTCGTATGCCCAAACGCAACACGCATAAAATGCGAGTACTCAGACTCCGTCATTTTAACCATCTTCTCCATAGTCTGTCTCATCCTAGCCCGAAGTCAGCAAATCAGTATCCAACAGAACAATCCCCACTCCAATATTCCAACCAACGTACCTTCTATACGTAACATCATTAGCAAGCTTAATAGCCCACACCTTCTTCCCCCAAAGCTCCTCAACAGCCTCGTCATCCTCCTTAGACATGCCCCCACCACCCTGCCGCCCAAACGCAATCCACACAGCGCGATCACCAGTACGCGTAACAACGCCCTCAACCCCCTTCTCCGCATCTTTCTCTTTCTCCTTATCTTTATCCTTCCCGACCTTCTTTCCCGCCCCAGCAACATCACTAACACGCACAACATCCCCAACCCGAATCCCATGCGACCCGAGACGAGGCGTCCCATCAGTAGCCCGGGACTCTTCTGATGCGACTGCTGGGTCCGGGGCGAACTCGCCCACGACGCGTCCGCCGAGACCGGTTCGGCATTGCGAGAGGATGAGGCCTGTTAGGGCGTAGCCGGTTGCTTGGAGGGTTCGACGGGTTGAGAGGGAGACTGTTGCGGCTGTGCTGGCGAGTTTTGAGGAGGAGACTTCGGCGGCGTGTTCTTCGTGGAGGAGGTTGAGTTGGGTTGAGGCGAAGAGGGGGATTGGGATTGGGGTTGGAGGGGGCATTATGGGTGGCGGTGGGTGGCGGGGGTTTTACGCGTGGTTGTATGGAGTTCGGGGGTCGGATTTGCGGATAGAAGGATGCTCTCGTGAAATGGCACTGCTGGAGTTGGTGTTGACGCCTTCCACAGGTTGTTGCTTGAGGAGCGGGGATAAAGAAGCTTCAGTCACCTTATGTCCGCCGGGGTGCTTCGATTGGCTGTGGATTTGGAGGCTCCCGAGGTCCACCTGGGCATTGCTGTCCAGGTGTGTACAACCTTTGACGCACAATATATTCCTGACACATGTATTCATGAAGAAAATCAAAACCAACAACCGAGAGCTAATACATAAAACACGAAAAGACCATGTCCCCTTTCCTTCCACGCGGGGACCCGGCCGTTCTTTTCGTGAACTTCAATAACCCTCAACCGGCAGGCAAAATGGTTTACAGGCACCTGAGCACGAAACCTTGCCTTCGAAATATTTCCGATGACGCTGAAAGAGATACAGATAGGCTCCCAGCTGATCCTGTCCTCAATATTATGCAGTTCGTCTTCAGCCCGGGGCCATGGATCTCAACTGATGACTCATAAGAATCTAGAGCCCTGGAGATAACTACCTAGGTATGGAGTACATTTGGCATACTTCAAAATGAAAATAACATGCTTTCGTTTAGACCTGGATGTGGTAGGTCCCTTGGATAAGTACATTGTCCCTGGGACAGTTGCACGCGCCCCTACTGCACCGCTAGCGCCAGCCACTGACTTTGCAACCAATGGTTGAAATAGAAGCACAGAATGGTCAACAAGCGGCAGATGAAACATCAAGCTGGGCTCAGTAACCAACGTTTCCGCCAATAGTATAATCGGAATGTTGACCAGAGGGGTGAGGGTTTTAATAATAGAGTATCTTGGGTCTACCATATGCAGCGTCTGTGGCACAGGTCGAGCCTGATCACGTTCGAGTTGTTTCAGGTTGATAAAGGAGAATATCGTATTGCTAACGAAAAGCCTCTTGTCACGTCAGCTGTATCTATTGATATTCTTCATGCCGATTCCAATCAAGGTGTGAAAATGGGCGATATAGGTCCAACTCTGGCAAAGGACTTCTCCAGACGGTGAATTGAGAACGGCATCCGCGACTTGACAGACAATCTCGCGCCTTCAAATCCCAGCAGGTCATTTAGGATCTGACCACTGAGGATGCCCCTCTTTATTCGATCGAGCAGTAAGCGCCCATGCAGTGACACGTTGCTGGCGGCTACAACTTTCTAAGTCGGGTATGATACTAACCTAGGTAGGTACTTAAGGAGGGCCTGTACTACATCCCATTATTATTGTGACACAGAAATTCTTTTGCCATAGTACCCCAGAAAGTCTGTTGGTCGAATCATGCAAATTTTCCGAGCACGCCAGCCCGAGACCATTTTCCAAGTGCAAGAAACAGGGCATAACAGCCTTGCGTCTTACCGTGCACATGACCCCGCTTTGCCTGCATGCTCTCCGATTCCCCAGGTCATAAATACATATGGCATCAGAGTCTTGAGCGACCCACCTAATGCTACATGTGATATATGTTTCATTCATGGCCTGACGGGCGATCGAGACAAGACCTGGACCGCCGATGGCCAATCTACGCCTTGGCCCGGAGCACTGCTTCCAGGGAAACTCCAACAAGCTCGCATTCTGACATACGGCTACGATGCGTATGTAGTCTCAAAATCAACTGCCTCGATGAATCGATTGCGCAACCATGCCACAAATCTCCTAGTCGATTTAGCATCGGACCGGGAATCCTGCAATGCGGCCGGCCGCCCGCTTATTTTTGTTGCGCATAGCCTTGGCGGGCTGGTCTGCAAGATGGCTATTCTTGTGTCACGAAACCACCCTGAAACACACCTTCAAGATGTGTTCAATTCCCTCAAGGGCGTGGTATTCATGGGAACCCCTCACATGGGAGCTTGGATGGCGAATTGGGCCAAGATTCCTGCCACGACTTTTGGGTTCGTGAAGTCTGTCAACGTCAATTTGATAGATATACTACAGAGCGATAATGAGCTCTTGGAGTCATTGCAGGGTGACTTTTTGGCTATGGTACGCCAAGTACGGGAAAATGGTCGGCGCCTTGAAGTCACCTGCTTCTTTGAAGAGCTTCCCACCTTTGGGGTTGGGCCGATCGTATCAAAGGAGTCTGCCTCTTTCGACGGCTATGCGCCTCGTAGCATTCACGCCGATCATCGGAACATGGTCAAATTTGCAACGGTGGAAGATAATGGTTTCAAGAGGGTGTTAGGAGATCTTGTCAGATGGACATTGGCAGTCGGTAAGAAGGATTAGCATACCACTCATACGGGAATTTGCCTAGCTAAATTCAATTCAAAGATAAACCGCCACTTATAAACCCAAAAAGAAACCAACACAAACTAAATGCCGAAGACGCAGCCTGTCTACAGGATCTATACACGACAGATCCTCGTAATGATAAGACACGTATCGAAAAGGTCAAGGGCGGACTACTTGAGGAGTCATATCACTGGATATTCGAGAACGACGACTTCAAACAATGGCGCTATAACCGGCAAAGTCAGCTGCTCTGGATCAGAGGGGATCCTGGAAAGGGCAAAACAATGCTTTTGTGTGGAATCATCAACGAACTAAAGTCGTCATCTGAAGCTTCTGTGGTCTTTTTCTTCTGTCAGGCTACAGACGCGCGAATAAACCACGCTACTGCAGTCCTTCGCGGTCTGATATATATGCTGGTTGACAACCAGCCCAACCTCATCTCCCATGTACGACAACAGCACGAAAAGGCCGGGAAAAAGGGGTTTGAGGATGTCAATGCATGGGAAACCTTGTCAAAAATCTTCAGTGATATCCTCGTGGATCCGCTCTTACAAAGTACATATGTAATCATTGATGCCCTCGATGAATGTACAAAAGATCGGGATCTGCTTCTTGATCTTGTTGTCCGGAAATCATCATTATGCCCACATGTCAAATGGATTGTCTCAAGTCGTAACTGGCCAGATATCGAGGAGGCTCTTGAGCCTGCAACCCAAAAAGCAACGCTTTGGCTGGAGTTGAACGAAAGGTCCGTGGCCGAGGCCGTGACCACCTTCATCCGACACAAAGTCCAGGAATTGTCGAAACAAAAGAAGTATAAAGCTGAATTACGCGATGCTATTTCTCAACACTTGTTTTCAAACGCACATGGTACCTTCCTCTGGGTAGCCCTGGTCTGCGAGGAGCTGGCGAAGGCAGCACGGTGGAACGGGAACGCTCGTTCGCTATTGACTGCATTTCCGCCGGGCCTCGAATCCCTCTATGCTCGGATGATTCAGCGAATTCAAGGTTACGACCCAGCAGATGCACAACTTTGCAAGCGAATTCTAGGTGTCATCCTACTTGTATACCGACCTATCACGCTAGACGAGTTGCCGACTTTGGTGGATATGCCCGAAGATATCACTACTGACCAACAGTCTTCGATCGAAATTGTGGAGGCATGTGGTTCATTTCTTACAATCCGAGAAGGTGGTATCTTCTTTGTGCATCAGTCCGCAAAGGACTTTCTCCTTCAATCGGCAACAAAAGAGGTATTTGCGCGAGGAATTGCAGCCGAGCATTATACAATTTTCTTTCGCTCTCTGCGGTCATTCGGGACGCTTCGACGTGATATATATGGCCTGAGATCGCCCGGGTTTCCCATTGACAAAGTCAACCAACCTGATCCAGATCCATTGGCAGCTGTACGGTACTCATGTCTCTACTGGGTTGATCACCTCCATGATGGCAATGTGGTTGATCATCCTCGGGAGAGTGATCTAGTTGAGGAGTTCCTAAAACACAGATATCTCTTCTGGCTCGAAGCTATGAGTCTCATGGGACATATTCCAGAAGGGATAGCCGCGATAATCAAGATGGACAGGCGTTTTCAGGTTAGTGACCCATGGATCACTCCTGCAATTATCCCTTTGCGTTGCTAACTGCAGAGTGCTGTCATAGAGACTGAACAACGCAAAAGAGCTCGCAGAACGAGTTCGAGATGCGAGCCGATTCATCCAGTACCACAGGCTGGCAATCGAATGTAGCCCCCTACAAGTCTACATCTCATCACTTATCTTCAGCCCAAACCGGAGTATGATAAAAGCTTGTTATCAATCCTTGACACCAAACTGGGCTGTCCAGAAGCCAGTGATGGAAGATAATTGGAGTCCATGCCTTCAGATCCTTGAAGGGCATTTTGACTCTGTCGAATCAATTGCGTGGTCCAAGGATGGAAGATTGATCGCATCAGGATCAGGAGATGGAGCTATTATGATCTGGGACCCAGTAACCGGTCGGCGTATATCGACCCTTGCAAGGGATCGCGGTTGTGTCAGATCAATGAAGTGGTCTGAAGATGGACGTTGGCTCGCATCATTGTCAAGAAATTTGACGATTAGGGTCTGGGACCCAGTCATCGGGCGGTGTGTATCGACCTCGCACATCGAAAAATGCAACGGGTTCATAATATCGATAACGTGGTCCAAAGATGGAAGCTTGCTCGTATCAAGATCAATTGATCGAACCATCCAGATCTGGGAGCCGTTCACCGGGCGGCGTATATCGACTATTGAAGGGCATAGCAAGTCGATCAGATCGATTGAGTGGTCCGAAGATAGAAGCTTCCTCGCGTCAGGGTCAGTTGATGGGACCGTCAGGATCTGGGACCCGTTGACCGGGCGATGTATATCGACCCTCGAAGGGCATGTTGATGATGTCTCGAATATTGCATGGTCCGAAGATGGAAGCCGGCTCGCATCTGGGTCAGTTGATGGAACCGTCAGGATCTGGGACCCATTGACCGGGCGATGTATATCGACCCTCGAAGGGCATGTCGATGGTGTCTCGGATATTGCATGGTCCGAAGATGGAAGCTGGCTCGCATCTGGGTCAAGGGATGGAACCGTCAGGATCTGGGAGCCATTGACCGGGCGGTGCATAGCGACACTTAAGGTCCATAGGACCACAGTCATGTCGATAGCCTGGTCTCGTGATGGGAATTGGCTCGCATTGGTGGATGAGAGAGTCATAATACTCTGGAACCGAAACACCGGCTCTACGTCAACTCTAGAGGGACATACCGGTTCAGTCCTATCGATCCAGTGGTCCCGGGATGGCAGTCAGCTCATATCAGGGTCCGCCGATAGAAAAGTTAGGATCTGGGATCCGACCATAAAGCAGGGTATATCGACTCTGAATCGGCATAACGCCAGAGTCAGATGTGTGGTCTGGTCTCGGGATGGAAGCCGGCTCGCATCAGGATCATTCGATAAAAGAGTGATGATCTGGAACCCAGCCACCGGGCAGTGTATATCGATCCTTGAAGGGCATGGCAGCCCGGTCGCAACAATTTCCTGGTCCAGGGACGGAAGTCAGCTCGCGACAGGGTCACATGATAGGACAGTTAAGATTTGGGATGTGGCCACAGAAACGTGTGTGGCAACTCTTCGTATCGACTCTACTCTTAGGCTTCAATTTGATGAGGCGAGTGTGCATCTTCTGCATACGGATGAAGGTGTTGTCGATTTGAGGTCATTTTACCTTGTCCCGACTTCATTATCACATTCACCTCCTCGGCAAGACCAAGGAGCCTATAGCTGCACTAATGATAGCACCTGGATAACCTTTAGAGGAGAACACATTCTGTGGATACCATCGGAGTATCGACCGTGCCACTGGTCGTTCTTCCCTACATGTGCAACAACAACAGTAGCAATTGGCTGTTCCACGGGTAATGTGTTGTTCTTGACCCTGTCAAACGATCCATGGATAATCAGTTCTCATAAGTCATCTATAGCGTCACAACGGCCATTGAAGCGCCGTTTGACGTAGGTTCCCTGCAAACACCAGCGTCCAGCACTGGTGGGCTGCACATAGGGACATACGTACCTTCGATGATTCAATTGTTCAAACGGAGGGTGCAAAAAGTGGTGTAAGTTTGTTGTTCGATACCACTGTTGAAGTAGGATGAAGACTGCGTGGTTTTGAGTGTACATATTTAAGGGAAGAAGACGGTTAAATGAACGAAAAGGGCATTTTCGACGTGGCCTCTGGTAAAAATGCACCGTTGTTTGACCATTGCGCTCCCATACCCATCTAAATACATATGTAGACCCTGTAGTCCTTCAAGGGAATTTATTTTACACGCAAGTACGTCGGGTGTGAATTAGTTCGTGTGTAGTATTTGAATCTTAGCTCGAGATGCACCTGTATTGACACCGTCTGGGTTAAAGCCCCTAGAAAGGCGGTATGATAGAGCATCCTCCATTCTTAGTTGGTCTTTAACTAGTAGCGTTCTAAGGGAAACAGGCCTCGAGCATGTAATGATGACGCTAACGTTTTCCGTTGTTGGTTCTATTAAGCCCATGGAGAGGATGATCATTCGGGATCGCACGATCGATGTTCAGCACCAGGATCAATTGCTGCTTGATCAAAGCTCTCAGTTCACAACGAGACTTGTAGTGGAACTTTTCACAAGTCGAAAGCGAAGGCTCATGATAATTCTTGAACTGTTGTTTGCGACAGTCCAGTCCGTTGGGCGTCCGTATATAGAATGACATTCAAGCAAGCCTTCACCAGCGGGAAAGCAGGGAGTGCCGTTGATGTCCGTGACAACAGATCCTTTAGCTCTTCGAGTCGGAGAAGGTGGCTTCTTCGGTCGGCCCCATGTTAGCCGCAGGGTTGGTTGAACGAGACATCCCATTGCCTTTTTGGATCTTGTGGCCTGTGATAGGTGAAGGCCAAGCGCCGAGAATTGTGCCTGGAGGCCAACAGCGGCAACGATTATTGGGGAACGCAGCCAGGCATCGATGGGGTGTTTGGTCCGTGCGCCATCTGATATTTCCATTCAAAGTCACAGTTTCGAAAGCCGGGGTTTCTGAGACGAAGGATACTCATATTAGACCATTATAAGAAAACCATATTAGGCAAATAAGCCGGCTCCACGCTCTCCCGTCCAGGACAGGGCCCGTGGACGGACAGTATAAATCGGACCAGCAATCCACAAGCGCAAATCAAAGAGCCTCAATTTTAACCTTGGGCTCATCAACCTCAGGACTCTCCTTAACCTTCATCGTCGGCTTAAGCCCTCGAATCTCACTCTTGCAAAGCCGCAAGTGAGCCAGCTTACAATCCCCACACCGACGCTTAACAGGCAAACAAACCGTCTGCCCAAGGCCAACAAGCAAATGATTAATCCCATGCCACCTATTACGCGGCAACCACGACTGCAGCGCTTTCCTCGTCTCCTCGGGGGTCTTGGTCTTATTCCAACCCCAGAGATTGGTAATGCGATGAACATGCACATCGACACCGATTCCCACGTGTTCGTCCCATGCCGCGCTCATACATAGGTAAGCCATTTTGGGTCCGACACCGGGAAGCGCCATGAGGCCCTCTGGAGTCGAAGGAATATCCCCTCCGTGCTGGTCTCGCAAGATCAGCGCGGTTGCTTTGATGTATTTTGTTTTGTTGTTGTGGAAGCCGACCGTGCGGATTAGTTCGTTTAGTCGCGTTGGGTCCACGGCTAGGATGTTGTTTAGGTTGAGGGTGCTGTCGACGGGTTTTGCATCATCGTCTTCTTGTTTAATCTTGATATCCTGAGCTGGGGCGGTGCCGTCTCCGAGCTCCGTGTGGAGACGTTGCATCGCTACTGCCGTAACCGTGTCTTTCGTCTGGGATGAGAGCATCAACGCGATAAGTGTCTGGAATCGACGGTCTATTGGTGATGACGCGCGCCAGAATAGCTGCGAGCAGCCCATTGTGTCTACTGGTGCATCTGCAGCCGGGCCGCCTTTTTCCCTCATCTCTCGCACAGTTTCGTACATCTGCTCCCAGTTGGTCGGGGGCTCGACCTTGACCGAGCCGTCGATGTCGCGGGTTTCTCGGGCCGGGAGTCGTCTTTGTTTGGGTGCCGGGGTTGGTTTCTGATCGGGCTCGTCCTTCACTGCCACCTTTCGCGATGTGCGAGGATTTGGGCTCTGCTTGAGGACTCGTGGGTTTATGGGGCTCGCGTTTCGCTTTTGGCGCTTCAATGGCGGTTCAAGGAGGTCTTCGATGTCCGCCGTGTCGGCCTCGGAGAGCTCGGAGAGGGAAGATTCATCGTCGCTTTTGACAGCAGAGAGACTGGATGTTGTCGAAACATCTTCTGACTCCAATTCTGTCTTGATGGTCGGAATTGCATTCGCGTTGTACGCGAAACTGTTCAGAGCGCTCGCATTGGAGTTACGCGTTTGTCGTCCGATAGGGGCCGACAGAGCCTGCAGCACCTTAGCGGTGTCCCTGGAAGTGCGAGAAGTGCGCATAGCGAATCAACAAAAATCTGACCAGGAAGAGAAAGTGACCAAACAAGACAAGTCGGAGGCAATTTCACGTGAGAGTCCGCGCGGGTGATCGATCCATGGACCGGGTAGGAATTCCCCAACCTCGGCGATCGCAGTGCCGACCGACTTTCCCTCCGCCCTTCACTAATTCATACACTCCACCACATTCGACATGGCGTCTCGGACACGGGGTATTGACACAAGACAACGGCTGATGAAAGAGTTGAAAGCATATAATAAAGAGGGGGAGAACGAAACATTCCTGTACCTACGTCCCGTCAATGACGAGGACCTACTACACTGGGAGGCAGTATTGAAGGGCCCAGCTGCATCACCGTACGAGGGCAAGTTCAAGTCCAAGTCCCTACCAGAACCATTTCAGTCAATCTAACGCGACAACAGGTGGACTTTGGGGCCTTGATATTCAAATCCCATCAGACTACCCTTACGCGCCGCCCACCATCCACTTCACGACTAAGATCGCGCACCCGAATATCGCCTGGGGCTCGGGGGAGATCTGTTCCTCATTAAACAATGACTGGAAACCGACTGTGAATCTCTCTGGCATACTCGCGGCTATTCAGCTACTGTTGACGGTTCCGGATCCGGATTCGCCGTTGAATCCTGACATCGCGGTCCTAATGCGCAACGGGGATTTTGCTGGTTGGGAGAGTGTTGTACGATACTGGACTCAGGAGGAGCGGTGGCAGGGAGTTCGGTGGTGATTGTTGGTTCCGAGAAACCAGCTGCGACATTTGGCGATCTCGCTCGATACCCTTGACCACACACAATACCGCCCTGCGGATTTCGATCATCTCGGATACCCTGCATATATTCTATATACCAGTTGACGACTGAATGACCTTTACACAATCAATGAGCCAATACGTTTGACGATTGAGCGCAATTTTGGCATTCCGATCATCTTGCATACATACCTTGGCACAACTTCTACATTCCGATCATCTTGTTTGTGTACCTTACACCTACTCTATATACTCCATACGAAGAGAATCTTTACAATGAGCCAAAGAGTTTGACAATTGAGCACATTTTTTGCATTATCTTCAAAGTGAAGATTCAACATGGACTAAAGTAATCACATGGGATAATAGCGTGTGCTGTGCGCTGTAAATGTTCAAGACCGCTGTTTAAAACTGCAGAAACAAAAGGCCAAATGAGGCGGAATAAGGAATGCCCGCCGTAAACGCCCAAGGAATTAAGGAGAGACATGAGTAGGTCGTCACGGGTCATGCGGAAAGATAGTACAATGACGAATGTCATGAAGATGCAGAACCAATGCGATGTGCTGAAAAACGCCGATTGAAAATGATAAAGATGCAAGCAGGCGATGAGGCGAAAGTCGTGATCCATTACAGAGCCATTGCGACCACGACGGCGCCACCAAACATGGCGACAATCTCGCGAGCCATACCAGTAGGCAGGGCGGCGGCGTTGGTCTGCAGACCGGGCTTGCCAGCAGCGGTACCCGAGGGTTTGCCGGTTGCCTCTGGAGTGATGACCGTAATGGAGGTGATGGTGCTCTGGCTGCCATCGGGCATGGTGGTCGTGCTCTTGGAGGTCGAAGTAGTCAGGCCGGTGTGCTCAGTGGTACGGGCAGAGGTAGTTGTTTTATTGGTGGTTGTTGAGGTAGAGGTGGACGAAGTGCTCCTGGTAGTCGACAGAGTCGAAGGAACACTGGTGGTCTCCGATTTAGTGGTCGGGGTGGTCTCGGACGTAGTAGTAGCAGTGGTCGGCTGAGGAGTGGTCTGGGTCGAGACCGTGCTGGAGGTCTCGGTGGGAACAGATGCAGAGCTGGTAGAGCTGGCACTGGTATCACTAGTAGAGCTAGCCGAGGTTTCGGTGGGCTGAGCGCTGGTAGTGGGCTCGACACTAGACTCGGAGCTGGTCTCACTAGTCTCAACAGCCGAGGAGGTGGCCGGCTCAGAAGTTGGCTCGGTGGCAGTAGTCACAGTAGGAACCGGGGCCGCAGAGCTAGCAGTAGCATTGTCCTGGCGCTTGGCAAGCTTGATCAGGCTGGCAATGGTGGGTTCTTCACCTTGCAGAGCTTCGGCGGCATCAAGGTCAGTCGGGAAGATTCCATGACGGAATTTGGCGGAGAGAGCATGCAGAGCACCATGAAGCGAGGCTGCATTGGTGTCGGCAATTTCTTGGGGAGACTCACGTTGCGAGGTCCCCTGCACAGCGTCTGCTGCGAAAACTGCAGACAGACCGAGCAGTGTCACAAAAAGCAATTGAAGAAGGCTGATACGCAGCATGATGGGAGGTTGAAGATCGGCAGATCTGCTGATAAGGTGGAGAGATGTTTAGAAATGGGTAACGTAAGGAAGATGAAGAGGAAGATGAAGAGAGAGGGAAAAACAACAAAGAACGTTGGAAGGTGAGATTCTTAAAGAAGAACGAGATGGAAGGAACCACCTGCAAATGCTATCTCACCTTTTTTCTTTTCTTTTTCTTTTTTTGGTTCGATGTATTTCTTGATTTTTCGCACTAGCGACAGATAAACCCGAGAATCATCGGCGTGGCTGATTTTCTTTTCACCACTTAAATGTCTCGGATCGGCCCCAAAGGCTTAATACGGACTACTGACTGGACTAGTTTGGACTATTTTGGACTATTTTAGATCCATAATGGAGTAATCGATGGAGTAAAAAGGAACTGTGCCACAAAAATCAAATCCAAAAGAACAACTCATTCTCTACTATAATTGGCCCGGTCTCAGCCCTGGCTAACAATAGCATCCATGGACGGAACAAGAGTCGTGTTGTCATATATTTCGTTTTTACTCCATTGGGCAATTTTCAAGGGGCTATTTCCCCTGGCACTTCCCATGGTTCTATATTTCTATATTCCACAATCCGGATTTTATTACTCCGTAATTCACTTATGACCTCAGGATGTACCTCAACTATACGAATAACAATACCCGTATCTAGTCGGATCCATAACCTCGCCGACCGACCGAGGCCGATCAAGAACACCGAATTCCATCTCCATATCGACCGTGACAAGTGTCGCATTCGGCGGGTTGAGGAGCATATTCGTACCGTTAAGTGCGAACCGACGATGGTCCTCATCCTTCGCCTGCCAGATACTCCACAACCGATCGATCATACCGTGGTGCAGCATGAAAGCCGGGTCTTGCGGCGACGTAAATAGGTCTTGGAGGGTGGCCCCGAGGCTGAAATGCCCGCCACCGTGAACACCCAACACCCCCTTGGGTCGTGCGGGCCAATAGTCCATGACAGTTTGGAAATCGGACATGTTGGGTGCGGCCAGGAGTCTGTCGACGATGGTCTCGTTGTCGTAGTTGCTACTGACGAAATTGTTCAGACTTCGGTTCAAACAGCGCGGGTTGTAGTCGAAGCCTGGGGCGGGGAGTTTGGCGAATGAGACGATGTTCCGGTCAAACGGCCCCATGTGGATTTGCATGTCTTTGAAGGGTCCGCATCGCACGCAGCCGCCGCCCGATCCGCGTGGTATGGTTACGGCGCCGCCCGAGAGGCTTTGCTCGCCCGGGTTGTACTCCCCGTCACCGGAGAGGGAGCTGTCGCTGCAATCGAAGAGAGGGCTGGCCTTTAGATTCTCTGACCATAATGGCCAGTTCCAATACCTGGTTCGTGTTACTATGGCTTGGTGGTCGTAGGAGATGAATGGCACTCACGGGAGATGTCCAGGGTAACCACACTCTTCCCGCAGGGCTCTCTCCCAGAGCCAGAGGAAGTGACGGTGCCATGGGAGGAAAAGACCACTAAGGTGGACATTGAGTGTGTAGTTGATATGGGTGCTATGGTATGTTAGTACTCGGTCCTTGGCACCTCGAACATTGGCGATGAACCTACGCCACAAAATCATCGAACCGGTTCCGAACTCCTGGGTACTCTTCTCTTGGAAGATGTTGGGGCTTCCCTTGCATACATAACACTGCATTAGTATAGTCGATCCTCTCAGCTCGCTTCAACTCTCCCCTATGTGATGTCAGTTCTCTGTTGGTCCTAAGAGAATCAGAAAATACACACCATTCCTTCCGTACATCACGGTTGTTATTTCCGCACGATCGCTCCAGGGGAATGTCGATGGTAATACCGAATAGGGAGAAGTCCGCTGCCGAAACCAAAACCCCAAGGCCGATGACCAAGAAAGACCGATAAAAACCAATCATCCTGTCAATCCCAATTAAAAAAAAAGACCCCCGATCCACGGCAGATAAAACTCTCGGAGAGAATCCCTATGCCTGGTCCATGAACACTGTTTATAAGTAACCCCCGGTCCCTCACCACCGGACCAATAAATCCTGATAGCACCCCTTGTATGATCTGTAAATCGACGGAGAATTTTAGATTTGCCTATTTTGGCGAGCTCGGAATAAAACCTGGATATGCGGGTTCTAGGCCTATCAGAATGTGAGCTGTCACTCTACGAAGGTCAAAGTGCATCGTACATGCTCTGTACTCCGTCGGTGGCGCTGCACTGGTTCCCCTGCATGATATGGAGCGCCAGAGTTTTTAGTGTTCGACCACCGCCAAAATTTAGTTAGATTGGAACTCTAACATTACACAATTATCTTATTTGCCTAGGTGGTGTGTCGTGGAGATAGTTGTACCTAGTCGAACTGTATCTGGATTTGATGTGCATATGTACTTGGACCCGTATTTGAGCGCCGGGGAAGGATGTTCTAGTCAATTTTGAAATCACAAGTGCACTTGATATGGAACTGTTCGACCGACAACATAGATTGTACCTGAGTAAGTACTCGGTTAAGGCTGGGCATTAATACATTATTGGCTCTCTGGTCAACTAGCTATTTTTGCTATCTTGTAAAATCAACTTGAGCGGACAATATCCTGGACCGAGGTACGTTGTAGTAGGAACTACGCCGTACCGCGTTAGACCAGTTCTTTCCACAATTACATATAGAATGTAGGGACCTATGGGATTGACGCCGAAAATGACCGCTTTTGAGGCCAGAAACGGCTGCCTTTCTACCCGTAACTTTCGATATCTAGCCGTTCCTTGACCGCCTACTGTCCTATAATACCACTATTCTATACCCGCCTAGCACTTTTAGTTATCATTGAACCGGGAGAACGAAGGCCAATGATACGAACTGATGTGAACTAACACTACAACTCTAGCAAGTGGAAGAATGAATAGTGAAATGTTACGCACTGCCAACTGGTCACAGTTAGGTTAGAAGGGTTCCGGGTATACTTGCCTTATACCGCTCGGGTTTCCAATGTCAACGATCTGTGCTCTCAACCGTACTGTTGCCTAATAGGCCTTACTGTAGACTGGGTCCTTTCGAGGTATCGAGGAACGGTGCTAGGTAGAGCGCCGAATAGATCTATACTAGGGTATTAGTCTATTCGTAAGTGTTATTAAGTTATAATTAAGTAAAAGAGTCACTAATAATCTAAAAGGTAAATATAAGTAATAATATATAATTAAAGACGAAGAACTAAACTAAGTATATAAATAAGTGTCCTTATATATCCTTCGTTTCCTACTCCTAGCGTGACTCCTTAGAGTTACCGCTAGAGTCGCTATATACTCCTATATATACTTTTTAAAGTCGATATAGGAGTTATAGTTACGTATCTCTAGTTCTATATATAGTGGTTCCTAGTATAGGTAATATCCGATACCTTAAAGTATATATATACCGGAAACCTTTTAATAGTAAGTCTAATTAGGCTTAGTTATACTTTTACTTACTAAGCGTAAATAGGTTTCTCTTTCCTAAATACCTAGGGATATTAGGGTATTAGGTACTATACGTAATCTACTAATAGATAGATTAGTTAGCTCTTAATAGCCTATCTATATACTTAGTAGGGTACTATCGATTAGTAATAGGTAGTTCTATAATATTATCTCTTTCTCTCTTAGGGCTTTATCCTCAAAGCCCTTTAAAGCTATCGACTATCCTTTAAGTAAATAATATTAGTTATTTCTCTTTTTCCCTCTTTCTCGTTCTCTAGTTATATACCTTTTATACTATACCGGTTAATAACGCGACTTATAAATAAAATAGACTTACTTAATATCGATTAATTCTAATAAATAGTTTAGTTACTAAATACCTTTATAAATATTACTTTTCCTATAGTATCTCTTATATAGCGGATCCTAAGTATTATAACTATACCGAATATATTTATCGGGGTTAAAAGTGCGCTAAAAGGTTTTATAGCGAAACTAAATAGTAAAAGGTATTATATAAGTAGTAGAAAATTAATAAAGAGCTTACCTAGGCTAAAAAGTAGCAAATAGATATAATAATAAAAATAATACGTTTATATAAATAGCGCTAATTTTTATATTCCCGGAATAATCGGATATTAGATTATAATTCCGCGTTAATAGAGATAGTTAGATACTAAAGATCCTCTATCTACTAAAGATCTTACTAAGCTAGATCGCCTCGCCGATAAGTACGATACTTAAGCCCTTACCGCTACGTTAGAGAATCCTACTCTAACCTAGATATTTAGTCCCCTATCCCTTTCTATCTTAGAGGGGATAGACTTATCCTTTCTAGTTAGCGATTCTTCTAGTAGAACTATTAAACTAGCTAGGGGTAGCCCTTTAGGTTCTCGATAGGTTCCTATATATTCTTAGAGGTATTATACCCCTTCTATCTTACTAGATAGTAAGGTCTTCTACTTATCTATTTTATTTCTAGAATCTTTTTAACCTTATATTCGTTTTCGGTTTCTTCTTTAATTTCTATATTTATAGCGAGTTCGGCGTTTTCTAATATAGGTTCGAGTAATAAGATATAAAATACTAGATAGAGTCTCTTTATACTATATAGTAGCTTTAATTAGTAGCTAACTAGTCCCAATTTTTCTTTAATTTTAAACGGTCCTAGTTATAGGTAGTCTAATTTATTACTAGATCGCTTAGTTTTAATATTATAGCGTAAGAGATAAACCTTTTCCCCCTCTTTTAGATTAGGTCCCTTCTTATATTATTAGTTATAGTATTTCTTTATTCTTAGATTAACGAAGTTAATATCTCTAGATAGTTACGAATATAACTATTTAAACTCGGTAGCTTTTAGTTTTACTACTTCTACTATAGCTACTTTACTAATTAGTTCTCCGAATATTATAGGATTATATCTATAATTTATATAAAACGGTAATTCTTTTATTATAGAGTGTACTATATTATTATACACTAGTTATACTATTAGTAATAGTCCTACCTAGTTATTCTATTAGTAGTTTATATAGTATTAGAGGTACTATTTTACTATTTAGTTTACTCTCTTTATTTATCTATTAGTTTATAAGTAGTATATAGTAGAGAGTCTTAGCTCGATACCTATTTAGTCTATAAATAACTATTATATATTCGATATAAATAGCTTATCTCTATCTAATATAATTTTATATAGTAACCTATAGTTTACGACTATATATTATAGTACTAGATTAGCTATTTAATCCGAGTTAATAGTTTCGGTAGTTAGAATTATATAGGCGTATTTCGTAAGCCTATTAACTATAACTATAATTATATCGTATCCTTCTAAGACTAGTAGTTTTATAATAAAGTCTATTATAATCTATTCCTATAGAGTCGTCAGGCGTTTTAGATAACTATAATTCTCTATATAGTATATATTATACTAGTTTATTTCTCTAGTATATATCGTATCTACTAATATAGAATCTAATTCTTCGGTTTATATTTAGAAAATAGTAATTTCGCGAAATATATTCTATAGTCTTTTCTATCCTTATATATCTATATATAAGGTTATTATAGTATTATCGAATAACCTTATCCCTAAGTGATATTAGAATATATATTAATCTATATATATAGACTATTCCGGTCTTATCCTAAGTAGATTTACTATCCTCGGTTATTTATCCGGCGATTATTTTATAATATTCGTCTATTTTTTATACGTCTCGGATTTGCTATAAGAATTCGTCCTAGATTTCTACTATTATAACTAGAATCTATTTATTATATAAGATAGTTCCGTCCTAGTTCTATTTTAATATAGCGGGTTCGGCTACCTTAGTTCTAATCTTATAGTCTAGTCGTCTACTAAATATATCTACTTAACTATTCTCTATTCCCTTATAATATTCGATCCTAAAATTGTATTATACTAAGGTCTTAGCCTATCGCGCTTATCGTTATATAAGAACCTTTATTATTATAAAGAATATAAGGTTCTTATAATCGGTCTATACTATTATTATATATTTTACTCTTTTTAAATATACTCTCTAGACTTAGAATACTAATACTATAGCTAGTAGTTCTTTATTATAAATATTATAGTTAAGCTTTATAGAGATTATCTTCTTAAACTAGAATATAACTAGTCGAGAAGTCCTATCTTTTTTCTTCTAAATTAGTCTAGCTTTTAGAGCGTAGTCTAATACGTCTATCTCTAATATAATTAGTAAATTATAGTTAAAGTTTATTATAATCGTTCGCTATTTAAATAGTTCCTTTAGTTCGTTAAATAATTTCTCTATTACTTTATCCTATTAGAAGGTTTATCCTTTCTTAGTAAATCGGTAGAGTCCGGTTATTATATTAGCGTATCTATTAATAATCTTCCGATAGTAATTTATAAGACTAAGAAATTACTATACTTCTTTAACGTTTTTTAATATAGGCTATTTAAGAATACTCTTAACTTTATCTTCTTCTATACCTAATCCGTCTAGGCTAATACGATATCTAAAGAATCCCGTTTCCTAGATATAAAACTCGTACTTTTTAAGTTTAAAAGTGACCTTCGCGTCTTTTAACTTATTAAGTACTAACTTATTATACTTAATATAATCTTCGAGCGTTTTAGAGAATACTAAAATATTATCTAAATATATAACGACGAAGATATCTAGATATTCCTTAAGAACACTAAAGATAAAGCGTTAGAATATTATTAGTACGTTAGTAAGGCTAAAAGATATAACTAAATATTTATAATATCTATATTTAGTTTTAAATATTATTTTCTATTTATAGTCTAGTTTAATCTAAATACGATAATATATATTAGTAATATTATACTTCGAAAAGTACTTTACTCTTTAAATTCGATCCTAAATCTTATAAATTAAAGGTAAAAGGTATCGATCTTTAATAGTAATCGAATTTAAATATTAGTAGTCTATATAA